ATCGGGCGTTGCAGCTGGTCTGCGCCCGGTTGATCGGTCATTCTCGGACAGTGTAGATCTGCAAGCAGGGCAGAGACGAGAGTCACAACGAGTGAGTGAGAAAGCAAGCCGAGCGAGTGGGGGAGGGAGGGAGGTGAAAGCAGATGCATTTGTTGTGGTCGATGGCGCTGCCCGCACAAGAGACGCGCAGAATCGAGTCACGGTAGAGCAGATGCAGAGGTGTCACGAGTGTGCAGCGTCGATCGGGGACTGGCTCAGAGGGTCTCGCGGCAGCCACGGCAGAAGCAGCAGCCAGTGGAAGGGAAAGAAAGGGCAATGGGAGAGTCACTCACACCGCTGCACCCACCTCCCGCCTGCCCACACACCCATACGCCCTGTCTGACAGGCATCACTCTTTCGCTCCGACAGAGTCCCCCGTCTGTTGTCCTGCACTCGATGCGGCTGGAACGTAACGTTTTACGCTACAAACCAAAAAAAAAAAAATTAAAAAATCATAAAAATAAAAAATAAAAATAAAAATAAAAAATAAAAAATAAGCGCAGGACGGTCAAAAAGGCAGCTCCAACCGAGCCCAGCAAGAGCGCGGGGGGGGGGCGCGGACGACCAGCGAAGGAGCATGGTGGGAGTGAGTAGTAAGGGTGTGTGTGGTCGAATGGGCAGGCTGGTGTGTGCGAAAAGGTGGGGGGGGGAGAGAAGCATGGCAGCGGATTTGGGATTGCGCACCGAGATAAACGGCAGCCCTCCAAAAAGAAGGTTGTGGGAGAGGCGAGTGGCTGAACAACGCCCCCACTTGACCAAAAAACGATGAATGAGAACGGTGAACCGGGAAAAGTCATCCCCCTTCTGATAGCACCCGAACGAAACGGAAGACAGAAAGAAAAAAAAAAAAAAAAAAAAAAGGCCCCTTCTCTCGCCAAAAAACAAGTCTCCCTCTCCGACCGCCCGCCGCCGCTTCCTGTGCGACAACCCCGGCTGCCGATCGGTGTTTGGGTGTGGTGGAGGGTCTGTGCAGCTGGTTGCGTCAACGGAGTCGATGCAGAAGGAGCGACACCCCGACTTTTCAGCCAGACCCCGCGTCTTCGAATCCACACCCAAAAATCCACAAGACAACGAAACGATTTTTGTGTGGTACCAACCGAAAAAAATTGAAAACTGAATCAGCGGGAGAAGAAAGGGGGAGTGGAAGTCTCAGATGGAAGTCTCAGATGGAAGTCTCAGATGGAAGTCTCAGATGCAAAAACTACAGCATGATTGTCAATGGAAGTGGAGGGGGTGGAGGTGAACAACTCAAACCCAAACCCCGCCACTCTCTGCAGTTTCACAGCAAACCAACACCCAACATCCACGATCGCCTGAGCCTCGTGCTTCTCCCGTTCCCTTCGTTTGATTTTCACAAATCCATAACCATCTCTGAGATTCTGCCTCACTCCTTTGTTTCTTTCTTTTTTTTCTTTTTCTTCTTTTTCTTCTTTTTTTTTTTTCGATGCAGACGAGGCTGGCGCTGGCGCTCGTCGCGCTGCTCTGTCTCTGCAGCACCGTGTCGCTGGCAGTCGACCGCAACAACTTTAAGAAATGCGATCAGTCCTCGTTCTGCGCGTATGTGTGACACCACTCGCATGACCCCCTCCCCCTCTGGGCTGTCAACGGTGGAGAGAGATCTCAAGCTTCTCTAGCTCCTCCCGTCCACTCACTCACTCGCTCGACTTGCTCACGCCAAAACCATACCCCGCCTCACAAAACCATACCCCGCCTCACTTTTTTGTTGTGTGCCAATTTTCTGCTGTGCACCGCAGACGCAATCGCAACTTGGAGCCGGGCAACTCGCACTTTACCGTCGTTTCGAGCTCGGTCGCGTTCAAGGACGGCCAGCTGACGGCAGACATCCTCAACACCCGCGACAACGTCGTCCTGACGCTGCAGGTGTCTGGCATTGCAAACTCCATCTTCCGCGTCAAGGTCAACGAGAAGGCGCCCCGCAAGCCCCGCTACGAGGTCAAGGACGTCCTGCTCGAGCTTCGCGAGACCCCCTTGGAGCAGGATGCTGCTGCAGCCCAGGGCGCGAACGTGATTACCATCCGTCAAGGCAAGCACGCTGCAGTCCTGACGTTGGCCCCGTTCCGTCTTGATGTCGTGACTGACGATCGTGTCATTGTGACCCTGAACGGCCGCGGATTGATGAACTTTGAGCATTTGCGTGACCGGTAAGCGTTTTTCTTGGTTGTTGTTGTTGTTGTTGTTGGAGTAGTTGAGGAGAGGCGGGAGGAAGAGGACAAATGCTGTTACAGCAGTGGATGGTGTTTGGCGGGACTTGTGTGATCGTTTTGTGATCACCCTGCATGATTTGTCGCCAAACTTGCTCACTGTTGCCTCTGTTCCCCGCGCGCCGCCCCCCCCCGGACACTCAAACCGCCAAAATCAGCACTGAAAACGAACAGGCCGGTGCCTGGGAGGAAACCTTCAAGACGTGGACAGACTCCAAGCCGAACGGCCCCGAGTCGATTGGTCTTGACATTTCCTTCCCCGGCGTCAAGCATGTGTTTGGCATTCCCGAGCACGCTTCGCCCACGGCGCTCAAGCCCACCAAGGGCGACGGCATCTCGTCGGACCCCTATCGCCTGTTCAATCTCGACGTGTTCGAGTACGAGCTGGACAACCCGATGGCGCTGTACGGAAGCATCCCGTTTATGGTGGCCCATGCCGCTACACACTCGACTGGTGTCTTTTGGATGAATGCCGCAGAGACGTGGATTGACGTCAGCAACGCCCAGGGCCCTGTCGGCCAGGACGCGACTGGCACGCTCGGCCGTCTCGCCAACCTCGTCAAGTCTGGCCTCAAGTCGGACTCGAGCGAGCCCCGCGTGGACACGCATTGGATTTCGGAAGCCGGCATCATTGACTTGTTCATCCTGACTGGACCCCGCGTCCCGTCCATCTTCCGTCAGTACTCGCAGCTGACGGGCGTGCCCGCGCTCCCGCCAATGTTCTCGATTGCCTACCACCAATGCCGCTGGAACTACAACGACGAGGATGACGTGGCGAACGTGGATGCCGGCTTTGATGCCAACGACATTCCGTACGACGTGCTCTGGCTCGACATTGAGCACACGGACGGCAAAAAGTACCTGACCTGGGACGCGAAAAAGTTCCCCGACTCCAAGCGCATGCAAGATCGCCTTGCCAGCAAGGGCCACAAGATGGTCACCATCGTTGATCCGCACATCAAGCGCGAGGCAAACTACTGGGTGCACTCGGAAGCTGAGGAACAGGGCCTGTACGTCAAGAAGGCCGACGGCACGTCCGACTACGAGGGCTGGTGCTGGCCCGGCTCGTCGTCCTGGATTGACTTTTTGCGCCCCTCCAACCGCAACTGGTGGTCTGACCTGTTCTCCGAGGACAGGTACGTTGGCTCCACCAAAAACCTCTTCATCTGGAACGACATGAACGAGCCCTCCGTGTTCAACGGACCCGAAATTACCATCACCAAGGACGCCATCCACCACGGCGGCTGGGAAAACCGTCATGTCCACAACCAGTATGGCTTTTACCAGCAAATGGCCACGGCGGACGGTTTGTCGCGTCGCACTGGCTACACTGAGCGTCCGTTCGTCCTGACGCGCGCCTTCTTTGCCGGCTCCCAACGCTATGGCGCGATTTGGACTGGCGACAACACTGCCACCTGGGACCATCTCATCTACTCGACCAAGATGCTCCTGACCATGAATCTTGCCGGTCTGCCGTTTGCTGGCGGTGAGTTTCTATTTGTTTTTGTTTTGTGCATTCTGCAAATTTTGTGTCTTGTCTTCTCTTTTCACGAAAGTGCAGCTTGTGAAATTGTTGCTGCCGTGTTTGTTTGATACTCGCACTCACCCCCTCTGTTCCCGATTCTTATCACTATGTACAGCGGATGTCGGTGGCTTCTTTGGAAACCCCGACGCGGAGCTTCTTACCCGTTGGTACCAAGTGGGCGCGTTCCAGCCCTTCTTCCGCGGACACGCTCACATTGACACCAAGCGCCGTGAGCCTTGGCTGTTCGGCGAGGCCGTCATGACCAACATTCGCACTGCCATCCGCGCCCGCTATTCGTTCCTGCCGTACTGGTACACGCTGTTCCACAACGCTGCCGTGAAGGGCATGCCCATCATGCGGTATGCACATTATGGGACTTTGCGTTGTTTTTTGTCGGGCGTTCGTTCCGATTTTGAGTGCTTTGCTTTGGCAACAATTCGGCGTCGCTCATCTTTCTCCCATTGCTGTCGACTGCTTTTACCGACAGGCCACTATGGATGGAATACCCCTCGGACGAGAGCACGTTTGCCATGGACGATCAGTTCCTGGTCGGCCGTGACATCCTCGTCAAGCCCGTCACCAGCGCCGGCGCCACAACCGTCAACGTGTACTTCCCTGGCGATCAGCCGTGGTACAACGTGGAGACCGGCACCCGTCACAGTGCCCCTGCCACCCAGACCATTCCGGCCCCGCTCGAACGGCTGCCCGTCTTCCAACGCGGTGGCTCCATTGTGCCGCGCAAGATGCGTGTTCGCCGCAGCACTGCTTTGATGACCGCTGATCCCTTCACCCTCTACGTTGCCCTGGATCAATCGGTATGAGCCAGCGAGTCTGAAAGTTTGTGCTCTTTTGCGTTTTCTGCAGCGTCAACCCCGCTCACTTTTTTTCAACTGTCTCCTGCTTGCTTTGGCGTTTCATTATTGTTTGGTTTTGATTAGAAATCGGCGTCGGGCACCCTGTACTTGGACGACGGCCACTCGTTCTCCTACACGGAAGGTGCCTACCTCTTCCGTCAGTTCACGTTCGCCAACCAGGTGCTCACTTCGACGGCCGGTGTCACTGGCGGCGTTGCCTCCAGGCCCGACCTGCACAAGACCTCCGAGTGGGTCGAGCGTGTTGTTGTCTACGGCTACCGAAGCCAACCGACCTCCGTCACATTCCAGGAAGGCAAGGAAGCGCCCCGCAGCCTCAACTTTGTGTTTGACGCTGCTCTGTCGCAACTCACCATCAAGAAGCCCGGTGTCAACATTGCCCATGACTGGACAATCACCATTGCATGAGCGTGCTGTGGCGTTTTGAGTCTTTTGTTATTTTTTTGGTGTTGTTGTTGTTGTTGTTGTTGGCGTCGTTGGCGTCATCGTCGTCTCTGCTGCTTTGTTTCTGTTACCCAAATCCCACAATGAAATGTTGTGCCTACATACAATGGAAATACAAAGAGGTCAAGAACGTGTCAAGGATTTTTTGGGGGGAATTTTGTCATTTTGTATTTTCACAAGGTTGGGTGTTGCATCGACTGGAGAGAGCACAGGCCAAGTCGAAAACAACACCAGACGAAGCACTCTAAGAATTTTAGTTGGTCGGGGGGAGGGACTTGGTGGGGCCAGTCGGGGTGACGTAGGCAGCGGTGATGCCACCATCGACGGTCATGGAGCTGCCGGTAATGTAGCTGCTCTCGTCCGAGGCAAGGAAAAGGGCGGCCTGAGCAATCTCAGCAGCCTCACCTAAAGACAGGCAGAAGAACAGTGAAGGACCAAAAAGTGAGTGTCAAGTCTCAATGCACAAAAAAAACACGCACACCCAAAAACCACCTCTCACCAAAGCGACCCATGGGGACGTGGACGAGGCGGCGCTCCTTCTTCTCCTCAGTGTTGAGGAAGTCCATGAGCAGAGGGGTGCGGAGAGGGCCGGGGCAGATCGAGTTGCAGCGAATGTTCTCGCGAGCGTGGATCACGGCAATCTCGCGGCTGAGAGCGAGGACGCCACCCTTGGAAGCAGTGTCTGTCAGGAGGCACACACAAAACGAGAAACAAAAAAACATGTGAGCGCTACACAAGCTCGGCAAGAATGGAGAATGGAGAAGGAAACCAGACTTACAAGCAACCTGGGGAGTGGCAGCGCCGAGAAGACCGACGAACGAGGCAGTGTTGATGATGCTGCCACCGCCAGCGCGACGCATGGCGGGGATGGCGTACTTGATGCCAAGCCACACACCCTTGAGGTTGATGTTCATGGTGAGGTCCCAGATGGCCTCGTCAGTGCCGGTGGCGTCGTCGTCCTTGGGGTGCATGATGCCAGCGTTGTTGAAGATGATGTTGAGCTTGGCTGTTTTTTTTTTTGTGTGTGTGTGTGTGTGTGTGTTGAAAGATCACACGACAACAAAACCAAAACCACAGCAAATCGAGTGAGTCACAGTGATCACCATTACAACATGATTCAACACTCAACAAGCTCAACCAAGAAAAAAAAAACGCCCAAGACCAGATGTCACAAAATGTCCTTGTTTTCGTTGTGCGGTTTCACGTGTCCACAGTTGTGTCCGTCCAGAAAGCCGCCCCCATCATCAACTCAACGAGCACAACGCAAACCAAACATGCAATGAAAAGCGCGTACAGAACTTCTCCTCGGCAACCTTGACCATGTTCTCGCAGTCGGCAGCCTTCGAAACGTCGGAATGGACGTAGACGGCAGCGCCGGGGTGAACCTTGTTGATCATCTCGACGGTCTCGTTGCCGGCAGCGTCGTTGACGTCAGCAGCGACGACCTTGGCGCCCTCGTTGGCGAAGCGGATGGCAGCCTCACGGCCGATGCCGCTGCGAGGAAGAGAACGAGGCGAGGCGAGGGATGGAAAAAAAAAGTGCGAAAAGTGAGCGCGACCGATTCACACAGAGCCACACGCAACGCGCAACAATAGCAACGCTGTCTGAATGAAACAAGAAGAACAAGAACAAGAACAAGAACAAGAAGAAGAACGACGAGCAACATCGGAAGAACGAACGCAGCGAACAAAGACGTAGAAACCAGCAAAAAAAAAAAAAAAAACCGGGATCCTCTAATTTTGTTTTTGAGCGAGGTGAAGTGTGGACGAAGCAACGCTGGGATTGTTGCATCTGAGGCATTGAGCATCGTCAACTCAGCCATCATTCATCATCAATCATCAATCATCAATCATCAATCATCGTCAAATCATCATCAATGCAGGCGCTGTGTTGACTGACGATGGGCAAAAACAATAAGCCGGCACACAAAAAAAAAAAAAAAAAAAATTGGGCACGAGGGTCACAACGCAACTGTTCCACATCCACATGCACATCCACATGCACCCACTCACTCACTCATTCACAGCACTCACAGCACTCAAATTCAATACTCATGCGCAACGGGGCGACGGTAACGCCAACGACGCAATCGCTTTGGCAAGAACGGCAAAAGTCCCAACAAAAACAACAAAACGGCTTCTCTCGCTCTCTCTCTTGGCAATCGACCTCAACCCTCGTCAACAAAGAACGAAAACACCAACAACAAGCAACATCAAACAACAAAGATGAGCTGCATTACCCGCCAGCGCCAGTGATGATTGCGACCTTGCCGTTCAGACGGGGCATTGTGATGTATGGATGGAGATTGTCAAAGTGAAAATTTCAAAGACTGAACAGCAAAGCAACAGTTCAGTTCTAAACAAACACAATACCATCACCAAAGGTGGGAGGGGGGGTGTGTGAATGAAGAGACGTTGCGCTTTATGGAAAAGCACTCTGAGCGAATCAAAAATCTGAGAAAAACGGACGAAAACGCACTCCTCTTTCCTTTCTTTCGGTCATTTCCCATTTCCTCGTTCAATACACTCCGAATCCTCGCACACACACACAAACAATTCTACACGCACACTAATCCATGCTGCCGACGTCGCTGCTGCTGCGCGATCCGTTTCTGAAGGCGCTGCTGAGCACCGCGTCGTCGTGGAACTTTGATGACCGCGCCAAGCCATCTTCGCTTTCTTCCTCCTCCACGTCCTCGTCCACGTCCTCGTCCTCTGCGTCGTCTGCGAACTCGAGTGGACGTCGCTTGGCTTCCATTTCCATCATTCTGCGCCTGCCCGCGTCCGCCGTGCACCACTCCACGCCCAACACTGCTGCTGCTGCCGCCGCTGCTTCGACTACTTCGCCGCTGTCATCGTCCTGGTCGGCTGTCTCTGCCTCGTCCACCAAACCCTCGTCCTCGTCTTCGTCTTCGTCTTCGTCCTCGTCCTCGTCCTCATCCTTCTCGACAGTCTCCAACGCGACCAGCACGCCCGGTGTCCTCGTCTCGGGTTCGTCAGAGTCGCCGTCGCCAGTCTCGTCCGTCGAGTCTGTTTCGCCCGTCTTGCGCCCCGCGTCACCAATTCTACAACCTGCTACACCTGCTGCTGCTGCTACTACTGCAACCACCTCCTCCGCCACGTCCACCACGTCGTTCTCTGTATTGTCCGCTTCGTCGTCGGCTGTGCTGCCAAATTTCGTGCTGGGACCGCCGGGCGTTCGCTCCGTCCCGCCGCGCGCCCCGGTCGCTCTGTCGCGCACGTCCCTCTCGCTCTTGCAGCGAAACGGCCTCGTGGTTCCCGCGCCCATTCCCGCCTCAACGTTGACTGCATCGGCACCTTCTGCCTCGGCTTCGTCGTCTCTTGGAAACTCGGAAACGCCCGCCACGCCCATCGGCCAACCTCCGACTGCAGCCAGCCTGGCGCTCTCGCGTGCCGAAATTCTGTACCTGAAACGCGTCGAGCGTGCTGGAGACCCCTTCTCGGCGGATGTGTGCTTCCCAGGCGGGCACATCGAAGCTGGCGAGACGCCGTTGCAGGCGGCCATTCGCGAAACAAGAGAGGAAACTGGGCTCGATGTCGATCCAACTCGCGTCGACTCGCCCTTTATGCTGATTGGCCAGCTCAAACCACACACAGCCGGTCGCTCGCGCAAGTATACAGTGCACGTGTTTGTCTTTGTCCAGGTGTGCCACGAAACGCCGCCGCTCCATCTCGCAGAAACGGAAATTGCCGCCTACCGCTGGGTCCCCGTCACGGCATTCCTAGCGCCGCATCTACACCTGCACCAGCACCAGAGCCTTCTTCCTGGTCTGAGCTTGAGCAACAGTGCTAGTTCGAATGCTGCGTCGCACCCGTCCGGCATCAACCCGGCACAGCTCGCCACCGCGCCAACGTCCCCCAGCTCCAACATGACTGTCTATGCCGCGTCTGCCTCGTCAGGTGTGGTGGATTGGTTTGACTTTACCATCTTCCCGTCGTCTTGGGTGTGCACCGTGCTTGCCATCATTGGCATCAACCCCCTCATCATGCCGTGCGTCTTTTTGCCCGCGTCGTCGCATGACACACTTGCAAGCCCCCTGGTGATGACCTCCTCGTTCTCGGCAGGGAGCTCTACGGCCCCAGGCGAACCCAGCCAGCGTCTCGCCATGGGGACGACGCAAGACTCGCACACCATCTTCCGTCTCTGGGGCCTGACGCTCGATATTACCTCGGAGCTGCTCATCCAGACGGTCAACAGGGCGCCTCTCAATCGTCCAATGTTCCTGACCTCGTCCGTGTATTGGAATGTGGTCTTTTCGCTCTTCCAGCGTCTCGCCGGCCGTGCCGTTCCCTCCATCCCCATCGCTGCTCTTTCTGGGCTACTTGCTCCGTTGTTGCTTACTGCGGGCAGCTATTTCACCTGGAAGGCGCTGCACACCATGCTGCTCCGCAGTTAGGAAGTCGACTCTGGTTTTTGTCAATTCCTGTGCTCCAAAATGCCAAAACAGGTGTAACACCATTGTATAATTGTGTATATTGTGGAAATCAAATCTTCCAGATGTTGTACAACAATTCCATGTTGAAAGCGAAAATGCAAACTTTTATCAAAACAAAAATAACCGATAACCAAACGAAAACAAAACGGAATTGTCCAAAACAACAAACTGAATGCTGCTGGCTCATTCACTGGCGAAGGCAGAGAAGCGGAGATTTTGGGCAGAATTGCGAGCTGTCGGGACGACGCATGGCAGCATCATAACATGAACGTCAAAGGGTGATTGTTTTGTCAATGAGTGCATGAATCGTTTTCGAGTTTCATAAAACTCTGTAGACACATTGTTTTGCCCAGATCTTACCATCAAAATAACTCGTGTCGGTACTTCCAGCAGGAGTCGGTACAAACGGAGGCTCTTGTGTATGAACGGCGCTCCAGTCAACGTCTGCAAAGAACGCATGCTTCTTGATCAGGCGGACATTGAACCGAGCAAAAGGATCATCGCTGAGTAGCATATTGATCAACGAAAAGGCCTCGGGTGACAAGGCACTATCGTCCTCGGGCCACGGAATTGCTGCTCCAGACACACACAAAGCGGAATCATTCAAATTGAGGGACATCTACGCAACCACACGATTATTGTTCTTCTGTGTTTTTGGATGACCGCATTGCATTCGTGCTTGGCATTACCTCGGCTCAAAATGTTATCGAAAATCTCCTCCTCGCTATCCGCATTGAATGGTGGACAGCCCAGTAGCAACTCGTACAAGCACACGCCGAGAGCCCAAAAGTCTACCGCTAGTGCTATTTTGTGTTGGTTGTGTCGGTTGGCCATGATTTTTCCACCCTGAGTCAGAGACATGATGACAAGCAATAATTCCAATGGGCTATGGGAGCGCAAATACTTACTGTGCTGTTGCCCTCGAATGATTTCAGGAGCAAGATAGTCTGGTGTGCCAAGTACGGGCCTGTTGGTGCGCGCTTTCGCCAAGCCCACCTTGGGCTTGCGTCCTGTTGTGGCAGGAATATGCGCCCACGAGTTTTCTTCAAGGCCATATGAACGACCAGCCTGCGGTGTCATGGTGACAAAGTTCGGCTGCTGAGAAAGAGTCGCCTTCTGTGGTGTTGGGGCACAGCTCCCAAGCGAGGTTTCAAAGTACGACGGTGGCCATTCAAATGGGTTGGTTGCAGCCGAGGGTGCGGATTGCGCTGTCGTCTCGTTGACACTTGTCAGCGTGCGTTTGGTGGAAGGCTGCTGGGGCTCGCTGCCGGCCATAGCCTCAACTGATTCTTCCCCCCAAGAATGCAAGCTGGGTCCTGGCGTTGATGTTTGAGATGCCTGCATCGCTTGCTGCTGGTGCATTTTGTAGATCGAGCCGGAGGTCGAATCCACCGAAACGCTCCGTTTGATGCGATGCAAAAATCGTGCGGAACTGGTCATTTCGAGCGATGAGCCACAGCGCTGCAGGGCTGCTGGCGTGTTTTGACTGAGAGAGCAAAAGTCGCTCGTAATGGACCGAATTTGACCCGGCGTCCTGGAAGCTGTAAAGGAGAGTTGGGACATGGACGAGGCTGATCGGCTGAACATTGACACTGGTCGATGGGGCGTGCTGTTGAACAGATCGGTCGCACTCAGCATGCGCTTGTTTTGTGGCAAAGAAGACAGCCCAAAGTCGCTCAGCTTGATGTGCCCGGACGAATCAATCAAAACATTGTCCGGTTTCAAATCGCGATGCACAATGCCTTTCGAGTGCAGATACTCGAGCGCAATCATGATTTCGGACATGTAGAACAAAACCATTGGCCGCTCGTCCATGCAGCCGACGACCTGGAGCAACGAGGACAAATCTCCGCCAACCAGGAACTCCATGACGAGAAACACGTGGTGTTGTGACTGGAACGAGTAGAACAGCTTGACGATAAACTGGTTGGTGGACACCGCCAGGGCATTGCGCTCGGCAATCACCTGCTGCAGCATGTTTTTGCGAACAATGTCCTCCTTCTTGATGACTTTGATGGCAAATAAATTCTGAGGCGTTGCTGCATCCTCTCCGGTCTCGGACGCGTCCGGCCTGCAGCGCGCTGACAGAAACACCTTGCCAAAGGCACCACGGCTAATGGGCTTGATGACTTCAAAGTCATCAATACATGGTCCCGAGACGGAAGAAGCCGCGGAACCCGGAGCAGGGTGCGTGTTGCTGCCAGACCCGGCAGCGGTCGCTGGTTGTTTGATATTTGCACTACTACTGCTGGTGGTAGTAGTCTGCTCTAGGGTGGGAGAAAACGCTGCTAGACGACTGGGCAGAATACTTGACAGCCATGCCAGCCGCGCTTGCTCGCTGCCTTGCTCAACGCCGAATCCCAGCGGCGGAGTCGCATTCGGAACTGGCGAACTCACCTGAGACGAGCTAGCCGAGGAAAGGCTGGAATTGCTGCGCGAAAACCCCGGGCGGAGGTTGAGCTTGACGGTCGGGGAGGTTGCCAACAGTGTTGCGTTCAAATCGCTCGCCTCAGTGTCCGCGTCGTCGCTGTCATCGCCGTCAAAATCATCGTCGCCACGGCCACTCTCAGCCCCATAGCCTCGAGGTGGCGTTCCCGTTACCATTGCGGTGCTGCCATCATCGTCCGCCAAGAGCAGCGTCTTGTCAAGTTGGCTGCTCAAATCGGACACCTCCGAGGACTCGAATCGCGCTCGGCTCGTTGGTTCGGCCGCGGCAAACTCGTTCGGCAACGTTGCGGTGCATGGCTGTGGGAATGCAAATCCTAGGAAATGGATGCTCGCCGAGTCCGGTGTCGGCAAGGCGCTCGATTCAGACAAGTGCAGATTGAGGTTTTCCAACTTGGCGCCAAGCGCGCTGACGTCCAATCGCTCCAATCGGGGCGCGTGTTCGAGCAATCCGGTCGCCCGAGTCAACGAGGCGTGTGCACCACTTGCATTGTATGAAAACGAGTGTGCTTTTGCTCTTGAGCGTGATGACGAGTGTGTCTGCAGAAGAGTTCAATAAGAGGCGCAATGCGTCAGCTTTTGATGTTTCAAAAAGATTCAAAAACGAATATCGTCGTGCGCAGCTTCGCTTTCCGCTTCAACAGCCCGACCGCGACCCTCGACCAACGCGGAAAAACAGACAATTTCCCAAACAGCATGCACACTGCCATCCAGCTGTCAACTGAATCGACGAGCGATGGAAACAATGCATGTTTTTGAAACCGTTTCAGAATGTTTTTGTGTTGGATTTTTGGCTCGTTTCCGCCGCCTTTTTGTTGTTTTTCCCTCCTTTCATGCACTCCAGTCGTTGTGCGCGCACACTGTCTCCTCATAACAAAACAAAACCCGTGCTGTTGTTTGCTCTGACCTGGTTTGGCGACGGAGCGCGGTTCTCGTCGGATGATGTCTCTGCGCCGTTCGCTGCTTGTTGCTGGCCTTTCAACGGCGGCGACAATGTCCCCACCACGAGGCTGTCGTTCAATCGGGAGCCCTCCAGGTCAGCGTCGGCATCCTCCATGAATAATATTCGTGCTGCTGGGGCACACGATTGCGCGCGGCCACGCGGCGTCGGCTGTTGCTGATTCAGCGCCATAGAAAATACAAAGTAAAATTAAACAAAACTGCGCTCTTCATCGCAGGAAGATCGGATTCCCAAACCTCGATTATCAAGAACAAGGGCAAAGAAATCACTGCTGTTCACAGAGCGATTTCGACCTTTTGGGTGCAGCTCGCGTGGTTGTGTGTGTGTCACTATTTGATATTGAGGACGCATTCAGTCTCTGTTTTCGCACTCTCTTCCACAGTTCCCCGCGCGCGATTTGCGTGGTCTCTCTTTTCTCTCACTTTTCACCTTTTTTTCCGTATTTATAGTATTACTTGTGTTGTTTGTGTCTATCGTTGTGTGCGTGCTTCTGTGTGTGAGTGTGTGTGTGCTGGTTACGTCGCTGCGAAATGGGACGCGTTCCGTTGCTCGTCACTGTGCTGCTGGCCATGCTGGCAGCCGCCATGCTCGTCATCACGGTGCAACTCGTCCCATCCACAACCGCGCTCGAGCACCTGCAACCAACGCTCCAGATGGCTCAGAACAGCGCTCATCAGCGCCTCCCTGCGGCCGACAAACTTGTGGCAGGCGCGTCGGACGCCTCAACGCTGGCGACCTCCGCTGCTGCTGCTGCTTCCGGCTCTACTACTACGACTACGACTACTACTGCTGCTGGTGGCGGTGGTGGTGGCAAATCCGCCGAGCGCCAAGCATCGCCCAACCGCGACGCCGACTTGGACACGGACGCGACCATGGCGATCGAAGTGCTGCAGCACATTGGCGAACGCACGAGCTTCATGCTGAGCGCCGTCGTGCGCTGGATCCTGCCTGCCACGCCGGCCTTTGTCATCGACAACTGGCACCCGTCCGCCATGACAACCCAGCTGTACATTTCCGTCGCGATGACGGTCGTCATGCTGTTCCTGGCATTGCTTGGGTTTGAGGTGTAAGGTTCTGAGCGGGTCCATCGGTTTCGCAGCATGCAAATATCGCTCCTGGTCTCTCTCTCTCTCTCTCACCCGCTGTGTGTATTTTGTGCCGGTTGCAGAATTTCCCGCTATTGGCCCGCAGGTGCGACGCGATCGGCGAACGGGGCTCCCAAGGTCAGAATAATTTGGAGCTTTGGACATGCTTGTGATCCGCCGTCTAACATGCACTCTCTTGGCTTGGGGTGGTTTGGCAAATCACCGCATCAGGCTACCGTCATGTGCAAGATTATTCCAAATCCCATGCTGTTACTTCGCGGCGCAGAGTGCAATCGGTGAGAAAATCAACTTTCAAGCTCAACCCAACCGTCCCTCGCTGTGGCTCCTGAAGCTCATTGCGATCGTTTGAAAATGCAGTTATCACAGGAAGGAGCGCGTGCAACCTCTCACGACTTACGACATGTCCTTGACGGATAAGGACCAGACGGTACGAAAGCAAGAAAAAAAAAAACTCGCCCTTTTGTTGTTTTGCATTGCATTGAGTTCTGCGCATGTTTCGCCAACCTTGCGCTCCGCCTGCACGTAGGTCATGTTTTCAGTCGAGCCCAATGTCTTGAAAGATCCACTGATTGAAGCAGCTCAACAGCGTACGGCAATGCTTATTCAATTGCAAAGATACTTGTGCCCGTGTGCTCATCGCAACCCTCTGTCTGCATTTCTTGGTCTGCCTGCAGACATGACAAGTGCCTGGAAGGATCAGAGCACTCCAGCCCGTATTCAGTTTGCCAAAGAAGCAGTCGCTATTGCTCCACAGTCAGTCCACACCAAATCCTTCGTTCGTCTGCCTCCCATTTGTATACTGACGGACCTGAGTGTTTGATGTGCATCCCTGTTGTTTGTCGCTTTTTGTGCGTTGCGTTCAATAGCTGCTCCACGGCCTGGATTCTTCTTGCGGAGGAAGACGCCCAAACCGTCGTCGAAGCTGAAGCCATGCTCTTCAAGGCTGTCCAGCTTTCGGAGGGCTATTTGCGGCGATTGAGTCCACACTACTTTCAAGACCATGGTGCCGAGTTTTGGATTCGTGAGTCGTCTTTGTTGTTGCAGCAGTGCTCCGTTTGCATTCTGCCGCATCGTGTGCTGACTGTTGCGTTGCTATTTGTCTCCCCATGGCATAGGTCCCGAAACGAGGCCCTATATTTTTGCCAAGCGTCGCCTTGGCATGTGTTCCAGAAAGCTTGGCAAGTACAAGGAGGCTGCAGCAATCTTTCGAGAACTGCTCGTCATGCATCCAGCCGTCGCCCGCAGCCACCTCAACGTCCAGTCCAACTTGATTGAGCTGCTGCTCCTCCTTGGCCAGTACGATGAAGTCCAAAAGACGCTGGAGAAATACGAAGGTTCGGTTTTTGGTTTTGGGATTTACGTTGCTGTTGATTCCAACTCTGCTCTCGTGCTCATTTTCCCCCCCCCCATGCTTTCGTACATCCTTAACACAAACTTTTTGTCTGTTAGTGGTCATGGAAAAGTCGGCCCTCCTATTCTACACCGCCGCGCTGCTGCGCGTGCAGGAAGTGGCGTCGAAAACCGATTTGCTGAATACCGATTTGTCCGCACGCGGGCTGTCGGCCGACATCATGATGGCCTTGGATGCCATTCACAAAGCCGTCGAGTTCAACCCACACATCCCCCAGGTGAGTTTGCCGCTGGCAAAGAAGGGTTTTTGAAAAAAAAAAATTTGGGGGTGGCCGTTCTTGTTCGTGTTAATTGTTCTTTCGCTCAAGCTAACCCGTCTCCTTGCTTTGATCTCTCCTCCTCGTGCTCCCCCGGACAGTATCTATTGCAAACAAAGCAACTCGTGCTCCCACCGGAACACTTTGTCCTTCGCGGAGATAGCGAGGCCGTGTGCTATGCATTCGACCACTTGCCTCACTGGCAAAAGGTGAAGGGTGCTCTGCAATTGCTGCAACTGACCTACGAACAAAGTAACTTTTGCTTTTTGGGGTTTTGCGTCATGGGGTGCTTTCGAAAGTTTCCGTCAGCCACTCACCTCAGTCTTGCCGTTGTTTTCTGCATCACGCAGCACTCCGTCTCATCCCTAAACCGCTCGAGAAGGGCAGCCGGTTTGAGCCCTATCCCGATGGCGTCTTCCTCACGGACGGAAAAATCCTCCCGCTGCACCACGACGTGTCCGAGTATCCCATTCCGGAGATTCCTTGGCTCCTGTTTCTCGGCGGAGTCGTGGTTGCCGTTATCGTGGCCATCCCAATCGTCCTGCATGCCACTCAAGCCCCGCTCTATGTTGCCTTCGTTGAACGGCTGGTGGCGTGGTTTCACTGATTTGACGACAGTCTCGACCCAGACGGCTCAGCATTTTATTAAACTATTTTTGCCTTTTTCTTTTCTCAGCGCTGAAAGTACTTTTAAACCCCAATGTGCTTGTCCAGTACATTGTGTAGATCTACATTCTTGTTTGCGTGGCAGGTGACTGAGCCAACGTCCTCGAGTGAACATAATTTCGAAACCGATGATTGTCAGTACTGTATATGGGTGGGATAGGTCAAAGCACGCAAGGACTCGCCAACCCGCAACTGAGCTTCATGACCTCGCAAAGTCGTTGTCGGTTGACAAAAACTGCAATGATTATGCCTCATCCGAAAAAGTAAGCTTGCGAGAGGGATCGACAACACTGTTCAGAGTATCGAGATCCCACATTGCCACTTGCATTTTTGCAGGAATAGCGATGACTTCCGTCTTCTTCCTTGGCGCCGGAACTGAGACCCGACCTTCAAGCAGCCGGCCGTTCATGAAAGGCTTGAGGTAGTCTGGTGGCCTGGACAACACCGTGATGAGCAGCTGGTGCGGTCGTTCGCTCTCCGCAAGATGAGCAAAGTGGCGACTCAGCTTCTCAATGTCACTATTCACGACGACAGGACCAGTGCGCGCCTCATTGAGCCGATTGAAATGCTTGCAGGCAACGCCAATCCAAAGAGTGTCTTGCACTGTCGGGGTTGCGGCCGTGCAAACAGCAATCAGTCCATCAGACGAATGGGACGCTTTGCCCATCCACTCGACAACCGCAATAGGCCCAGTCGGAATTGCCTTGCGCAGTTCCACGAGTTGTGCCACCAAGAGGCCCGGAAGTGCATCCGCATCGATGCCACGTCGCTTCGAGCTGTTCACCTTGCCAACGGAGACGGTGAACGAGCCGGCATGCGTGTGAAGCGTGCTCTCGTCAAAGCCAATGCCTTGGTGAGGCGCAGACGCTCGGAGAATATGCTGCACGACAGTAGAGTTGAGTACTGCTTGAGGAAGCACGTCTTTCGATTGCGCCAGCAGCCAGCCTCTGCTGGCATCGCCGAGTGCGGCTCGGTGGAGCGCAGCAAAGATGGCCCACACCGCCAGCCCCTCGAGTGTTTGTGACGTGACGACGGGGCCTGCGAATTCGATGACCAAGCTCGCGAGCGCCAGTTCCTTCTGGCTGCCAGCAATTTGCGGCACAATGACTTGAAGTTGACCGGATCCCACGGGTTTGGTGTAGCAGAAAAGTCTGTCCAACAGGAGTAGAGCTGGAACTTGGACAGACTCGCGTCTTCCTGGAACCGAAACACTGATTGTCGACCTGGGATCAAACTCGTCGCCTGCGAGCGCCCGACGGACGATGTTGGCGCTCGCCAGATACAGTGGATCGTGCGGGCGGCTGATCGTGTCGGTCAGCTCAAGGGAGTGTTGGAGGAAGACCTGGGTAATCGACGCGTGCGTGGTCCGAAGGGCAAAGTAAGCCCGGATCTGGTCGGATGTCATGGCGCCAAAGTCGATGCCACTAGTCCAGAGCACTTGCAGCGCGAAAGCAACCAGACGTGGGACGCCAGCGGTGAGGGCGTGAACGCGTTCGGTGAAGGCAAGGCGTTGCGAGCGGTGCTCGTCGCCGCCCAGACCGAGGGCATCCACCAGCAGCGTTGGGGAGCTCGAACGCGGATGGTGGCGGGTCAGAATCTCCTCAATGTGGTTGCTGCCAAGCGGTGGCAGGATGATTGATTGCAATTCTGACGGTGAATGCATGACCGCTGACTGCACGACCGCAACAGGGACCACAGGTGCGTCGTTTGAAGGCCTGAGAAGCCCGAAGCGAATGAGATTGAATGCGACTGACTTGCCGGAGCACACAATGTACACATTGTCGAGGTTGAGTAGCGGTGCAAGGAAATCCGACCAAAACGTGTAGTGACGACGCAAGGCACCAGTGTCAGGCGCGAACACGTTCGGCTGGCTGGAACAGCGGTACTCAGGACCAGGGAACCACGGATCGAACTTGGCATTCTCGATGGCGCCCATCTCGTCAAAGTGGAGGAGCAAAGGGACACCGGCATGCTTTTGAAGAGTCTCGATCACTAAGTCAAGAAGGGGTCCTCGCGGCACTGCGAGCGGTGGCAGGCCGAGCGTGGAGCAGGTGTTCAAAAATATCGCTTCCAGGCAATCAGCGTACATCTCACTCAGGCGGTTGAAGTGGGTCATGTCGATGAGGATGTAGCGCGCGTTGAGGACGGACTCGTACAGCGGCTTGGCACCTTCCCTTGCCGATTCGAGGATTTCCGCAGCGTGGGGATTGCGCCCATTGCCGATGTGTTCCACAAAGCTGGTCTTGCCCGAGCCGAACATTTGAGGTAGAGAGAGCAGGATGCCTTTACGGGTGTTGGATTTGGAAGCAAGTCGTGACACCACTGCTGTCAAGCTCTCGTGACGATTGACAAAGGGCAGTTTCTGCACAAACCAATCGGAATCACGGCCAGATGCTGGTCAACAAATCAAGTATACACAAAAGGTTGATGAGAGTGGGTTCAGCATAAGTAAGCCTTCAATGCTGCGCTCACATACCATCCGGCATTTTGGGAAGTGGCGGCGGAAGTTCAGCTTGAACTTGAGCTGCAAAGGAGGTCGCGATTGACTCTTCATCGTCTTTGTCGTTGTCAGCGTCGTCGTCTTTGTTGCTGGAGGGCTGCGAAGGAAACAACAAAAAAAAAGCCACGCATCGTCACAGTGAGCAACACACCACAAGCACACACGACGGGAGACCCCACTCAATCACAAAACAATTTGAGACACGAGCGGGCAAGACAGCACAGAGAACGAAATACGTACCAAAGCCCAGCTATCACGTGGTGGGGCTGCTGTCTCTTCGTGCACTTGGGTCGGTGGTGCCGTCGTCGTCTTTCGCGAGGGAAGAAGAAGATTAAGTCGACGTGACGTGCGAGCTTGGGTCGTGTGTGCGCTCGCGCTCGGGGCGGGACGCTTCAATGTAGACACATCGCCAAGACAAACAACCAATTCCAAACAGCCAAGACGTGGCGGTGAGCCACAGGCCACACACGACACACACGACACACACGACAGTCAACCACTAGCTCGACACCACTCAATCACACGACTGAATCACAAAGAAGAAGCATTGCCAACAAGAAGGCAGAGAAAAAAGACAACCGCTGGATGGTCGGCAAAACTCGTTCTACCTGAGTGCTGCTCGACGCGGTGTCCATCGGTACAACAGAGGTCATAGACTTCTTTTCAACGCGAATGCGCTTCGACGAATGATGTGGGTCGCCGGGGTTGCTCGGGTCTTCTTCCTTTTCTTCGTCACGGCTGTGTTTCCGCATTTTTCAATACAAAACAGAAGTGACGCTTTGAGACCACCACTCAAACCCCTCAACCTCAACCCCCTTAAGCCGTCCCATTTTTGTAGACTAGACTATTGCACGTTGATGCATGCTCGGCACAGCTGCTCCAAGTGGCCGTTTCAGAATCTGTTTTGGTTGGTCAGTCGTGTTTCAGTTTCCATTCCGCGTATTGAAATCTACCGTCTTTCTTTTCTTTCACTGTCTCTCCCCCGCAACAAACCACCACCACCACCTTTTTTGGAATACATCTCCTTACCGTGAATCCATATGAGTACACGAGGCATCAATCACGACGATGAGGCTGAAGAGTGCCCGTTGTGCATGGAGCCGTTCGACCTCAGTGACAAGAACTTTTTCCCGTGTCCCTGCGGCTACCAGGTACACTTCACCGCTCACTCTCCATGCACCAGTGCGCTGCTTGTGCTCTGCCCATGTCCGATCTGCCAGGTTGAACGCCACAGCGCGGGTCCTGCTGCTCCAAAACGCCCCAGCCCAATTATTCTCTTTTTTTCTTCTTTTTTTTTTTTTTTTTTTTTTTTTTCCTTTGATTGAAGCATGCGTTCTTTTATTTTTGGTTTTTTTTTTTTTTTTTTTTTTTTGGTTTGGCTTTTGCTGGCGTGCGATGGCTTGAAGAAGGCCCAACGGGCCAACGCTGCTCGACAGCACCACCATGTCTGTCATCGAACTGTCCATCTGGCCCGAGTTGGTGCCCCTCAGCCAGCCAGCGCCTTTTGTTTCCACTCAACCATTCCAATGCGTTTTCAGTCGAAGCTTTTTTTTTTTTTTTTTTTTTTTTGGCGCCAACCCAGCGCACATGCTCGTCTTGGTGGCTTGCTGGAGGGCTCTCGCTCGCTCGGCGGCCTGCATTTGCGCATCGGCACACGCACTGGCAACCCTTGCGTGTGTCTGGGTCGGCCGTGGCGCGATCCACAGCGCCCGTCGCTGCCATCCGTCAAACAGTTGTGCAACCAACAAGCATGCTTTTTTTTTTTTTTTTTGTATTCTTTTTTTTTTTTTTTTTTCATAAGTTGGCTTTTTGGCTCTTTGTCGTGCTGAACACAGTGTTTCCACCTTTTCTGCCATCGCTGATGATTCGAGCGTTGTGTTTTTGCTTTGGATTCTGTCTCTGATGTTGTGTGTTTTGCCCGAGTTGGAGACCGAGTTGAGCTGCTGCTGACTGAACACTTTTGGTCGCTGACTTTTGTTCCCCGCCCCCCCCCCTCTCGCTGCCTTGTCGCGCCAGGTCTGCCAATTCTGCTGGCATCACATTCGCAACGAGTTAAATGGCCTTTGTCCCGCCTGTAGACGCCCGTACAGCGACGGTCCCGTCGAATTCAAGCCATTGTCCGCTGACGAGTACGTTCTCCGTGTGTGCTTGGTTGTCCACGAGTCCTTGTTCAGACGTTCCCTTTGGGGAGTCGGCTATTGGTTGAGGAAGTAGAGCGAAGGGCAGAGAAAGGATGAAGGAAGCGCTGCTGGAGGAAGGAACGATGAACTCTTCCACCCATTCCAGCCCATTTCTATCATGCAACTGGTGTTGTTTCGCTCCGTGCTCACTCTTGTGCTTACCTTTGTCGTCGTCGGCATCACATCAGAATCCAACAAATTAAGCAGGAAAAGAAGCAAAAGGAAATGGAACGGCGACAAAAAGACACAAACAACCGGAAACACCTCGTCAACGTGCGAGTCGTGCAAAAGAACCTTGTTTATGTGATTGGTCTCGCCATCAAGATGGCGGACGAAGAGGTCATTCGCCGACACGAGTATTTTGGCCAGTATGGCCGTATTCTCAAGGTTGTCGTCAACTCGCATCACCCGTACCACAGCCCGCAAGGACCCAGCGTTTCGGCCTACATTACATTCGCGCGGAAAGAGGACGCTCTCGCCGCCATCCAAGCCGTCGATGGTGTGCATGTGGAGGGTCGCACAATCCGTGCCTCGTTTGGCACTACCAAATACTGTTCGTACTTTTTGCGCAATCAGGTCTGTCCGAATCCCGAGTGCATGTACCTTCACGAGGTGGGAGATTATAACGTCTCGTTCACAAAGGACGAAATGGCGCCCGGAAAAACGGGCTATCACGAGGCCATCCAATCCATGATGACCGAAGAAAGCCATAATATGAAACGCCCAGCAGCAACAACATCAACCGCTGCAGGCTCTTCGAGCGCTCCCAGTCGGGCTGGTCCGGCGGCCGCTTCATCAACGTCGTCCCGATCGGGAAGCGGGTACAGCGGTTTTGTCAACTCGCCAAATGTGGACGATGGACCAGGCGAACTGGGCCCGGCGCTTGGCTCGAAGCCTGGTTCTGCTGCCGTTACCCCCGCGCCGAGCAGCACAGGACCTTCCTGGGCCGCCATTTCCTCCCAGGCTCCTCCGCAAAAGCAAGCGCCAGTCACACCGCAGCCCCAAGCACCCCCTGTTCCGAGTTCCCCGTTCGATTTCCCGCCAATATCCGCTGCGGCGCCACCCAAGGACACCTCCGGTGGCAACAAGTCTGGGAAGGGCACGAGCAGCGCTTCATCGACACAAGCAACAGCCGACCCCGCGACCAAATCTGGCAAAAAGGGCAAACAAAGCGCAGCCGCCGCCTCGACATCATCTGTCAGCAGCGGCCCCTCCAACGACGCGACGGCGCCATCCGCTGAGCCCGTCCCATTATCGACCTCACCCACTTCCACCACAGCCACCACCACCACAACAACAGCCCCAACAACAACAGCAGCAGCACCAACAACAACAACAACAACAACAACAACAACAACAACAACAACAACTCCCGCAGCATCATCCTCGTCTGGCCAATCCAGCAAAGGACGGTCCAACGCCGATCGTGACAGCGCGCAAAAAGAAGCGTCTGCGCCATCGCTCACCAGTACCGTTGTTGCCACCGCGGAGGTCGCTGCCGACCAACCTGTCGTGCCCGCGCGGTCCGTCCCTCTCACGCCACCCACGACTGTCATCTCGCGCCTGGTGGAGGATGCCGAGTTTTCTGCTCTTGCCTCTGCCTTGATTGCCGACGACAATGACACTCTGTCTGCACCATCCAAACCTGGACGACGTGAGAGCGGCAACGCAGACCCCGGCTCGACCCACCTTCCCGCGATCGCTGCTGGACCCGGTCTCCAAGGTCTCCCGGGCTTGCGCATGTCTGCCGCCACGCTGTTCGGTGCAGTTGCCGGACATGCCAACTCGGCGGGTGTTGTTGGTGGCGGCGTGCCTGCTGGCTCAAACGTGCGTGCAATGCAGGATGCGGACGAGCTCGACCGAATGAACGTTGCGCTCCTGAATGTGCTTGACGATGATTTTGGCGGGCAGTCGCTTGCACAGCCCCTCGGGTTTTCCAAAAACTCGCTGCTGATGGGTCAGCCTCCGTCTCAATTTGGCCCTCAAGCTGCAGGCGCGTACTCTGGTCCGTATCGCCCTCCCGGCATGCCTCCGTCGCAGCAGCAACGCTTTGGCGCCACGTCGCAATTCCCGCAACCAACTCACGAAAGCGCATATCCTCACCCCGCCTTTGGCGCAAGTGATTTGTTTGGCTCCTCGGCATGGGCGTCGTTGGGTGGCAACCCGCCACCCCCAAGTGGCGCCTTTGGGCGGCCAGATCCCATGTTGTATGGCCCGCCCTCGCTCGTTGGTCCGCATCAGCTTCCACAGCAACCGCAACAACAACAGCAGCAGCAACAACAACAACTACCACCGCAACAACAACCACAGCAACAGCAGCAGCAACAACGCCCACCTCAGCCACAGAATTTCGGCATGTTTGGCATGCGAAGCGCTGCGACAGAGTCCGCATGGGGTCCGGCTGGGTTTGAAGCCCCGCCTGGCATGTCAACTCCTGACAACCCGAGCGCCTTCACGTCGTCGTTTGCCAGCTTTGATCGACGAGGCTCCATCCCTTCCGGCTCCAACGCTCTCCTGCACCCCTTCCAGCAGCAGCTCCAGTCTCCCCACATGCATCCCAACCAACCTTTGCCTGCCGGAGCGCCGCAGAAGCAGTCGCAGTCGCTCGGGCAACCTCAGCAACAAGCCGCTTTTGGTGCGGATGCCGACTGGCAATCAGGCCTGCGAGCCCTGCTGCCGAACGTGAATATTAGTTTTGGCAACCCTTCTGCGGGCACTCCGTCCAACGTGGCCAAGTACAGCAATGATGCGCCTTCGGGCTTCCCTCCTGGTCTCGGATCCACCGCCGATGCTGCGTCTCGCGGTGACTTGATGGCAGCTTTGGCTGGTTTGCCGTCGCACCATGAGCAACGCATGGAGGCGCATCGTCAGCAGTTTGGCTTGCATGTCAACCTCGCTGCTGACAGGGCCGCGGAATCGTCTGCGTCAGGAGCCAACCCGTCGTCCGCCTCCGGCGGCTTGTGGGGCTCTGCGCCGCCCGTCTCGTCTGCTCCATCGACCACCGGCAACACTGGCTCGCTGTGGGGCGGCAAGCCGTCAAGCGCGTCCTTGAGCCAGTTCCACGACCCGGCGATCATGGTGGCAGGGAACTCGTTTGGAGGTGCCTTTGACGCCTTTGCGGGCAGTGGTTCTGCCCACAGCAACGACTCCCTCCGCGGTTGGGACCAAGGCATCAGTCTGTCCTCCTTCACATCGACCTCTTCCTCTGCAGTTACTGGGGCCACCACTCGCGGCACCTTCAGCAGCCGGGGCAATCTCCGCATTGAATCGGACGACTTGGTTTCGAGCGAAATTGAGAGCTTGCTGGATGAAGGCAAGCCCTTGTCTGAATTCGGTGCGCCCTTCAACAACAGCGGCGCCGGCTCCCGTGCGTCCGTCTTTGCCGCACCGGTGGGTAACTCGGACGTGTTTTCCAAGCACTCCAGTGAACCTGCCTACACCGCAGGCAATTTTGACTCGGTGCCCGACCGCGACGGACTGGCCTCGTTCACTTCCACCCTGGCCAGTCTATCGATGATTGGATCGAGTAGTAGTAGCAAGACGCCCGCTACCAGCAAAGCTTTGGCGGACGCTGACGATGTGCCAGCCGACTGGGAACGGCACGCGCTTGACAACTTGGACGGTGGAGATGAGGCATGGAACGAACAGGAGGGCTCATTTGCGGGCAAGCTCGCCAGTGCCAAGGACGATACAGGCTCCGGCAGTCGAACCTCGTCCGCCTCGACCGCAACGACCGCTCCGGCAGCCAACGTTAGTGGAAAGAAGGCAAACAGCCAAAGCAAGAAGAATGCCAGACTCGCCACTGCTGCTGCTGCTGCTGCCGCCGCCGCCGCCGCTGCTGCCTCTGCACCCGCGGCTGCGCAAAAGTCGGCAACCACTGTCAATGGCAAAGCTGCAGCATCCTCTGCGCCTGCTCGAGGAAACGCCAAGTCTGCCAGCAACAAAGGCACGAGCGCCAACAACGACTCGCACCCATTGACTGAAGTCGAGGCGTTGGAACGGCAAGTGCAGTCTGCTCGCAAAGAGGCTGACGCCGTCCAGGCCAAGCTGCTTGCCGTCATGAAGAAGGCTCAAAAGAAGATTTAACTTTTGACCTCAAAAGTGACTGTTTTCTTTGGTCTGTGTTTCATGCTTTGCGCCCTGTATCGACCGCTCATTTTTACCACCAACAGAACAAATACATAACCGTTATATTGGATAAACATAGAAGCACACTCCACTAACCAGTACTGCTCTCTTTTCCCGTATCCTCAATCAATCGCCAAGCTTGTCTCACAACGAGCGCCAACGCAGCTCGAGGCATGCAAAATGGAGGGTGTTGTTCAATTGTGGATGACGACGCTTTTGTGCCACCTTTAGTAGGCAGGCGCGCTGGCAGCCGTGGCGCGGGCGAGCTGGGATGCTTGTTTCATCAGCTCCATCATATCACTGGATTGGCCGGTGGCGATTTCACGCTGTAGCAAGAACAAGAGCAATGATGGGGTGGTTAGTTGCTTCGCCCAATTTCAATTTGGGTCAATACATCAACGACGGAAAAAGGAGAAAAAAATTAACAACAAAAAGTCTGGTGGACTCACCTGTTCCTCGGACATTTGCACACCGGAAAGCCAACCACGGCTCCAGGAGCCCGTGTCTCCTTTGCGCGGCACTATCGGGCGCTGTGAGCGCTCCATCGGAGGGCTGACACGACGATTGATGGCCTGCAGGTGACGAGACAAGCTCGGGTCTTGGCCTTGAAGGCTGAGCTGCGACGCACCATTGATTTCCCGCATTTCACCGAATACAACAGAATCTTGCGATGAGGTGTCGCTTGTTGCTGCAACGTCGCTTGCTGTTGCGTCAGAGTCGTGTGCAGCAGCAGCTGCTGCAACTGCAACTGCTGCACTTGGCGAACTGCGTCGACGGATTGCGCCAGTGTCCACGACAGGAACGAGTGCGGAAGGCTGCGCAAACACTTTTGGCTGCGACTTCATCATGCGTGTACGGTTGGGATTGCGTCGAACCATGCAGCGAATGTTGCCCAAGGCCACCTCTGCCTCCGCTTGTTGAGGATGGTCTGCACGCTGAGCCGTGTCTGCTTTGTCGACAACAGGAGCATCAGTGCCAAAAGGAAACGGGGAACCTGACGTGTTGCTCAGCAATCCAAACGGCTGACGAATGGTTGTTGACTGTCCAGTAAAGCGCTTTGTAGGCATTGGTGACGCAAACTCGGGGAAGGGCCGAGAATCAACTCCACTCTGACAATTTCGCACATGGGGTTCAATCCAAAAGTGAGTCAAAAGCAAACAGCAAAGAAAACGAAACTACATTTGTCGACTACAACGAAGGATGCGTTACCTCCATGCGAACTTGGTTCATTGCGCGTTTAAAAGGCGACGGGGTGACACTGGTTGATGGTGCTTGGCTCGAGCGTGCCGGGGTCATTAACGTAGCCCCATGACGCGCGCTGCTTAAACGCGCCGACATTCGAGTTGGTTGAGCCATGGTGTTGCCTTGACCGGCCAACGCTCTGTGTGTGGCAACGGGCGAGCTGATGGACTCCAGGATGGTGGCGGCTTCCATTGCGTCGTTTTGGCCTTGGGTGACCTCATTGGCTGCCGAAAAAACAAGCACGGGTGGAGGAAGCGACGAAGACGACGACGATGACGACTGTCGTGGTGACTGTTGTTGGTCGGGCTTGACAAACAGTCGCTTTGCCTGTTTGGGAGACGGAGTGGTCAAAAAGATGGAGGGCGAGAAGGGCGTTGCCATGGAGCCAAAGTTAACAAGTCGGGATGGGGTGGTCGCTTCGATAGGAGCACAATTCATGGCGGTGGCTGTGTCGCTGGCGTCAACGTTCATGGCGGACACACTGCTCAAAGCTTGATCGCCGTACGTGTTGGGGCCGGAACTCTCAGTAATCAGCATTGACGCAGAGCTGTTGATTGCATCGAACGGGAGACGACGAACGGTGGGGACCCGCGTCAGCCCGACGCCAGTCCCATTCGCTGCGGGCACTCCAAACATGCGCATGCTGTCAATGTCAGCCTCGACGCGGTTGAGCCAAGGTGTCAATGGCATGGTGCTGGGTTGCATCGGAAGCTCAGTCCAGTTGGTGTTGGCGGGGCCACCAAACTGATCTCCGAACAGCGCGGTTGAAAGCGGGAGAGGGTTGATTGGCAGCTCAGCGTTGGGATCCTCATCCTCGAGCAATGTCTCGTCGTTGCCGCCGTGCATGATGACCGAAGTGTCTAACTTTCGTTGCTCTTTGACGGCTTTGGCGCTCGCAGGCATCGGGAGGCTGGAGCCAGAGTTGCGCTTGGAAGACGGTTTCTGCTTGGTCGAGCCAGAGCGCCCGCTCGATGATGCGGCTGTCTCGGCAGCCCGTCCTGTGGAGGCGCGACCCTTGGATGAGCTCTTGGCGAGCGTCGGTGTGGCCGCAGCAAGCTCACTCGGACTGAGTTTGGTGATGCGACGTTTGGCCGAGCCCTTGTGCGAGGAGCTGGTTGACAGCTTTGACTGATCAAGCTCGTCACTCGTGGTGGTGGGCGAGTCTTGCGCCAAGTACGAAAAGTTGTTGCCAGCGGAGCTTGGCGTGCCGCACATGCTTGAGTTCAGGTCGGTCGTTTTCGGCTAGTGAGTGGTAGTTGGAGACGTGCCATATCAAACGGTTAATTCGTGCGTGTACGACTATTTTTGTTTTGAGCTCTGAGAGAGAAAGCGCAACAAGAGCAGTGTGAACATACCTTGGGAGGCCGCGTCAGCTCGTGGCCGGAAGCAATCCGCTCCGCGCGGCGACTCACCGTCGAGTTGTACCGGTTTTTAATTGCATTGTCGGTGCTACAAACAAGGGCCAGATAGGGGGGAGGAAAGAAACGGGCGAACAGAAGAGGACAACGAAGCAGGGCGGTGAGAAGATGTGCGACCCACACACACACACACACACACCAATTTGAGGCCAGGCCACTTACCGTCCTTCCATGTGCTTGGCAATTTCAGCCCATTTGTTTCCAAACTGCTCGTGAAGCTCCAGGAGCAAATTGTCCTCTTCCGTCGACCAGGGATCTTTCTTAATGTTGGGATTCAAGTGGTTGTGGTACCGCTCTCGGCATTGCTTGCCGATTCGCCCAATCAGGAACGAAGCAATGATTGGCCATTGGCAAGCGCCAATTTGGTCCACCAGTTGAATAACGCGAAGGTCCTCCTGTTTTGAAAAAAAAAGACAGGGAGCAATTGCAAACAAAAAGTCAATTGCTGCTCGACTTGCATAGTCGTGCACACACACACACACACACACACACACACACACACACACACACACACACGTACCTCAGGAGTCCACGAGCCTCGGACGATTTGAGGATTGAGCTTTTGCCAGCGGCGGGCGCACTGCATGGCGGTGTGGGGCGGGATGCGAGCGGCAATCACCGTCCAATCTTTGCGGACGTCCCACGAGTCGACACAGTAACGCAGCTCTGCGTCCTGCTTGTCAGTCCAAGGCGCGGCGTCCGGCTCATCTCTGGTTTTGTGTTCAATTGGAAGGAACGCCAACAACAACAATTGGGAGGAGGTGAAAAAAAGTGAGATAAGCAATCGTGTGTGAATGACGCGTTCATGGTCTGTGACTCACTCAGGGAAGACGCCGTTCTCGGGAAATCCAGCATATGGTCGTGACCTGCATGTCAACAATAAATCATAGTCGGAGAAACGTCAGCAACATGGAACCCGCGCTCACTGGCTGATAGGGAAGCAATGGTCATGTCGTCTTCCCTCTCCCCCCCTGCAGAATACACCCATCTCGCTCAATAGTGGCAAGGAAAATGGTTTGAAATAGCATGCTGGGCCATAGACTCATGCTCCTATCTCGTCACAAAGGGCCGTAGACTCTCGAAAAAATCGAGCGCAGCAAAAATGGAAATCGAGCTTTTTGGTTCAAATTTTTAAATTTTCGCGCCTTCCCGCCAAAAACCTAATCCCAAAAAGGCGCGAAAATAAAAAAGAAACAAAGAAAAAAAGATGCTGTCTGCCGCGTTCCGCGTTCGGTCTGCGAGTGAGCGACCACTGCGTGAATTCCCAGAGCAAGCGTGTGCTTTAGGAGGCAGAAAAGCGTGCTTGTCAAGTGGGAAGACCCCAGGGCAGCGGAGTGCAGCGGGAAGGGAACGTGGGGCGGATGACTCAAAGAACCGAACACAAAAAAAAAAAAGCAAAAAAAAAAAAAAAAAAAAAGCGAAACACATTGTCGCTTACATTGTGACTCAAGCCAGTCGTCGAGTGGTGCAGGCGAGATGATGCGTTAAGAATGTTAGTGACAATCCAGCGAGGGAGAGCTTGCTCAAGTGGCAGTTTGCGTGGCAGACAAGGCCCGAAGAACAAGCGAGAAAAATGCAAGTAAAAAATAAAAAATAAAAAAATCAACCACAAAAACAATGAAAAAGATCAATGCTGTGAAGCACAGTCCAGAACGAAAAATGGGAACAAGAGTGGAGTGCTTCCTAATGGGAAAATTGCAATGTGCGGATGATGTAGATAATAGTTTGCGAGAAAGAACGAAATCGGACGCAAAAATGCCATTGTTCAAGATTTTGGTCGACCTGATTGTAATACCTGACAGAGGGCATTTTCTTTCAGTTTCAAACCAAAAATTGGCGCTACGACCAAATGCTCGACGCCATTGCATTGGCATAACTACGGCGATCATTTTGATCCCAAAATGAGGGCAAAATCCCGAGATCCAAGGATCAGCTCGCCACGGCAAACCACCTCCCTGGCTCGATCGCAGCCAGCAACCGCCACCGGTCGAATTTATCCCCACTGTGGCTCAAAAATACCGAGAAAAACAATTTTACAACAGAATGACGCGGTGAAGGGATTGGCTTTGGATGGGGATGCACTCGACATTCTCATTCGCGCAAGGGAGATGGGAAAGCAGCATCAGCAACATTCAGGCAGCCGAGGCGCCGCAGCTCCAGCTCGCCGCACGGCTCAGCAGGCCGGCTTCGAGTCGGACGCCGCTCGCGGTGCATCCCGATCATCCAAGAAGGCCCGCCTGGCGCATCCGTCCGGGAAGCAGCAACAGCAACAGCAACAGCAGCAGCGGCAACACGTGCGCTCAGAGAAGGGCGCTGGCTCAAAGCAGGCGAGCAACGGCCACAAGAAGCAAGGCGCAGCAGCCAACGGCGCCCGTCGCGGTCCTGGCAGCGACTCTGACGAGCATGATGATGACAGCACCAAGGCGGAGAGCAGCGATGAGGAGCTGTCGCCAGAGGACCTCGCCTTCTTCCGCAGCAATCCGTCCGCCATGTCCTTCCTCTCCAACTTTGATGCTTCGGCCGCCGCGCTGAAAAAGTGCGTTTGTTCACGTTGTTGCAACTCTCAGTGTTTGCTGTGTCTCGAATGGTGTGTGTGTGTGTGTGTGTGGATGGAGCGGGGTGAGAGTTGCGAAATGGGAGGTGATTGCAGTCCATGTGGACTTGCTGTCAGGTCAGCGGGCTTGGAGTTTGGAAGCAGCACAAGTCCAGCACTCGTTCTTCATGCTGGTGTGAATTGGCGTCGTTTGGATGTCAACGTTGCACGTCAATGTGGAGGGGAATGGATGCGCAATCGGGTGGCTGGCTGCAGGCTGGATCTCACATGTGGTTTTTGGGGCGTTTTGTGCATTGGATCCGCGCACAGAGACAAGAAGCAAATCCAGCTGGCCAAGGGCAAGCCACAGCAAGGCCCAGAGGGCAAGAAGGCTTATCGAGTGCTGACGGCAGCCGATCTCGACAGCAGCGATGATGAGGGCTCGATCGCCGAGGACGACTTTGACAGCGACGTCGAGGACTTTGATGACGCTGAGGACGGCGCAGACGACGAAGAAGAAGAAGACGAAGACGATGACGATGCTGGCGAAGATGACGATGAAGTTGAGGATGGCGACGAGTCGGACGCATCGTCGGTGCATCTCAGTGACATTGAAGAAGAGTTCAACGAGCGCCACGGCCGAACAGCCGCACGCAAACCCGGCAAGAGTGCTGCCGACGACGAGAACATGGAAGAGCAATACGAGCAAGCGGTTGCCGCACGCTCCAAGGGCGGCAAAGACCCTGCTTCGGAGGAAGGTGGCTCGCGCATGCCGCTCAAGACCAAACAGGGCCTCGTCATGGTCACCGCCCCGATGGCCCCGTCTGTGGCCAAGCAGAACAAGCGTGCCGACGAGCCGGCAGCGCCCGCACCAACAAAGCGCCCAGTGGCTGTCGAGGAGCCAGTCGACGAGGTCCAGCTGTCGCTGGCCAAGGCCATGCCCGACCTCGAAAACATGCCGCTTGCTGCGCTGATTGCATGGCGTCAACAGCAGCTCTCCCGCGCCAAGCAACAGCTTGCCGAGTTTGCTTCACAGATCATGGAGAATCCTGAAGTCCATGTAAGAGCGCGCGCAGATAGTACGTGTGCTTGTAAGAGCGTTGTCCTTGAACGCTGCTCACGCGAATCCACTTTCAAAACTACTCCTGCGATGATCAACAGGTTGGATTGTTCAAGCAAATCGGCCGGTTTTACCGCGAGTCGGATGACATTCGCATCCAAAAGCTCGCCATGCTGACCGCCGTGCGTGTGTTTAAGGACATTCTTCCTGCCTACCGCATTCGCGACACGGGCGACGAAGAAGATGGCAAGCAGCAAGTTTCCAAGGAAATCAAAAAAATCCAGGCTTTCGAAACCGCCCTGCTCGGACAGTACCAGCAATTCTTGCTGTTTTTGGACAAGTGCACCAAAGGTGAGGGCGACTCCTGTCGACAAGCTCTTGGGATCGGAGGGGGGTTGTCTTGAGGGGTTTAATCAAGTGGGAGACTTGAAGAGGGCTCACCCGACTATCTGCTTTTGAACATGCAACCTTTCAGACTTCGTTGGTCTTGGTAACAAGCACGGCGAAGACAAGAACGAGTTGGCAACCGAATCAGTCATCAAGCTTGCCGAATGCGCCATTACGTGCATGGGCGAGCTCTTGCTTCAAAACCCGTATTTTAACTTTTCAGTCAATCTTATTGCGACGTTGGTGCCGCTGATGGGCGTTCGAAAGCCCGAAAATGTGAGTGTTGACTTGGACTGCCAACAGGACAAGCACGACCCCTTTTCGCTCATTTTTTTGCACCCCACCCCCGCCTGTGCTTGTTTTCGGGAACAAATCCTACAGTTTGCAGCACCAATCTGCGCAACGATCGTGTCTCTGTTCCAGAACGACCCAAAGGGCGAAGCCGTGTTGGACGTTGTCAAGGTGGTCGCCAAGCTCGTCAAGGCGAAAAATTACAACCTTCCCCGCACTGTCAGTCCGACGTACCTCACGCTGTTCTCGACACTATGAGTATTCTGACCTCCCAAATGTGTTTATTCTCGATGGGTTGATTCGTGGACACCACAGATTGTAGACCCGTTTTTGCGATTACGCCTTGACAGCGACTTGGAGGCCGTCAAGGACATCAATCCGATCGACAACCACAAGTCCGCCCAGTCTCGCAAGAAGCCGCACATGTCCAAGAAGGAGAAGAAGGTGGGTGACTTTCCGGTGACCCCTTTGCACTCCGCCCGGCTGCAACGTACTAACAACTGCCCGCAATTCCAACTGGCTTACTCCCTTGCAGAAGACCAAAGTCGCCGCCGAGCTTGATCGGGCCATGCGCGAAACCGAGGCCGAAGTCAGCAAGGTTGACCGGCAGCGCATGGTACGTCTGTCTTGCTCGCTCGTTTGCACGTCGGGACAATCGCTCACCTCACTTCACTGGTGCCCGCTTTGGCTTGACAGCAAACTGAAACGCTCAAGTGGGTCTTCTTGACATACTTCCGCGTCCTTAAAAACGCAACGCGATCGCCATTGCTTCCGGGTGTCCTCGAGGGCTTGGCAAAGTATGGCTCGTCGCATTTTGCGGGACGTCTTTCAGAGACATTCCATGGTTGCTCACTGCCGATTCCACCTTCTTTTTTTTTCGAAAGATTTGCCCATTTGATCAACATTGACTTTTTCAGCGATCTTATGTCGGTGTTGAAAAACCTGCTGGTCGAGGAAACGGTCAGCATCGAGTCCAAAATCCACTGCGTGAAGGCTGCCTTCCAAATCCTGACCGGACAAGGTGTGTTGACGTGAGCAATGAGAGGGCTGCACGATTGCTTGTTTTGCTGAGCATTGCACGTGCCACATTTTTTTCTGCTGCACTTTCTCAGGCGAGGTTCTCAACATTGATCTCAAGGACTTTTACGCCGCTCTCTACGCCGCGTTGCCTGCGGTTGTGGGCGAAGAGCGCCTCATTCGCCCGCTCGTCTCTTGTCTCGAATTGATGCTCCGACAGCGCAAGCAGGTGTGTCCAGAAGAAAGAATCTTCTGGGGTGGTTGGGGTATGGAGTTGACGATTCTAACCTGTTTTTGGTTTGGTCCTACTACTGCTAGTCGATTGATCGTGTGGCGGCATTCGTAAAGCGTCTGTGCTCGATTGCAACCAATCTTTCTGCAGAAGGGTCTCTCGCCCTGATGACTGCCACCCGTGGATTGATGAAGGTGTGTAAACGTCGCGCGTTAGTGGGTGTTTTGGCGAGGAGGCTCACCGCCCGATTGGACTCGCGTTCTGCAGAACAATCCCCGTTGTGAGCAACTGTTGGATAGCGACGTGTCATCGACAGGAGTGTATCGCGCTGAGCTCGATGACCCGGAGCATGCATGTGCCTTTGCTACCACCTTGTGGGAACTCCCGCTTCTGCAGGTAACAGACTTTGCGTGGAACGCATGCCCAACAAACCCTGCACACGGCAACTGCAACTCACCTTTTTTGGGCATGGCTTGCACGTTTCTCAGAGCCATTATCATCCCTATGTGCAAACCTTTACGCATCACATCCTCCAAGGCGCGCCTTTGGACGGAAAAGATGCGTTGAGCGTCCCCGAAGCGCGCCGGTCGTCGGTCAAGATCTTTGACGAGTACGACACCGCCGAGGGCGGCTTTAAGCCACCGATTCCCCCTCCCAAGGTTCATCCCTTGCAAAAGCAGCTGGGCAAGAGCGGAGCGGTACGTTGTTTGTTTGTTTATCTTTGGGTTGTTTGTTTTGGTTGGTGGAGTCCGGGTTGAGTTGCTCACTTCTCTGCTTGTTTTTCGCTCGACCCCTTTCTTCCCTCTCCCCCCCCCATTGTGCTGGTAGGAGCGTGGCGTGTTTGTCAAGTTCCGTCCGCTTCAGAGCGAGTATCTGCGCGAGTTTGCCGCAAAGATGGCCGACCAAGAAATCGCCTCTTCGGCAAATCGGGCGGCTGCCAGCACTGGTCTGCGCACTCACTTTGAGCTGCTGCGTGAGCAAAACCGCCAAGTCCGTCTCATGAATGAGCTGCGCCGCCTGCGTGCCACCATTCACGCATTCGAGCGCGACGAGTAAAGCAGAATCGATCGAGCGACGAGCCCTTTTCCGTCGGTTTTAGTTTGCTCGACTTGGTTTTTTTGTTTTGCCACTGCTTTGATGCTGGTCCTCTTCGTGCCCCCCCCCCCTCCTTCCGTTCCTATTGTCAACGAATGATGACTTGGTAGTTTTATTTCCAATGCAGCACACTCTTTTTTTTTTTTTTTTTTTTTTTTTTTTGCGTCTCACAACTTTAACCAGTCCAGTTCATCGCGCTCACTTGCCTTTCGCACACCTCGTTCACTGCAAACAGCCATGTCGTTCATGGTTCTGCTGGGCATTGCGCTGATTGCGTTCTCGCCCGTGCTCGTGCTTGTGCTGCTGACGGTCGCGCAGTCCGCCGAGCTCGTCGTGCTGCTCGTCTGCTCGGCCTTCTTCTGGCTGCTCTCCATCCTCGTCACGTCCATCCTCTGGTTTATCATTTCGCCCATCCGCGACGCGTACGTCTGGGCCATCTTCCTTGCCGTCGCTCTCCAGGAGGTCGGCCGCTGGGCAACCTACCGCGTCCTCAAGTAAGGCGGCTTCTTCAGAATGCTCATTCGCGCTGTTCCCACGGCCCATGGACGCCTCATTCTGGCGTTGTTCATCTTCCAGTGTTATCCCTGTCTGTTTTGGTTGTCGACTCGGAGCTGAGCGGGTGTGTGTGGGGGGAGGTCTGACCGAAATTCATGGCACAAACTTGTCAATTTTTTGTATTTTTCGTATTTTCGTATTTTTCCCAGATTTTTGATCTGCCGCTCTCTTTCCTCTCACTCTCAATCACTTCTGCCTCAAATATCTCCCCTCCAGTGTTTCTCGTCATTGTTGATTCGCTCGATCTTACCGTACTCGTTCTTGCTTGCGTTTTGCTGCTACAGACGTGCCGAGCCGGGTCTCCTCAAAGTGGCCGATTTCGCCAATTCACGGCTGGTGCATCACCGCCTCGCTTACGGTGAGTTCGTAAACGAGCGAAAACAGGTTGAAACTAGTTTCTGCATGTTCTGTGCTCATATTGGTGGCTGGCCACAGTGAGCGGTCTGGGCTTTGGCATTATGAGCGCGTTGATCCAATTCAACCCAGTCCTGTCTGTTGCAACTGGCCCCGGCATGCTCCCATCACCTGGCTGCACTGGCAATTCGTACTATCTTGTTTCAGGTGAGTAATCCTTGCGCTGGCTTTGGCTTCAGGACGCCTTTTCCCCTTCATGAAATCATGCACTCAAATAACATTGTTGCGCTTTGTTGTAGCATTTACGATCTGCTGTTTCTCGCTCCTCCATGTCTTCTGGCACGTCGTCTTTTCGCACGGCATGAACACCAATTCGAAAGTCTTGGTGGCCATTGTGCCGATTGCCCATCTTGCTGCCTCGTTGTTGGTGAGTCGTCGAACGCCAAACAAACATCTGCTCGACATCTCTTTTTTGTGCGCTAACACGACCCTTCTGCTGTGATTGTTCTTGCACCGAGCAGACCTTGATAAACGAGTCCGGCGAGAGCTGTGCAGGCGCACTTGTTCCGTTGTACATTGAGCTCGCTCTGTTTGGCTTTATCTGCTGGCGGATCATCAGCAAACGGCCCTCGCGAGAATTTTAGACACATTTTTTTGTTTGGGTTCAATTTTTGCAACCAGACAACTCTTCTTCTTCTTCTTTTTGGTTTTTTTCAACGAGGTCAGAAGAAAGCCGAGGAAAACGAGAGCTGTCGATTATTTTCAACAATAAACGAGACAGAAACGTAAACAAGTCGAAACACATAAGCGTACACACACAGACACACAAATTGGCAGCGACCTCCTCTACTCGCGGGGCTCGCGCTTGAGAGAATATTCATACAACTCCTTGTCATTGATGACGTCGAAATTCAACAGCATCGACTTGAGTTCGGGGAAGGGCATAAAGTTATAAGGCTGCAAGTGGCAGACAGAGAGAAACAGGAGAGGTGAGGAAAAAAAACAAAGGCAACAGCTTCAACAGTTTCAACGCAGTCAATCGAGCAACCATACCTTATCTTGGAAGGTGATCAAGTCTGTGATGATGTTAAAGACCAGACGGCGCTTTTCCACGTTGACAAGCTCGCCAATGAAATTTGGGTTGCCATCATCCAAGAAGGTCAAATCCGACGTGTAAACGCCCCTGCGTCGTTGAAAAGAGACCAAGGAAAAATGGTGAGAATAGGAGACAACTTGCCAGCTTTTGAGGTCGATCAGAACTGCTTCCAAACTTACAAATAGGGGAAGCACGGAGGGTTGACCTTGTGCAGCAAATCTCGCATTTCGCGGTAATTCTTCTCCGGACTCAGCGACTTTTCCATGTCCGCCAAGCGCTAGGAGGTGGTACAAAGGAGCAAAAACAAACCAAGAAGGGCTTAGCAACCAGCAAAGCGTGTGACACTCAAGTTCGTAGTCATCAACTCACCTTGAGAAGCTTCTTGTCAATTTCCTTCTTGGTGTGCTTGAGACGCATGATGGCCGAGTTGTTGATGCCACCAACAACAGCCATGCAAGTGGAGTAGTTGTTCATGTTAAAGAGGTGCTGTCAAAAGAATGCGAGCAACAACGACGAGCAAATGAGCGCGCTTTGAACACCACCTTTCCAACCCCTCTCCCGACAAGCAAAGCAATCCTAGCACCAAAGACTCACCGAAGCGACGGTGATAAACGTGCTGTATGCCCGAGCGCGAGTCTTTGGATCCTTGGGGACCAGAATGGCCGTGGCAACCAGCGAGCCAACATCATTGATTCGCTTGATGAGGGCCATCACATTCATGGCACGATGATGATGGGATTCCTTGTTCCACGCCTGGCCGAGAAGTTCGGCTGGCTTGATGGACGCAAAAAGCCTAAAGTCAATCAGCGTCAACTGCCGAGCAATCTCCTCTGGGTCGAAGTCAATCAAATTCAGGTTTTCGTTCATGTTCTTGGGGACTTTCACTTCGGGGGCGTTGTCGTCGCAGCCAAAGTTGCGTTCGCGCATGGCGCCGCCGAGCTTGGCCTTCTGCATGGCATTGCGGAGAGCCTTTGCCAGCTTTGGCGCATCCACCGAGACAGTCTCGCGAATGAAGCTGAGGACGGCCTCTTGCAGCTCCTCGTTGCCTTCGAAATCGGGCTGTGGGCTTTCCATCCACAACTTGAGCGCGTTGCACACACGCGCTTGAATCGAGCGCTGAGTGACCTGGAAGTCAGAATACGACGAATTAGGGGCCCGCACCACATTGTAGCTAAAAAAATGATGACACGGAATCACGAAATCAGAGTTGACAAAGTGATGGAGCACAAGTGAGTTTCGAGGTCACAAATCACTTCCACCGCCAAACACGATCGGGCGGGTTTGGCGAAAATAACGGCATGCTGCTTTACCGCTCAATCAGTTTTTGAAGCAGTCGCTCAGGTGACGTGAACGACTGGTAGGTGAGCAGGAATGTTTTGACAAACTTGAGATCTGTTTCAGAGCAACAACAACACACAAGGTCAGACAGGGCGTCCCAAACTTCCAAGTGCCGCGGCAGCCTTCCTTTTTTTGTTTCATCGACGCATCGTCATTACCTGCCATCTTGCTGTCTGTGAGACGCTCCACGAGCTTGTTGAAGCTGGCAGCGCGGACTTGTCGGTTGCCCTCGCTGTCTGGCTGCGTTTCCAGAAGAATGTTCGCATCAGAGTCTGGACCTTCATCCCAGATGTTCACCTCATAGTCGACCTCCACAAGACGGGAGTCGGTGCGTGACAAGGCTCGCTTGACCGTGCCGAGAGAGCGAGCAACCTTGGGAGCGAGTGGGTCGAGGAAGAGCAGGAGGAGCGCCTCGTCCGGCACACCTGCATCAAAGAGGGATTGGCTGGCTTGAAGCACGACGGGTCCGGTTGGCGCGTCGTGGCGGAGCCGGTAGGCTGCAGTTTGCGGGAGGCCGAATCGTCGGGCGACAGTCTCGCAGATCAGCGATGCCACCTCGTCCACGTCAAGCGAAACGGACTCGACATGCTGAGGCTCGCTGGCAAGCGCACAACGCATGTTCTTGCGGATGGCTCGGAAGACAAGGAACTCCTTGTTGCCAATGTCAAACAGCTTGCGCTCTGGCGGTTGCTGCTCATCGTCATACATGAACAGACCGTAATTGCGGTTGCTGTTGAGCGAATACTCGGTGATAACCATGTCAATGGCCTCTGCCACGGTCGCAGAATCGTCGACCAGCGGCTTGAGGACGATTGGCTTGTTTTCGCTGTGCGGAGGACGCGCGCGCGAGGCCAGATGGATTTCGATCGAGAATTGCTTGAATTTGCTCTTAAACTCGAGTTGCTCGCGGCTCTCTAGCTGGAAGGAGGCCAAAAACTTGTAGTCTTCCATCCAAATACCCGGTCGGTTGGCGTTCGGAAGCAGGTACAGGCCATAGTTGCTCGTGTCAATGACGGCCGCTTTGCGGAGCAGCATGGTGATGACCTCGGCCACAGTGGTGGTGAGTGGCACGAGCAGCTTGCGAGTTGTGCCGTGCTCTGGGAGGCCGATATCGAGCAGAACGGACTTGGCTTTTTCTTCGGTCGCTGCTGTGCGCTGTTTGAATTCCACCATGTCCTGAACACCCAGCTGGTAGGATGCGAGCGTCTCTGCGTCGTTGAGCCACAGCGACTCGCGAGTCAAGTAAAGCGCGTACTGCTGCTTCTCGAGGAAGGGATGCTGGCTCAGAATTTCATTGGTGACCTCTCGGACAGTGGTGAACTGGTAGTTTTTGGGGGGCAAAGGAAGGAAGGATGGAGTAGAGCAAATAAAGATGGAAAAAGAGCGGATTTGCATCAGGAAAGAAGGACGAAAATGAGCAAGGAACTGACGCAATCGCCAACATCCGCGCCACAATACCGCTTGCCTGATCATACGACAGTGTGCTGACAATCTCCTGAGCTGGCACAACAACACGAACTTCATGATGTTCAGGGGTCTTTGGCTTGACTTCGATCAACGTCTGTGTGGAAGTTAGTGAGAGACCAGCAGCTCGGTTGTCAGCGAAAAACAAATCGACCAAAAAAAAAAAAAAACCATCCCGAACTCAAAAAGCGGGCACCAGAGCAACGCCCTACCAATTCCTCGAGTTGGTACGACCAGAGAGTGCGTTCCTCCAGCAACCACAGACCGACTTCAGCGCCGTCCTTGATGATTTTGGCGAGCATGCCAAACGGCTCGTCGGTCTTGACGCCCATTTCGCGAATGATGAGCTGGATGGCGTCCTTGACCAGCGTGTATGGCGAGAGCTTGACTTTGCCAGACTGGCCGGTGGTTGGGATTTCCACACGCAGCGCGAGCAGGGCCGAGAGAGCGGTTGCAAGGCGCGGCGCCTTCAGTGTGAGCTTTTCGCCGCCTTCCTCGACCATCAAACCGGCCACTGCGATACGCACACCAGCAACACCGACACACAGAGATCGCGTGAGTATTTTTTCCCCCCAGAACTGCGCAATATCCAAAAAACCGTTTTTTTGAAAATGATCTGAGTGAAATTTCACACTCGCGACCAAACCGAAAACAGCAGAAAATAAAAACCAACCAAAAAACCCACAACCACAACCACAAAAACAAAAACGCACAAAGCTGCGGCCACAAGGCGCGGCACGACAAGCGCACACAACGAAAGAGGGTCTTTGCATGGTGAGAATATACTGACTCATCCCCGTGCTGCTCCCCCCCTCCCTGGTCACACTTTGTTTTTGTTTGTTCGCGACAAACCCGCCAATTCGATCGTGATGTGTGTTGCTGCGTAGTATTGTTTTTTTTTTTTTTTATTTTTTCTGTTTTTGTTTTTGTTTTGCATTGTGGTTTGGATCTATTTGATTTTTTTTTTTTTTTTTTTTTTTTTGGTTGCCACAGTTGCTCCATCGTCTCAAGCGTGCACCCCAGCACTTGGCTCGGCAACACGGCGTAGCAACGACGTTTGTCAAAAGTGATGGTGTTGTTTCTTTTGCTTCCGTCCCCTTCCTCTCTTCGCGCTTTTCAAACTGAAGAAATCGCCACAAACTGTGGTTGTTTTTTTGGAAAAGTAAGTAAGAAAAAAAAAAAAAAAAAAAAAAAAGACCAATTTCCAAGTCACCAGACGAAAAAAATGACTCAAGGATCGGTTCGGAAGGCGACAGTGATCGAATCGATCCACTGACAGGCAGGCGGGGCACTGCGAGACAAGACACAGCGCACACACACATGCAAATGGCAGGAGGAAGGAATTGGCCGCGCGGGGGGGGGAAAGAAGGGTGGGGAATCGGACGTACAGCGGGGATTGGCGAGTTTCACCGAGCCGTCGTAACTGAAATTGCTGCCGACAGAGCCGGTCGGGCTCGGGGGTGTCAGGGCACTCGAGGCCGATGCGGGGCCATTGCTGCCGACACTACTGCCGCCTTGGGAGCCAGACGCCGCCAGCGCTGGGGTTGCTGCCTGAGGCGCAGGGGAAGTGGCCTTCTTGTCCTTGGCGTCCTTGGCGTCCTTGTCCTTCACCGCGCGCTTGAACATGGCCAGTGCTGTTTGCTTGCTGCTCTTTTGTTGTGGGCGAGGGCGAATGGGCGAGACAGAGGGCGGGAGGCAGGGAGGAGATGTCGCGAAAATGCCCCAAAACCCAAAAACCAAAAACCAAAAACCAAAAGAAAAGAAAAAAAAAAAAAAAAAAGCAGGCGCGAGCAACAACGGAGCTCGATCGATCACAACGAACGATGGGGAGCGGCCGGAGAGCGAGAGCGAATAGCCGAGGACAAGAATCACAGGCCAATCAGCTCAAAGAGAGAGAGAGAGGAAGAAAGCGCGAGAATGCAATCCAAAAAAGCGCGAAAACAAAAGGTGGTTTTTGGGTTGCGCCTTGGATTGAAACAAAACCAGACGAGGAAAAAAAAAGAAAAAAAAAAAGAAAAAAAAAAGCGAATGAACCGACACAAATAGAGTACTCGCATCATCGCTCACATTGCAAAAGCGATCTACGGTGCACTGGTCATCACACAGGTAGATCTGCATCAGCACTAGCAAATCGCAGGCTTTGCGATTGAGCTGCTCGACCGGATCGCGCCAAATCATCCAACAACAAAATAACAAACGAAATAACACAAACCCCCCAAACGACAACAACAACATTCGACAATCTGCCGCTCGCCCAGACGCTCGTTGCGTGATTTGCGCCAGTAGCCCTTGCCCTTCCCCTCTGATTCAGCTGGCCTGGTTTGTTCTCACTGCTTGCTCGATGTTTCTGGTTTGGTCTTCACCGAGATTGCAGTCGCCATTTTTTTTTTTGTACTTTTTTCCTCCATTCTTTGTTTCGAACCAAATGCTGTCGTTTACCGCAGAGCGCTTCCCACGGACGTGTACGTGCACTGCCGCTGCTCCCTGTGTGACAAGTCGTTCATTGCGCCTTGAGCGTTGGTGGTGATGTGGCGCTTGTGGGAGAGTGGGAATCGTTCGTGTCTGCGGTGCTTTTTGGAGGGTTGACATGCTTTTCTCAAGCATGCGCTGTTGGCCGCCGCTTGCTTGTCGTTCCCCCCCCCTCCCTTTGCGTGTGGATTGGGGACGACTTGCGCTCAAACAACCATCCTGACGCTGCGGAGGGGCTTCCCCACCAGCGAGACGTGCGGTGCCTGCGTCTGGTGTGAAACGCGCGTGCAACGGGTTTTTGACAGCAAACATTGTATTTTTATTTTTTACGTTTTTTTTTTTCCAAATTTTTCTCTTTGCTCGTGCTCTGCCGCGCGCCTCCACCTGACCAACCCGACAGCCGGACATCCATCGTGCTGGGAAGAGAATCCATGTTTGCTCACTTTGTGCGTCGTTGCTGCGTGTGTCACAGCTGAGGTCAAGAGGGCGTCCAATCTGCCGTGGGGATGCGCTCTCAATCCGTTTGCACCGCCGCCGGTGAGGCTGGCGCGGATCGGTGCCGGCGGCGATGGCACTGGGGATGGATCCAAGCATGGCCAGACCGACCGGTCGAGCAACGGCGGGCAGGACGCTGCTGCTGGCACGACGGCGCCGCTTCCAGTTGCTGGTCGAGGCGACTGGCCTGGCAACCGCGATCCGTTCCATCCCGTCGTGGAGACCAACAGCGTTGCGGCAGTCATGCTCGCACGTTGCGGGGATTGCTCGGGCTACATTAACCCTTACATTTGCTGGAACAACTCGGGACAGTGGACGTGCCCGCTGTGCATGAGTCAATCGATGCCAAGTTCCGTTGCGCCGTCCTCCAGTCGAGACCCCGCCGCCGTTCCTTCGCCAGCTGAGCGTTACGCCAGGGCGAGCGCGCGGCCCTCGCTGCCCGAGCTCAATACGCCCGCCATTGACATGCCATTCCATCCTCGTGCTGGCGCGGGGGTGCAAGCGACCGCGACGTCCCCGCCCACGAGCCCCGCCGCCTTCGGGACTCGGACTACTGCTGCTGCTTCGTCAGCGAGTGTCCAACCTCAGCCCGTGTACATTGCACTCGTCGACACGACTGGCTCGCTGGAGGCAATGGCTGTCATCCGCGCCGGCGTCCTTGCGGCCTTCGAGTCTCTGCCTCCGCAGGCACTGTTCTGTCTCCTGACCTTCGACCACCAGCTTGGTGCGTTTGATCTGAAGACACTGGTTCGTCTGTCGGTCATTCGGAAAGGGCTTAATGCTGGCTTGGGCGACGAACATGCCGCCCGTCTCCGCGACCCAATGCTCGATCTCTCGACCGCGCCCGCCCCGCAGATCGCATTTGATGACAGTGAGCTGTCTGTGCCGCATGTTCGTTATATCCGCCTGGACACTGATCCGAGATTGCCGAGCACTCAACTAGAAGATTTGTTCTCTGTTGAAAGTCTGATGGTTCCGGTTAGGCTTTTTTTTGTCAAAGTTTTTCCTTGTTTTGTTTTTGCTCGTTCTGTTTACGACGTGTTGTGCCTAACGACCGCTCTTGTTTGTTTGTTGGATGAATTCTGGAAATAGGTCGGTGAATGCCAGGCCGCAGTCAACGACGCGCTCGAAACGCTTCCATCCATTTCGGGCTTGGCAGCGCGGCCGCTCGATCCAACTGCTGGCCCCTCTCTCACCATGCCCGCATCAACCCCCAGGCGAACCATTCCAGCCCTGGCAAGCGTGCTCGACATGCTTGTGCGTTTCAAGGAGGAGCGTTCATCCAAGCAAGAGGCTTTGAAGCCCGAATTCTTTGGTAAGCGGGGCTGGGTTTTCTTATGATGTTTTTTGCTGAGAAGAGTGCACAAAGAGTATCGTGTTGTTGTCACTAATCTCGGTCTTCTCCTTTTGACTGCTCCTGGTCGCAGCCCACTTGATGCTATTTACATGCGGGCCTCCGACCGACGGTCCGGGATCCGAGCCCGCACCACCTGCGCCTGCTCAGCATGCATCGCTGAGCTATCTCCGATCCCACACAACTGCCTTCCAAGCGATGGTAGGTTTCTTTTGTTGCAAAGAGCGACACGCGTCCAGCAAATGTTTCTAACTTTTGGGGTGGTTTTTTCAATACCAATCCGTGTGATCTAGGCCGCAAAAGCCGTTAGCACCTCGACCACCGTTGATCTTTTTATTTTGGACAGTGACAGCACCCACTTGGCAAACATGACGCCTCTTTCTGTGCTCACTGGGGGTGTGGTGCACACCTACCCATCGCTGGCGTCGTGCACATTGCCACAAGACGTGTAAGCGATCGGCTTGACTGCTTTTTGCCTTTTCTGACTCATTTTTATTTGCAGTGCAAGTGTACCGCGAGAGTGTTGTTTTGGATTGTTGACGAGCGCTTGGGTTTGGTTTGGTCCATTTGTGCAGATATCGCCGACTGTCGTTGCCTCGTGCCATGAACGCGCAGTTAAGGATCCGATGCTCCACCGAGCTTCAACTCAGTCACACAGCCAACCTTGTTTTCGGAGCCAGTGGTCGAGTCGATGCACAGCTCCTTCAGCTGGTTGGATGCGACCAATTCCGCACCATTCCCTTTGATATCGACTTTCGATATCCTGCAGAGGGCCTCACAAAGCAGTCCAGTCTCAAGTGCGTCCGCTATTTTGTGTGAACGTTGATGGTTGTTGATCGGCTTTCACCCACCTTGGCTCAAATGCTGATACTGACCGTGCGCCTGGCGTTTGTTTCTTGGGTAGTGGGTTGATTGGCATCCCCACTTTACAGGTTGCCTTTTTGTATCACTACTGCGCCTCCAAAACCGATGTTGTGCGAGGAGCCCGCCCTCTGATCGAACAGCGGCTGCGGTTGTGTACCGTTCAAATGCCCATTGCGCGCGACTTGGACGAATTGTACCACAGCATGCACGAAGACGTGGTCATGTGGATGATTACACAAAAGGTACACACCAGTGTGTTGTTGCAATTTTCATGACCGAATCGGATGTATTGACTTTTGCGAACGGTTTCCTTTCCTCTTTTTTTATTTTCAGATGCTATTGGCTAGCATCCAAGAAGGCATTCAGGCCGCCCGATCGGTTTTGTGTGACTGGCTCGTCGTCCTCCAGAAGAATTACTACCTGCACATCCAAAATACTCGTGGTCTGGATGCTGTCATTTCACCCAGCTCGACCACACCCGAGAGCGACAGGCAGGTCGAGGCGTTGCACTTCCCCTTCCATGTTGCGCTCGACCAATTACCGCGCTTGGTCTACGGGCTGCTGCGAGGGCCACTGTTGCATCCCAATCCGGCCAGTACAGATCGCCAGATTGCTGCTCATGTGGCCGTGTCAACACTGCCCTGCCATTTGGCCAAGTTAACCATGTACCCTGGATTGCTCTTGATGGATAGCACCCAGTCATTCAGCCCTTCACCCCGGCGTCTGTCTTCAAACTTTGCCGCCGTGCAAGACCTGCAACCACCCGCATGTCTTGTCGTTGACACCCTGACCTCCATCTTGGTAGTAATTTGTGCACCGCCTCAACAAGAGAATGCTGGGCGTGTCTCCACGCTCTCCTTGCTCCCATCCGACGGTACAGCATGTTGTTCAGAGTCGCTGTTGCGTTCGGGCATTTGCATTGGGCTTACCTGGATTTTGTTTGATCAATGTGTTGTTTGTCACAGCTCCTTTGCGTACCATCATTGATTTGTTAAAACGAAGTCGGCCAATGGCTCCGACCGTCAGTATTGTGCCGCAGGAGGCCATTCTCCAGTCGCGAAGATCGAATGACCCACTGCCTGGAATCCCATCGCTAGAATCCTTCTTTGTGGAAGATCCGCTCCCTCCAAACGTGGCTGTCGAGTACAATTCGGACGAGCTGGCCCTTTCCTTTGTGCACTTTGAGGAGCAGCTTGTCGAAGACGTCAATACCTTGCTTAGCGCGGCTTAAACAGACTGCTGGAAGTTATTTTTCAGCCACGCCTTTCATTATTTCCATTGTTAAGACCATCCTTCATAATATCACCTTTTTATTATACAACCAAATCAGTTCAAAGTATACATGTAATTACATTTTGTTGTTGTTGTTGTTGTTGTTGTTGTTGGAACAAGCGCTAAAACCCAACGATGATGGTGGTTCTTAGCAAATGACGCACCTGCCGTCCTTTGCTTTCGATTTCCTCGAAACACGGGGCTTGGAGGCATCGGAAGTCTTCTCGTGTGAGCGCTTCTTGCGAGGCGAGCCAGGAATGACAGTATGCGGCTCGGTCGGCTTGCGTGCGGCCTCAGAGTCAGAGTCAGAGTCCTCGGACGATGCAACGCCACTGTCAGACGCTCGACTCGTTTCGCCCGAATCCTCGTCGTCGTCGGCAAAATTGTCAACGCTCTCGCCCGCTTCCGCCGCCAGAATCTTCTTGTACGCCTTTTCATACTTTGCCGAATACTGCTGGAACTTGCCCGACTTTTCCTCGTAAAAGTAGTTGGGCTGGCCATATACGATCTGGGTACGTCTAGGGACCTTTGCTTGCTTTGCTGAACCAGGCTTCAGAGACGAGCTGTCTTCCACCTAGCGCAGAGGGCAAAACAAACAAAAAAAGAAAGAAAGAGAAAGAAACAAGACCAACAAGTGAGCGAAACTGACGAGTATACTACTGGTGGCAATCACCCCTCCAATGCCTAGCTGATACGCCACGATACATACCTCAGCTTCAGCTTCAGCAAACACGGTGGCCTCCTTGGCCGGGCCGGAAATGGCGTCCATCATGCTCGTCAGCTGGGCGTCCATCTTGCCCGCGCTTTGCTTTTCGGCTTTGAATGCCGCCAGGTGCTTCTCGCTCGCCTCTCGGTAGCAAGCCGCCAAAAACATGTCGGTGATCAGCTGGAACTGCGTAAACGGAACAAAGTAGCCGCCAGTCATGGCTGCCACGTCCCGGTAGAAGTGAGTGCCCGACGAGCCACCGGCTTGAACGCTGTACACCTTGATGCCCATGTGAGCAAGCTGCTCCGCTTCCAAGCGCCAGTCAATGTGAAGCGAAGTGTAGTCTGCCGGGTGCGGGTCGGCGTCTCCGATCAACACGAGGGCCTTGGAGGCGTCTTCGCTCCAGGACAAGTCCTGGATGCGGCGCAGCACGTACTCGTAGCACTCTGGTGCGTCACCGCCGCCCGTGTTGCCGACCTTCTCCACAAAGGAGCAAAGCTTCTTGATGTCCGAGGTCAAATCCTCTTGCTTGAGCACGTACGAGCTGAATTGGTCGCAGTAGTCGCCGAACGCGCAAATCGAAATCCGGAGACTGCTAATGTTGCTCATGAGCTTGGTGCTGATGGACTTGAGCTCTGCGCGAACCTGGTTTGATGAGTACGATAGCGTGAGTTGCAGCAAAGCAATACCTCCGCTTTGTGTCACTCGAAAAGGCGCTTTACCGCGGCAATGTACGAAGACATGCTTCCAGTAGTGTCGAACGCAAAGCAAATCTCAACCTTGTTTGACTGGCCGGTGGCAAAGCTTTGCATCAAAGCCTGCGAGATTCAAAAACCGTACAACTTCGAGTCAGTCAAAATATCGTGAACGAAGAAATGTAAAGGACAAGGCAAAAATCGAAACTTACATGCTTGTCAATGCTTGTAGTAAAGGACCCGTTGTCGGGCTTGCTCGATGCCGAGGAACCCTTGCCTTTGGAGCTGGCAGAGACGACAACGGTGGCGTTGAGAACCGCCTCTTCCTTGACGTTGTAGCTGTCAACTGCACGCCCAGTCTCGAGCACAACTCCGTCGTACTCGAGCGTCAAGTCTTCGGCCGCAATACCGTGCGTGTCGCGCATAATGTCAAAGATGCGGCGCACTGGCTCATTGCCTTTGATGGTGACGGGCGTGACGAGTCCGGTGGCGGTTTTGACAAAGAGGTTGATTGTCTTGGGCGCCATAAATTCGACCTTGAGCACCGACTCTTTGGTGATGGAGTAAAATCCAACCGTCTTGTCGGCTTCGAGCGGCTTGCCTGCAAACGTGAGGAGCTGGCGCGCGGCAGGCACAAGCTCTTTCTTCTGGATGAACGCTGTGATTGTCGAAATCAGATCGCTGTCCTTGACGTTCATCGGAATGACCTTGCCGGTCAGCGTTTTCACGAAAATGTCCATGATTGTGTCAATGTAGTGTGCTTGGCTTTGTGATAGTGTTGGTGTTGTTGAAGATGAAAGAATTACAAAAGAAAAGACTGTGCTTTGGAAAGCTCAAGATCGCAACGCCCTTTTATAGCGACAGCAAGCTCAAAATAGATTTTCAACCGACAAAAAAAACGCTTGTTTTTTATGTTTGCTCGGCTTTGCTCAGCATTTTGAACTATTAATAAACATTGCAGTTGTCAACTGAACGAAGGAATGCGAAACAGCAAAACGAGGGTGCGACAGTGTGAGTGGAAGCGAGTGTTGTTGCTAATGAGAGGACGAGAATCCAAGATGGAGCAAAGGGAAGCGCTCAAAGGTTGTGGAGGAACAGAAACGCTGATGCAGGTCTAATAGCGAGTGCACATTCTGTGGCAATGCTGACTCAACCACTGTCACAGAGCTTGGTGACATGCAGAAACAGTCGTGAGCGACGCAATGAGTGGCGGGAGTGTGGCTCATCGAACGCACAGATTGCAACTCGAAACTCTTGTTCTCCTTCTGGACGATCTTCAACATGGATGGTCAATCGAGCTGGCCAACGCTGACGACGTGTCTAGAAGTGAGGCTGCAGTGTTCTCGCTTGATCGAGGATCTCTCGCACGGACAAACTGATGTGCACTGGATATTTTACAATTCCAAACCAAAAACCGAACGATCGCGCACCAATCTGTCAATCATCGACGCATTCACACACCGATTGCGCAAAATGCACCAGATACTGCACACTATCGCACACAGCCTCACTCTTGAATTTTGACCCTACCCTGCATCTCAACAGATCCCAATTGCGGAAGAACTCGTCCAAATCTCTGCTAGAATGGACATCAATAGCATGGATTTGGCCAAGGCGCTGGCTGAAGCCGCAGCCAACCAAGCGGGCGGAATGGGCACCGGTGGCCTCGTTGCAGGCGACGACGCGAGCCATCCTGCCTACATTGCCATGGACGGGAGCAGCGGAGTGTATGGGGCGAGCGTGAATGGCTTGTACGGCAACTGGGCTGCGGACGAGTCCCAATCCCAGCAGCAGCAACAACAACAACAACAGCTACTACTACAGCAACAGCAGCAGCAACAGGCTCATCATCAGCAGCAGCAGCAGTTCGTGCTGGGACCCGGGACGATGGGCATGGCAGCGACGGGCTCGGGCTCCAATTCGCTCGACCTGGCCGCGCTTGCGGTTCGAGCAGCAGGCAGTGCTCCAGTGAGCTTCCGGGGCATCTCGACCGAAAGCGCACTCATCACATTGAACTGTGTGCTACCAAACGGCTCGGCACGGCTGATCGGGCTGCCGTTGTTCACCTCGTTTACCCAATTCTTGGTAAGGCAGAGCACCAACACTGCTAACACTGCGGTCTCTTCTTGCATGGTTGAATGTCTCTGATGTGTTTGTTTGCTTTTTTTAACTGGTCGACAGAACATGCTGATGGAAGAATTTGGGCAGCCGCTTACTTTTGAGTGTTAGTCGAACAGCCAATCTCAGAGAATCAACTGCTCTCGAAACATTGTGGTGTCTCACAGCTGCGCGTACTTGTCACTTTGATTAGATGTTGACGAAGAAGGCGAGCGAATCGCGGTCAAGAACGACAGCGATTTAGAAGAAATGATGACAATGGTAAATCCAGAATGTTGAATGTTGAGAATTTGAGATGAGGACGCTGCTGCCGCCGCAACTGTGCCTGTGGGACGGTGAAACTGACTGCTCTTTGGCAGTACTTTTACCTGCAAAGCAATCCGGCCACCGCAGCGCCAGTCACGCTTCACGTTCAACTCAATTCCACGTCAAGGCGCAACAAGAACAATTTGCTCAGTCTCAAAGTGGATGTTTCTGACATGGCAGCCGCACAACCATCAGGGCACCTGCAGGCCGGCAATGAAAACATGCCAGCTTCACAGTACGTACAGAGTCTGTCAGTCATGAGCATGTGATCTCGCCCCACTTTCTAAACCCCATTTCCTCACCTTCATCCTTGCCTCAGCAGCTCAATGGTGCCACCAGTTGACGCGGATACTGTAGAACGCTTTAGTCGTGTCCGAGTCATTCATGAAGAACTGCAACCCCTGGCAACTCTTGGTCATGGTGCAAGTGGCACTGTTCAGAAAGTATTGCACGAGCCCACAGGGTCTATTCTAGCATTGAAGGTAAGTCTGGTGGCCAGTGTTTGGGGGCTGCATTCGATCACCACAACAGGATGATGCTCGGGGGGGGGGTGGACACGAAACGTTTGCCATCGGCGGTCCAACTTCTCAATCCGAATGTGTTTGTTGATGTCCGCTAGATCATCCCGCTGGACCCGAACCTGCAAGTCCAACAAGCTAGCGCAAAGCAGATTATCACCGAATTGGACGTGCTGCACAAGTGCGAGTCTCCAGACATTATCACGTTCTACGGAGCGTACTTTCGAGACCATTGCATTTGCATGTGCATGGAGTACATGGACGGCGGCTCTCTCGAGTCCATGTACAAGGCGATTGGAACCATTCCAGAGCCAGTGCTGGGCCGTGTCATTGTTTCCGTAAGGGCTTTGCTTGGAGGCGGTTGCGCTGCGTGCTCCTCAGTGGAATGAATGCTGACCCTGATGTTGCGCGACGCGACGTTGCCATAGGTTGTGAACGGCCTCGTGTATCTGCACAACCAGTTCAAGATTTTGCATCGAGGTACTTTATTTCGATTTGGATCATTGAGTAGGCGAGAAGCTCACTGTTTTATTTTTTTTTGTCTTTTTTTGTTGTTTGTTTTTGGTTCTTGTTGTTTGCTGTCCGTGCCACCGCACATGTGTCGACATCCGGCCTGCTGCCTTTTCAGATGTCAAGCCGTCAAATATTCTCCTCAACACGCGTGGTGAAATCAAGCTCTGCGATTTTGGTGTCAGCGGCAAACTGGAAAATTCGATGGCACAGACCTTTGTTGGAACGAACGCGTACATGGCGGTAAGGATGTGATTTGGGCATTAGATGTGCGTGAACAAGTTGTGTAATTGATTGTGACTATGATCTGTTTTTTTTTTTTTTTTTCTGTTCGTGGTTGTTATTCATTTGGTTGGACGAACGCAGCCCGAGCGCATCCGAGGTGCTCCGTATACTGTCCGCTCGGATGTCTGGTCGCTGGGCATTTCGATTGTTGAGATGGCCACTGGTCGCTTTCCTTACCCGCAAGACACGAGCAACACGGCCCGACAGCTCAACACGTTCGAGCTGCTGTATTCTATTGTAGAAGAGCCAGTCCCGCGTCTGTCGGACGATGCTTTCTCGCCAGAACTGATCGATTTTGTTCGCTGCTGGTAAGCACTTTAACCAGGAGTCACCAGAAAGGTCGGAGGAGGAGAAACTGACTTTTCGCTTTTGTTTGTTGGTGTTTTTCTCCCTCTCCCTCTCTCCCTCTCTCCCTCTCTCCCTCTCCTCTCGCAGTCTCGTAAAGCAGCAAGACCAAAGGCCAACACCACTATTACTACAGGTATGGAACGCCATTCCCCTCGCATCGAATCCTGGTGTGCTGTCATCTAACCCCCTTTTTGCGCTTTGCTCCACCAGGGTCATCCGTTCTACCTGTCCACGGCGTCTCAGTACTTGAATATTGCCCAGTGGGTGGTTTCCGCGCTCGAGTACATGCGAATGCCCAAACGGACTTGACCTGTGTTTCATAATTTCCAGCTCTCATTTTTTCTTCTCCTCGTTTCTTCATCGTAATTCTATCATGCACGGGCAGTCATAGTTCAAACAATCGATGTTCGGATTCGAAAGAAATAACAACAACATCAACCCTTTGGCATCAATGCCAACAAGGAAGAAGTAGAAAAAACAACAACAACAAAAACCAAAAAGAAAAAAAAAAGCGAAATTCAACAACTAGAACAACAAGATGCACGGATGCGAAACGGTAGACATTCTCGCTTTCATCGGAAAGGAGAAAGCAAACAACAAAGTAGCAAGTACGTTGGCTTTTCCTTTTCCCGTCTGAACAAGCGTAGAAACGAAGGTGGGGAAGGAAAAAAGCAGTTTGCCAAGAAGGACGGATGATAAAAACAAAAAAAAACAAAGAATAAACACACAATCGCTCGATTATTGTCGAGGAATGTACGAAAGTGACTGCACGGACACGGCGCTCTGAGCACTTGGGGTTGTTTTCGTGCTCAAATGTGTCTCGTGCTCCAAAAAAAACAAAGAAAAAAAAAACCTCGTTTACAAAAGGAGGCACTTGGCCTTCTTCTTCTTGGGAGTGTCGCTGCTAGCGTTGCGCTTCTTGAAGCGGCGAATTTCACGAACAAGAGTGTAGAAGGCGTCCTCGACACGCGTTCGGGTCTTTGCAGAAGTCTCCATGAAGGGAATGCCAAATTGCTTGGCTGTTGCCTGGCCTTCCGTGTGCGACACTTGACGATCGCTCTCAAGATCGCACTTGTTGGCAACAAGAATCATGGGCACTTCGTCGGCATCCTTAACTCGCAAAATTTGCTCCCTGAAAGGATGGATTTCCTCAAACGATGGTCGCGAAGTGATGGCGTACACGCACAGGAAGCCCTCGCCAGTTCGCATGTATTGGTCGCGCATGGCGCTGTATTCCTCCTGGCCGGCGGTATCGAGAATGTCGAGTAGGCACGTCTCATCGTCGATGACGACCTGCTTGCGGTACGAGTCCTCTGTGTACCGTAAAACAAAAACAACGTTAGCACCCCAAAACAGTCAAAAGAGCGACAGAGAGACAGAGAAGAAGAGAAAAAAAAAAAGCACAAAGCGAACAAGGGTTTACCAATGGTGGGATCATACTCGTCCACGAAGCTGTTTCGGAATGCAGTCAAAAGGCGGAAGAGGGACAAGTGTTTGGGAGTGAGAGAAAGCGAGCGAGCAACCGCAAACCTCGACCAACCACAACCCCACCCACGCCTGCCTCCTCCCGCCCCGCCCCAGCCCCGTGATTTTTCCCGCCGCGGTAGCTGGAGAGCGAACGTTGATTCCGCTCAATTGTGTTTCTTGCGTGTTGAGGTGAAGAGGTCCTCTCTAGATTTGGGGGATGAGCGGTGAAGGACGTACTGGTTTTGGATGAGCTGGATGGTCAAGGCGGACTTGCCGACACCGCCGCCTGGAGCGAACAAGAAACAGACCAAAACAAGGGAACAAGGGAGTCAGTTCACGTTGCAAGCAGCACATGTCAACGATGGGGACGCGGTTGTTGTTTCCAAAAAAAAAAAAGTAAAATAAAAAAATACAATAAAAAAATACAAATAGTTGTGAAAAAAACCACAACAAGGGTTTTTTTTTTTTTTTTTTGAAAAATGCAATTCCATGACGATGGCGCTGAGGAACCAGAGTTGCAAAGAGACGTACCGCCAACAACAACGAGCTTGTACTCAGTCATGGCTTGATGCTTGAAACGATTGAGATGGAACTTGGAGACCGACGAGGGAAGCAGAAAATCTGGAAAAGCAGTTTTGATTTTGAAATGGCGGAGACAAAAGTTGGAGTGGGTGATGGCACCGTAAGCACAAAAGAATGGGGCAAACAAGAAGATGCAATACGAAAAGCTCACTAAAACAGGCCAGAAATATAAATAAAAAGGAGGGGCTGAAAACGATACTCTTGCAGCAAAAAAAAAAAAAAAAAAAAAAAATCGAGATCTTGAAATAACAGGAATAAAAAAAACGCTTCGCCTCCTCGCATTTGGAGCCCCTCCCCTCCCTCTGCCCTTCGATCGCGCCTGCAGCCCCACCTCCCCCATCCAAGGCAAGGACACCTCGGTCACGCTCGGTCAGCTTTTCCTACACGAGAAGCCAAAATACCAACAATGCAAAAATGGGCAAACCTCGAGTTATTTTGGGCGGATTCTTTTTTTTTTTTTTTTTGAAGCCCCAATTCAATTGATTGAAAAAAAAAGAAAAAAATCGATGAGATGAAGCAAAGCGAGAGAAGGGATGCGAAAAGCGACAGAGACGAGGTCGGTGCGGCCGCCATCTTGCAGCGGAGGTCGAGGGGGATGTGTGCGACCACCGTTGGACGCCAGATGCTGGGCGGCAGGGCCACCGACACGCAGGATGCACCGTTTGGTCGAACGAGCGGCCCAATTTGAAGCCCTATTTTTTTTTTTTTTTTTTGTTGGCTTTTTTTGCATTTGCGTTTGCAGTTGGGACTTTTTGTTTCTCGTCTTCCATCGAGTCCCTGGGTCGCCCCATCTGAGCCGAACGCCCGCCATCTTCATCACGCTCGTCCAGTGCTCCATTGGTCTGTGTGCTGGTGGGGTGGCGGAGTGGAGGGGGACCTGGCGAGCGCTTCAAAAAAGGCGTGTGGAAAAAAAAGAGGAAAAAAAAAAACAAGAAAAAAAAAAAACGACAGTCAAAATACAATGTCGAAAATACGAACAGCAACAAAATGGACTGCCATCCATTTTTTGGATTGTTGAATTTGTTTGCATTGCGTGTGGCTGCAATGCTGGATTTTGTGTTGTATGCGTTGAAATAGGAGGGGAGGAGGGAAGAGACCAAATGTTGATGTCAAATCTTGGGCTGCAAATGGTTGACGGGAGTTTCGTGCGCCAATAACAGCGGCGCGAACCTTGTACTGTTAAACACAAAAGCACATCAGTTTGAAAAAACATGGGTTGTAAGTACACTATGTAGAAAGGCCGGGTACAAACTCAGTATGAATTTCAGTCGTTTCCAACTCGGTTTCAAAGCCTTCCCAAGCAATCAACTCAATCCCAGTGTCCACAAAATCATTGGGATTGACACACAAACAACCAAAACAAAAAGAAGGCCATTCTATCTTGGAACGTCAGCACAAAGGCAAATGGCGGGACAACTGGACATTTACGCGCTGCTGGGCACCGACGCGGCACCCATCAAACTTACACCGCGGGCACCCCTCAACTCGGATGACGCATATGACAGTCAGGGGTAAGAACTCAGGGGGTTTTGTCGTGGAGAAAGAAGCAAGAGCGATGTAACAAAAAAATGGCGGGAAAACGAGCGGCCTGAAATCGCTTTGCCCCCTTTGGCTCTTGCGCGCCTTGAGCTGTGTGCTGTGGATAGAGCGAAAACAAGAGCGGAAAGGGGAAAATGCACAATGCCTTGTGATGGTTGAAGGGTAGCTGCTCAAAGCGGAGCTGCAATCCCGACGGAAGAAAGGCTTTTGCGTTTTGGCGCCTTTTTTTTTTCTTTTTCGCCTGCTTCCCAAGCTGGAAGAACAGCTCATTGTAATGCTTCACGAATCCTTTACTTTGCACAGATTCATTCATGCCGGAACCCAGTATGCATCCTACTTTGCCCCAGAAGCCTATTCTACACTGGTAGGCGCAACATGGCACCCCTTGCTCAATCCTTGTTGATGCGAATTCGCTCACCTGGCCAATTGCTATCACAGGTGGTCTTTGGGATCGGAAACTGGCTAGCAGTACGTCGTGATGCCGACTTTGTTGTATCGTTGGCATTCGGCGATACAGTCAAGCAGCGCGTGGCCGTTTTGAACGATCAACAAAGGTTTGTCCCAGCAAATTCAATCATTGCTGTTGATAGAAAGGGTAGCGGTCCCTCCGTGCCACTGACAGTATGATGGATGTGTATGTGCAATTTGACAGATCGTGGGTGGCAGAGATGAAATGGTCTGCAAGCGAAATCGCAGCCATCGAGGCGTTGGCGAGCGAGCAACGGTTGGCCAAGCTCACAGTCAAAGTCGAGATGCTGTCTTCGTCGTATTTGGCAGCATCGCCGCCCTCCATGAACTCGTCGGCGCTTGAGTGCTCGGCCCCTTCTACGCCTGCCAGCACTCAAAGTGGCGCGGCTTCGGCATCCATTTGGGAGATTGCCAGTGAAGCTGCGCCCCCGTGCACCCCACCCAAAGCCAGTGCGCCCGCCACCCCCTCGACGAAATCCGGAGGTGGTCGGAAGCGAGCTGCTTCCACTCCAGACAAGAAGGCCAGCGGAGCCAGTGGAGCCGGCGGTGAGGGCCGAGGAAACGCTTCGCCCGCTGGAGGGAGCAAGCGCGTCCGGATGGATCACGAATCGACTGCACTCGTTGGCAGTGCATTGGGCGACCTCCCCACGCCGAGTGCACGCTGGGGCATGACATTTACCTTGCTTGGCGGCTCCAGCCGCAACGCAGTCCTCTTTGGCGGGCAAGGCAACAACCAGGACATGGTTAAGGACACTGTCTGGATGTTGGAAGGTACGAACCTGTGAATGTGGACGCGGAGGACGTGTAAATGTGGACGCAGCTGGTTTGTGGTTGAGGCCGAGCTGTTCTGATGTTTTCCCGTGGCCGTCGCTCACACTCGCTCTCTGTCTCTGTCTGTCTCTCTCTCTCCCTCTCTTTTGATTTGCAGACGGTTGCAAATGGGTCCAGCTCGAAACGACTGGAACTGCACCTGCTCTGCGAATGGGACATTCATCCGTCGCCCACAACGGCCAAATCTACACGTTTGGTGGATCGCGCAAAATGCGCTGGTTTAACGATCTGTTCACTCTTGACACTACAAGCAATACCTGGACGACTGTGCAGGTACTGGTTTTTGATTGTGCGCGTTTACTCCAATGAGTGACTGACTGAAATCACACACAGTTCACTGGCCAGAGCCCAAGTGCGTCCTACCACTCTGTCTTTACCATTCGAGGGGACATGTTTGTTTTTGGCGGAATCCATGGCCATCAGTCGGATCGTATTCCCGATGTTTGCAAGAACGAACTGCATGTATTTAATTTCGGTATGCGTACTTTTGTGACATGCGTCACGGCAATTGCCTCGGGCTTCTCACTGTCAGCATCCCTTCGGTCGTGTTTGGATAGATTTGAGAAATTGGTACCGGCCCAGTGTGTTTGGCGACGTGCCCTCTCCCCGATCTGGGTATGGTTGGCGGCTAAAACTTTTTCGTTTGGTCGTTTGGGTGCTTACCTGCTGCTTGCCTGAATGCACCCCCTCCCATCCAGACACTCTGCTGTTGTCGCAGACGACGAACGCGTCTTCATCTTTGGCGGATGGGATGCGCCTGAATGCTATGATGATCTGTTCACGTTTGACGCCGGTGAGCATCATTCTAGAATATGCTTGGCCAGCATTGCGTGGTTGCCGTCACTCATCTCAGTTTCCGCCCATGTGTCTTTCAGTGATGATGGAGTTTACAAAGGTCGCGACGCATGGCGCAAGACCTTCTGCTCGCAGGTAAAACGAGAAATGTCAACGGTACTTTATGGAGTAAACGACCCGCAAAGCTCACTTGAATGTGGTTTTGACGCAACATGTGAATTACAGCTGGCATGCCGCTCTTCTCTTGCCGGGCAACCGCATGCTCATCTATGGAGGGTTTGACGGCAACCTGCCGATGGGGGACGCATTCCTTCTTGATCTCGGTAAACCCCTCACAACACACACGCACGCACCATTTCTCACTCTTACGCGAACTATTGATGCATGCTTCTTTTTTGCCGTTGAATGGTGGAGTTGGTCATTGGATTCGTTTCGATTGTGTTTTTATTGACTTTTTGACTACTACAGCCACAATGACTTGGCACAAAGTCACAAACCCGGAACTCTCCAAGCCTCGAGCAGGCCATGCCATGATCCTCTTACCTGCAGTCTCGGGCAACGCTCACGAAGACACAATTTGCGTGTTTGGCGGCGGCGACAACGACGACGGCTTTTACAATGATGTCGTGACTCTTCGCGCTGATCGCATCACTCTAGGTTGAAAGAAATAAAAAAAATAATTGCAAAGAATCAAGTGAGCAAACATGAAAAGAGCAAGGGGATGCAAGAGTAGTAGAAGAAAAACGAGATGAGAAGAAGAAGAGAGGGCATTTTGGGTGTGCTCAGGTTTAAAAAGCTCTGTGTTTTGTTTCTCCATGGGCTTGGTCAGAGGAAGAAATTCAAGTTGACTAGTTTATCATCCACGCAACCCCGAAATTGCCTTCAAAAAAGAGATGGAAAGGAGACAAAGGAGAGGTGCGAAGTGCTTACCCAGCAGATTGCATCGCAAGTGATCGACTCGAGATAGGCTCGTTGCGATTGCTCTTTGCAATGGATGGAATCATTCGTCTATAGTAAATCGAAAGGAATGACGGTGAGTCAAACAAGTCTCGCGAAGCGGGAAGGACAGTGAAAAAAGAGAGAAAGAAGGATGAGGAAAGGATGAAATCTGCAAGCCCATCATACACTTTGGATCTCAACATTGTACTTGATTTGATGAGCAAGTTCAGCTAGAGCTAATGTAAAGTAGGTTGATACAATCAGCTGGGCGGAACAGCAGGAAAGCGGAAGGAAAGGAAGAATAAAAAAAAAAAGCCATGTGGTCGACCGCATGGTTTTCAGCATTTGCTTTTTTTTACCTCTTCACTTCACGTCGAGCGCGGTGGCGATGCAGCACGACTTTGGAGCAGGATTGTCAACAAGCATGCCGTTTGAAATCTACAATCAGATGGGGTCGAACAAGTGAGAGAAACAGAAGCGCGCGAACAACAAGAAGCAAAAAGAAACAAAGAAGAGATCTTGAAAAGCGAAAGAAAAGAGAGAGAGAGAGAGAGATCAGAAACACGGGTGAAAGACTCGTCATGCTACTAAGTAGTCGGCAGAACGAAAGTTATTTGACTATATGTGTGTTTTCATCAACTCGAGAGCAGAGAGCGAGTGCGAGTGCGAGTGCGAAGGCGAAGGCGAAGGCGAAGAATACAAAGAAGAAGAACGAGAAAAAAAAAAAACAAGTAACTTACAAAAACAAAGCGAGACTGACTTTGGCCTCGAAACCCCCAAATCAAGAAACGATTCGTCAAAAACAACAAAGCTGAAAAACAAAAAAACAAAAAACAAGTCTTGGATGAATGGAACAAGTAGAATGGCAATACAGGAAGATCTGGTTTTGAATCGAGATTTTAGCATTCTCATACAACAATGAAAACTCTCATTGCTTTTTTTTTTTTTTTTTTTTTTTTTTGGTTTCTTTGGCTTGATTCCTCAAAATCAAAAACATCAAAACACACTAGACAAAATGGCCGATCCCGCGCCGACCACGCTGCCACCGCTGCCGGCGACGATGGTGGTGTGGCACGCGTTCACGGCCGAGGGTGAGTACGAGCTGACCGTAGCGCAGGGCGACGAGGTCCGCGCCCTCCGCGCAGTGGACGACGACTGGATGGAAGCTGAATTTGCTGGGCGAATTGGTATTCTTCCCATCTCGTATCTCGAGCTGCCGTCCGCTGCTGCCACTGCTGCGACAAACGATGATGATGCTGCTGCTGCGACTGCTGCTTCAACGACGGCGGCGGCGGCGGCGGCGTCGGACGCTGGAGATGCCGCTACTGCGACCAGCAATGATTCTGATCCTCCTTCTGCCACTCCTGCCGCTACTGCCACTCCTGCCCCTGCAAAGGTCGCCGCTCCATCGGCAGCCCCATCAACTGCCAGTGCAGTCACTCCACCGTCGCCCAAGACGGCAGCGCAGGGCGCGACCGCCCCAAAGGCAAACACCAAACCAGCTGTCAACAGTGTCAACAAGCCAGCGCTCAAGACGACGAACGGCAGCGCGCAACGCACGGGCCAGAAGCCAGCCGTCAATGCTGCGACAAAGCCCGCTGCCACTGGAGCACGCACGTCCATTACCAGCGCGTCTCCGACCAGCCGGACTGCACCCGCGACATTGAACAAGCAGCCTGCTGCAACAACCGAGTCGTCTTCTGCAACCGATTCGGCCGTTGTCGTGACCAATGGTACAAGCACCAAGACACCAGCGTCGAGCACTGCAGCACCCGCCCCGAACGGGACTCCTGCTGCTTCTGCACCCGCCGCCGCCGCCGCCGCCGCCGCCGCTCTCGTCCCTGCCCGCTCCGCCCCTGCCATTCCCACGCATCGCGCTGTCGACGACTTTACCGCCGAGCTGGACACAGAAGTCACATTTGCAGTGGGCGATCTGCTGGTTGTGACCAGTATGGTGGACGAGAACTGGCTCTTGGGCTTCCTGGCCAAAGATCCTGCACAACGCCTTGGCATTTTCCCAAACACCTATGTCGAGCAGCTTGGTCAGCCCGCGACACCCACTGCTCCCCAGAGTGTCGACCAACCGCTCAAGACTCCCGCCACCAACAATGAGGTAGTGTCCGATGCACACGCCCCGGCCGCCCCTGCATCCATCATCTCCAGCGACACGTCAGACCGGCTAACCTCTGCGCTCGGAGTTGCGTCAGCCCTGGAGGACTTTGAGTCCGAGGATGCTGCCGAGCTCACCGTCCGCAAGAGCGACCTGGTGACCGTTTTGTGCCGCATCGACGAGAATTGGTTTGAGTGCTTGCTCAACGGTCGCGTCGGCATTGTGCCAGTCGCTTCGCTGTCTGACCCCGACCCTGCCAAACTTCCGGGGCGCGTTGCCTCTATGGCTTCGCAGGCGGTTGGTGGAGCGGTCGGTGCCGACGCCAAACCCAAAACGCGAAGTGCGCCTTCTCGCGCTCTCCCTCAGTCTGCAACTCCTGCACAGCAACGACCGGCTGCTGCTGCCGCTGTCGCGCGTCCAGCAGGTGCGGCTGCCAACCGCCAGTCGATTGTGCGCACAAACGGTGCCCCGAACTCGCCCGGAGCTGCCGCAACAACGCCAAGGGCATCTGCAGCAGTGGTTCGCAAGCCCTCGTCGGTGGTATCATCTCCGGCCGCCGCCAGTCCTTCTGCCTCCAGCTCTGGTGTGTTTGGTCTGTTTAGCAGCGGGTCAAGCAGCTCCTCATCGGACAAGAAAAAGAAACCGCGACCAGTCATCACAGTCGTGTCAGCTGCTCCCATGGATCCCAATGCCAAGCCATTTGAGCATGCCACGACGCCCACTGCCGCAGCAGCAGCAGCACCTCCTACTACTACAGCACCTCCTACTGCAGCACCTGCTGCGTCGCCAGCCGCGCCAGCCGCAGCCACCCCTCCCTCTGCGCCTGGAAGGCCGGCGGCGGCTCCATCACGCCCACCAGCTGCTGTTGCTCGCCCTGTCGTTACCGCGGCCAAGCCGTCGCCGATACGAAGCTCGTTGCCCACTGTCAAAACAAATGGCGCTCCAGCTCGCGCACCGAATCCCCCTCGCTCCGCTAGCCTGCCCACCCCAGCCCCGATCGTCGCTGTGGTGGATCCGACGCCTGCCGCACTTCCAGAGTCACCCAAAACGCCCGTTGACAAGCGAGAAATGATTTTGCGAGAGCTGGTGGCGACAGAAGAGAGCTACATTGCAGACTTGAACATGATTTACACGAGCTACGTCCTGCCAATGAGTGAGGCCGAGCTGCCTGGTATCGATCTGGACACGCTCTTTGGAAACGTCGTGGAGGTGGCTGATGTCAACGAGCGGTTGCTGGGCATGCTGAAGGTCCAGCAGTCTCTTGTCGATCCCACCCAGATGCGTATCGGCGAGTGCTTTGTGGACGTCGGCAAAGACTTCAAGTCCGTGTACGGCATCTTTTGTCGGAATCACGATGACAGCGCGGCTCTCACCATTGCGCTCGAGCAGGATCCCACCTCGCCCGCTGGCCAACTGCTCAAGCAATGCCACGACCAGCTGCGTCTCAAGTCAACCGGCCTGTGCGATCTGAGCAGCCTGCTCATCAAGCCCATTCAACGCATCCTCAAGTACCCACTGCTGCTCACCGAGCTGGTCAAGGCGACCTCGCCATCGCATCCTGATGCCGACTCGATCCAACGCGCAGTGACGCTCACCAAAGAGATTGCAGCCGACATCAACGAACTCAAGCGACGCAAAGATTTGGTTCAAAAGTACATTTCTCCCAATCGCCGCCAGACCGTCTACAACCCGCCGCGAAAGGCTGCGGCGGCTGAGACTGAAGACTCTGAGCAAGACGCCGTCGCCGGTCCCACGCTCGCCCCAGCGTTCGATCCTGGCCGCGGCAAGATTGAGCGTCTGAATTGGCATTCCATCAGCAAAAAGACCACCCGCATGAAGCAAGGCATTCTGCAGTTTACCGGCCAAGCGTCCCAGACCATCGACGAGAAGTTTGTGCTTGAGGAGAAACGATTCAAGCGGCTGCAAAAGTCCGTCCAGTCCCTGCTTCGCTGCATCCAATCGCACGTGCAGGCCTGCAAGGATGCATCCACCGCGCAAACGACCGTTTCTCAGCACATCAAGGAGTTTTACTGGACGGATTCTTTTCAGCGTGCGGAAATCAACATGTATCAGCATGCTCACTTGATGATTGACCGCGAAGCCCTCGATTTCTATGTACGTGGCGGCAGCAACTCGGCGTTTCTTGCTGTTCTCAATCCCCCGTTTGATGCTGACCTTGATTTGTTGCTGGTTTTATTTTGTTGCCCTTCCCTTGCATTATTTTCCACTGACAGCTGCGAATGCTGCAACGCCGCGTTATTGCCCCTCTCGAGGTTCTTCTGTCACACTTCCAAAACCCAGCATCGCTCATCCAGAAGCGCTACCACAAGCTGCTCGATTTTGACAATTCGACGAGCAAGATGCGCTCAATGAAAGACATTGAGGTCACTGAATCGGTGCGTGAAAATGCGTCGTAGACTGTCCGAGGGCGTGTTGAACGATGCGTACCCTGTTGAGCTCACGCGTCTCCATTTGTTCTGTTTTTCTGTGCATGTAGATTGTCACCGCGCACAACTTTACCAAGAATACCTATCTGGCACTGAATGATCAGTTGCTGGAAGAGCTGCCACGCTTTTGGAAGCTGGCACAGTCGCTTTTGCACACGGTCATTTCCACGCTGATCAGCAGCCACGACCAGTACTATTCAAAGACTGTGGAGCTACTCTTGCCCATGTACAGCTCCTCGTTGCTGCGTCAAGATCAAGAAATCATTCGTGGCTTCTTTGAGCGGCAAGCGCCCAGTATCAAGCGCATGCTCGCGCTGCCCGTAGTTCCTGCGTACTTTACGCGCACGTTTGAGATGGCCTTCCGCAAGAACGGTGCAATGATGGACTTGACTCCAGATCCGAGCGCTTTCCGCCGACAAGAGCTGATCAAAGGCGTCGAAGAAGCCTGGGTCTCCATTGCGGTACGGAGCAGTTCTTTTGATGATTTTATTCTCTCCTGGGGCGCTCGCGTCTCATTGCTGATTTACCCACCTTCTGTTTGTTTGGCCAGGATGATGAGACTGCGCGTGCAGGGATGCAAAGTCTCTTGGACGTGTACAATGCCCAACCGGGCTTTAGTGACGTCAAGAGCAATGCCGAGCTGAAACGCAAGATTGGCATCCTCAACGGTCAAATCACCAAATCGCGCTTCCAGCTTCGTCGATTGCAAAGTACGTCCAACACCCGTTGTTCAATTTTATACTTTTCTTTCTCTTCTCTCTCTCTCTTTGTCTACTTTGTTTTGCTCACTTCGCCACTTTGAACCCCTGCAGACGAGCTCTCGCAGATGGCCGCCAGCGCTCCTGAAAACATTGATGGCTTCTTGATTGAGCAGCCGTCTCAGGAGCAACTCACAATTTCTCGCGCCAACCGAAAGAGCGTCATGCTGTCGGACGCTCCAACAACTCCGATCGGACTGTCGACAGGCTCTGCGCAGCTCCAGCAGAAACAGCCAGCTCGTATGGCACCTGCCACGTCGATGGAAAGCATTTCGTCGTTTGACAGCGTGTCGATTGATCCTGCTGCATCGACAACGCCTTCGCACGCCACTCACGACGAAGCGGAGCCTTCCAACGATCATACGGTAGAACCCCAGTCGCAGGCACAGGATGAGCACGTTGTGCCAGTTGAGCACCCGGAAGAGACCACCTACGTTGCAGGCGACGATGGTGCCGCTGCTTTCGAAGCGTCAAGTGAAACTGCGTACGTTGCGACCGAAACAGCCGTTGTTCTTGGAGCCCAATACCGCGCCATGTATTCCTTCCAGAGCGACGTAGCCAACAACATTTCGTACGACGAAGGCGAATTGTTTGAGCTGATTCAGGACTGTGACGACCAGGGCAATCGCGACTGGTGGAGGGTTCGCCGTCTCTTGAACAACGAAGAAGGCTTTGTTGCGCACAATTATATCGAGCTGCTTCCTGTGGAAAATGGCCACGTGGCAGAAGCGGGCGATCACACGCACGATCCCGGTCACATTGACGAACCCGCGGCGGAAACGGAGGCAAATCATCACGTGGAAGACCCAGTCGACAACATTCCGGCTGAACCCGTGGCTGAAGTTGAGCAGACTGCATGAGCCTGTGTTGGCGTTTGATTTGAAAAGAATGACATGGATTGGGGGCGGGGTGCTGGTGTATTGAATTTTAATGTGTTTGAAAGAAACTCGCATCCTCCAAAGTAGCCAAAACCATCCCTCTGTCGTATTCGAGTGACATCAAGCATCGAAGAGCTACAAAGGCTGTGAGCCATCCGTGGGTCGAGCAGAATGACCACGGCCTCGGCCGCGAGGAGCGCCATCACCGCGTCCTCTTCCACCACTTCCACCACCACCTCTGCTACCCCTGCGAGAGGAGCTGTCGGAACGCCCAGCGCCTGCTGCTTCATGTCCAGGCTGTGCGGCGGCCGCGTCTGGATTGGCAGCGGCAGTGGCAGTCCGCGCGCCTCGGCCACCGCGCGGCCCATTGTGGCGTGCATTTCGCGAAGGAGGTTGAGCAGAGCTAGGACCTACGTTGTAAAGTGCAATAAGAGTAGAAAGTGAGTCCGGGCCAGCAACAGCAGTTCGACAGTTCCAGCCTTGTAGGAGAACTAGACTCCAAACACTCACTAGCAGCTGCGGGTGCTGCGGCTGGTGGTGCCGCACTCGCGGAAGCAACTGCAGGTGCTGATGGCGCCGCAGCGGCAGGTACAGGAGTGGCAGCAGGGGGTGCAGCAGAATTCGCAGCAGTCGCAGAAGCAGCAGCAGCAGCAGCAGCAACTGGTTCTCGTGGTTTGCGGGCAAGGATGGTAATCTTTTTGGCGGGCGGTGCGGGATTGGTTGCGGATGGGACTGAAGCAGCAGCAGCAGCAGCAGCAGCAGTTGCAGGTTGTGCAGTCGTGGCAGGAGCAGGACTGGCTGCAGTCGGCGCAGGAACCGAGGTAGAGGCAGCTGATGAGCTGGATGCCGCGCGTACCGCGAGTTTGCGTGTCTCTCGCTCGAGTTTCCGGACAGCCTTGGCTTCTTCAGAGGCCTTTTTGCTTGATGCTCGCTTGTCTGCTTTTGCGGCGGCTTTCGCGGCGGCTCTGGAAATGGCTGCCTCGGCAGCGGTCTGCTTCAATTTGGCCTGTCGCATGTGCTGCTCCTTGAGCAGCTCTGCTTCTTTGGCCATTCTGGCCTCCTTCGCCAGGCGTGTCTTTTTCTGATTTTGAGGGGTGGCATCAGCAACGACCGTCAGAAGTCAAATGCAGCAAACAAGAGCAGACAAAATTCCGGCCCAAAAGGTGCTGCTTCGCGGTGTCTCTTACCTGTGCTTTGTCGCGCATAAACTCAATCAGCGGTGTGGTCTGCTTTGCGGCAACTGTTTGGGGTGTGGGAGTGGAGGGTTTGAGTTGGAAAACCAGAATTGAGCAAACCACCTCGGCCGAATCATAAGACACTAAACGCCATTCCCCACCCCCCGCGCCTTCCCATTACCTTCAGCTTGCGAAGGTGTGCTAATTTCGAGGGCCAAAGCAACCGCTGAAGCGGGAGCAGCGGCGGGTGTGTTCAAAGCCTCGACAAAAGCGAGATAGTCCTTGTCTGCAAAAGAACCAAATCAACGCCACAATCAGAACCAATATGAGCACAACAATAATAATAACGCAACAGTCTATGCCTCCCCCCCCCCAATGTGTACCCGTGCTAAGCGTGCCCATTTTGGGGTCTGGGCGGCGGCGTCGACTCGGGTTTGGAGTGCGCTGGAACGGCGCGAGCTCGGCAATCGCCGTGTGTGTCGTCCCGCGCGAGTCACGGAAGACGTGTCCGTTCATCTGCTGCGCGAGCTGAGCGAGGGCCTCGGGCGTCTTGAGCGTGATGTACACGGTTGCGAACGCGTTCGGGCCAAGACTATGATCGAGAGAGAGAGAGAGAGAGGACAAGTGAGTGAAGCACCCATCCGCTCGTCAACAGATCACAATGGCATGATGCAAATGCATGATCAGCAACAGCATGGCAAAAACAAGTCCATTTTGGAGGATTGAGTGAGCGAGTGAGCGCGGGGCTTTGGCTTTTGCATTGTTACCTGAGGCGACCGGGGACGAGGTACAGGTAGCTGATGCTCGCCTCAAACCCGGCGAGATGCTTCTCGCGGAAGACGGCCTCGTCGAGAAGTGGCGGCAGACGCCGGATGACGAGCTTGAGCGGCGGTGCAGGGCCACCAGGAGGAGGTGCTGCTGCTGCTGTTGCGGGAGCCTCAACTGCACTCATCTGAGAATAAGAGTGACTGCAACGCAACAACACTTTCTAGTAGATCGGTTTTTTGGCAAGGAGCAAAAACATTCGAAAGGATTCGAAAGGAAGCAAACAATCGTTAAAGTACAGCTCATATTAACATAAATACATCGCAACCGCTCGTAAAGTACATGTTTCCCCAGCAGGTATCAACAGCAGACGCAGGACAAAAGCTACTGCTCCATGGGCGCAGAGACTTCGTGGTGCGCGTACGAGGGCTGCCCATCGAGCAGGTGTGCCGAATCCGTGCCGCTGAGCTCGCTCTCCTCGTCGCGCTCGCTGTCCTCGTTCGCATCTTCTGGCGCGCACAGATACTCGACAAAGCTGACTTGGCTGTCCTCGTTGGAAATCATAAACTGCAAGGACAGAAAGCCGCGCGCATTCATGCGCATGGACGTCTTGGTGGAGATTGCCAGACCCTTGATGGAAGGGGCAATCAAAGACATTCGGTACCGGTTGCACTGCGGTCGGAAGCACTCGAACGTTTCAATGACGAAAGAGTCAAAGGGGAAGTCGACCTGCAGAGGGGAGAAAGCAATAATAAAAGCCCGAAGAAGCGCGAAAAAAAAAAAAAAAAGATTGCCAAGTCAACCATACAGGACGGCCGACTGACTGCCAGACGATGCGCTGGCCACAGAGTGCACAACGCCAACACGTAACACGTACATTCACTTGGCCAGCTTGGCCTGTTGTGGAAAGCCGCAAATACGGTTCATCGGGCGACATGACCACTTCCAAAAACTCGCTCGAGGTATCCAGCTCGGCAAATGCGCCCTTCATGCCTTCTGACTGCTCGTAGGGCAAGGATGATTGCCAGAGGGGAGGAAAAGAATCGAGGGAGCGAAGGGGGGGGGAAGAAAAAGTTGAGCAACCCGAGCAGCAAAAACTGCTTGCGTATGCTCTTGCGCATGGATCAACAAACTTGCTTCGTACCTTCACAATGAGCTTGTTGTGAACGCCAAAGCTGTTGAAGGCAAAGTCCAGAATATCGTCAGGCTCGAGCGTGCGCAGATCGCAATCGGCAAACACACCGCCTTCTTCCAATCTGTGAGATTTGCAATCGCGTGTGGGTATGAGTGCCATCATAAAGCAACAGCAGCCTTCGTTTTTGAAGCAGCGGTACCCCATCACCACAAACACCAATGTACGCGCGGTTTTGGCGATGAACGTACAACAAGTTCAGCACCGATCCTGGTCCGCAATACGTCAATTTGAGTGCGGTTGGTGCTGGTGCCGGCGCCGTTCCGCTTGAGAAAATGTTGAGACAATCTAGAAGCTTTTCCAGATGGATCTTGAAGGGCGGAAGCTCCGCAGGGCAAGTGTATTGCAAGAAGATTGCAGCCTGGATGAGCAAACCAGTAAGAAGTGAGTGGGTGTTGTTCCGTTCCTGCTCTTTCCAGCAGCTGCAAATCTCTAAACATCCTGCATATCCAATCTGACTGTGTTTTGCTCATTGATCTCTGCATGAGGAGGAAGCGGATCGATGCAAGACACTCACTTGAAGAAACGCGTTGGCCTGCATGCTCTTGGCGTCTTCGGCGACAAACTTGATCCCGCCTGGCAGAATGAAGACAGTGGCTACTGCGTTCTTCTACACTCCAAGAGCGTTGAGCCGCGCGAGAAGGAAGAAAATGGGTGGAAAACGCAGCGAGAGAGAGGGTGAGATTTTGGCGGGAAAACAACAAACTGGCATGCAACTTCGCTTCCATCCCCCCCAACCCCCTTGCCCCTTCGCAATGCAAGTGCGCACATCAGTAAGCAGAATGGACTTGAGCATCACGGAAATCCGGCGGGCGTTGGCGAGGCGCGCGACGAACGCGGGCACGGGCTGCGCGTCGTCTTGCTGCTGCTGCTGCATTGCAAAAAGTGCAAAAAGTGACGCTTTGAGAAAATCTGATAATTTTAGGACTGAGAAATCTGAGCTGAAATAAACGAACAGAACAAGAAAAAAAGTAGACTTATAATCATACAAACATGAACTACTCGACAGCTCACTCAAACCCAACGGGAAGCCCAATGCCGAGCGCTTCACACACAAACTGCACAATCTCGTTCGTGCATGCGCGCGTCATGGTCAGCTTGTTGACGGTGATGGCAATCGACACTTGCGAGTCGGCGTCGCAAAGGGCAATGGAACCGCCAATGCCAGAGTGGCCAAACGCAGTGTACGCGACCGAGCCGGTGACTGGGTTTTCGAGACCGTAGATTCGCACGCCCAGGCCGTAGCGGATGGCTTCGCCGGTGAACGGGCTGCGCTCGACGGCCACTTGCGTCCGCATATCAGACACCGTGTCGGCTGAGAGCAGTCGGTGTGGACGATGGTCAGCGCCAGTGGATTGGGGAATCGCTCCACCGCAAGCCAACGAAGCGTAGATTTTGGCCAAGGCGCGAGCACTGAAGTGGCCGTTCGCGGCAGGGATGGCAGCCTTTCGAACCCGTGCCAGGTTGAACAAGCAAGGGTCCAGCGGAGATCCGCCGCCACGAGCCACGCGGGAAATGTCGCCGTCCGCGAAAGCGCTCGGAATGGCGGCCGCGGTGGCACGATCCGTCTGCCCGGCACGCATGGCTCGAACCATGCCTTGGATTTCCTCGGCAGACGGTGCGCCGCCGTCTTTGCCAAAGCTGTTGATGAGCGTGGCACAGCGATCGATCAGCGCGGGCTGATCGTCCAGCGGCAGCCCAATGAAAGCCTCGTGTTGGATGCCCAGCGGCTCGACGATCTCGGTCTTTACAATATCGGAAAGACTGCGTCCTCCAGTCAGCTTTGATTGCACGATGCCGCCGAGTAACCATCCGAAGGACAGGTAGTGGTAGTGCGCCTCTTTGCCTGGAGGGTGCACTGGGGTGGCCTTGGCGACCTTGTCAAGCATCTTGTCGTAGTCTACCAACTCGTCAAGAGTTGTACCCCCGCCAACGGCGGCGTGCAGGCCTGCCGTATGCGACAGCGCTTGGGCGACAGTGCAATCTCCCTTGCCATTCTGCGCAAACTCTGGCCAATATTTCGAAACGCGATCCGAGTAGCGAATGAGCCCACGGCTGGCCAACACGTGCACCTATTATTGATGGACCCAAAAAAAAGGCACACACAGAGAGCAAAACAAAAAAAAACAAGCAAAAGAAATGAAATTGAGCAAGGCAAGCACATCGGAACCAGAAACTGATTCTGAAAAACAAACACAAGACACTCACCGCCAATGCAGCCACAGGCTTGGTGGCAGAAAAGACGTTGAAAAGCGAGTCAGGCCGCACTGGACGTGGATCAACCGTGCCCAGGGTGCCTGCACACGCGTCGACAATTTGAACGCCCTGCCGGAAAACGGCAACTTGGATGCCAACAAACTCTTCGCGCTGGTGCAACTCGTGCAAGAGTCGGCGCACGCGTGTGTCAAGCGACGACGGGACTGGAGATGGAAACACGACGTGTCGGGCGTGTTGCGAGTGTGGAAACTTGTCCAGCAGCGCCAGCCGCGCGTACGGTGTCATCACGCTCAGATAGGGCAGCCTGACGTCCACGGCGCTGCACAATCCGCGAAGCAGTTGCGTCACGCGGAAGAAGAAGACCAGCTCTCCCGGCCATGAGTCGACTGGGTTGCGTTTGGATCGAGGAAGTTGGTTGTACTGCTCCATCTGTGCCTTGACGTGCTTGTTGAATTCGTCACGGGCCTCGGCGGAGGGAGAAGTATCGCGCAGAACAAAGCTGGAGAATAGCAGCAGCAGCAGCAACAAGGTCAGGCAACGTTTTTATCCCGCCCCAAGCAATCATTCTCGCGCTTCTTCTTTCTCACCGAATCGCATTCATATCTTCCATTGGATCGTCGCGGTTGAGCTTGAGCCCCATTTCTTCAAATGCAAGCAAGAGCCCGCCGTAATCCATTGCTGCTGCCGCATGAATCATCCGCGAGAAGGCCAGGCGCATGCGCTGGTTGATCTTCTTGGTGAGGCCAAAGTCAAGCAACACCGGAGTGGCTTTGCCATCGCGCACGTCCACGAGAATGTTCCTGTCAGACGCGCCAGTCAGATCCATCAAGAATGAGAGGCAGCAGAAACGTGAATAGTTTGACCCAATCCAGCCACACAAACAAACAATAAATACCCAAGGCGCAAATGCTTGCTTACCCGGCATGGGGATCGGCGTTGAAAAATCCGTCAATATACACCTGGTGTGCGTACGCCTGGCAGATGCGGCGAACAAGGGCCAGTCGATCGACTCCACAACGATCCAGTTCCGCAAGGTCGGTCACCTTGAATCCGTCGACAAAAGTCTGCACAAGAACTCGCTCGGACGTGCAGTCTGGAACAACGTCTGGAATAATCACGTCAATATCAGCCAGGCGGAGATTGGTCGCAACCGTGGCCATGTTCTCGGCCTCGTTATGAAAGTCCAGCTCCTTGACTGCTTCCTTCGCCCACTCGACAACCACCGGCCGAAAATCAAACTCCGGGTTGAGGTAGGCCACACCCGTCATGATCACCTCCAGATTCACCATGTCTTGGCGCATAATGCGGTCAACGTCGCGATGCTGCACTTTCACCACCACCGGCGTGCCGTTTTTCAGCGTGGCTCGGTGAACCTGGGCAATCGATGCTGCTGCGATGGGAGTCTTTTCGATTGTTTCAAACAGCTCGTGCGCTTCCCGGCCAAAGTCTTCGCGAATGGTCGCCTCGACGTCCGAGAATGGCTGCGGCGGCATTTGGTCTTGCAGGCGCACGAGTTCCGTGATCCTGTGATGAGCGACGCATTGTTCAACAAACAAAAAAATCAGAAAGCACGCACGCATGGGCAAACAAGTCAGCAGCCCATCGAGCACAAAAATGCGATTCGCAACAGCACGCTCACCAAGCGTCGGGAAGCACATCGCTGCGAGCACTCATGTACTGGCCAACTTTGACCCAGAAGCCCTTGAGCGACACAATGGCGTTGAAAACACGACGAGCGTTGCGGGAATGAACCGTTTGCCAGTAAAGGTCGTCCTCCTCCTTGCTGAGCCGAAAGTAGGAAGAGTACAATTGTGCAAACTTGAGATGGGAAATCACCACGACGGCGGTGTAGTATACCGAAACGCGACGGGCAAATAGACCTTTGGAGGATCGAACGAAGAGAACAAACAAGAGCAGCGCGAGCGGGGCCGCTCCCAAGGCGAGCAGAACGAGGCTCGTGTTGTGATAGACGTCCAAAACTACAGAAATGGTCTGGATGGTCGTGCTCTGCAGCCAGGCTACGACTGGAAGCAAACGTGGGGCTAGGGTGTCGCGGATTGGAGTTGTGCTGCCGATGTGGGCAACAAACCGCGTGATACGGTCCTGTGCATATCCTGCCTGCTTTTCGAGCAAACGGGGCATGAAGAGATAGAAAAGTGCCAACAGGGCCAGTGCAATCGCCAACACGCCCAAAAGGAGACGCGCCAGCGAGCCAGCAGACGAGCCAGCAGAGTGCTGTCGGCGGTTTGGCAGTCGGCGAGTCGGTGCGGGTAAGGACGCACTGGCTGGGGCTGCAAGTTGGAACTGCAAGCGATCCAACTTGGCCTCCATGGAGGCGAAACGGGCGGTCATGGGACTTGGCGGCGCTTGTGACTGACCGAGCTCGCTGGGATGAACACCGTGGTAGGCCCGCAAGGATGCTGGTGCGCCTCCGACCATGGCAGTCACTTGCTGTTCCTGCACCGACGTGACGCTCTGTTTGAATCGGCGACGCAGCAGGCCTTCCTCAAGCGCCGCAGCCGTAGAAGTGGACTCGGCGCCTGCCGCTCTGGAACTGGGTGGAGCAACAATGCGATAGCCGGGCATCTGTCCAAGCAGCTGGACGGATTCTTCGACAACCGTGTCTGAGTTGGCACGACGGAGGTGATGATGAGCATCGCGAGGAGGCGAGTAGATGATGAGTTCCGGCGACAGATCGTCCGAGTCATCACCACCGCCATTGGCAAGGTCGCCTGGGCTTTCGTCGTCCTCTGATGGTGTCTCGGCGATACTTTCGGCTCGGGAAGTCAAACGCGACATGTCTGCCAAGCGCAGTTTCTCGGCAGCTGTGAGCATGCCGAACGGGATGGGATCGCTGAGCCGTGCAGCGATGGCCACGGGAAAGCAAGTCAAACACACGCGTGCATCTGCAAGGGTATGGGCGGTGCATGTGGCGCAAAAGACCATTCCACAGAAGCGGCAGTGGTGGCGCCGCACCATCAAAGAGAACCGCACCAAGCATGCAGGACACTCGGTGGCGGACATGTCGTGAGCCCAATGCGCGCGCGATGTCAGACGCATCTCATACGTCGGAGCTCCTTGGATTGAGCTGCCAAGTCTGCTGTCGGCTGACGACGACGGCGCTGGCGAGTTTGAGTTTGAGTTTGTGGCGGCAATTTCGGCCAGGCGCTGGGCAATGACCCCGTTCGCGTGAATTCCATGCGCCGCAGACTTGTTGCTTGATGTTGCATGGTGAGCAGCAGCAGCACGTTTGAACACTGGAGCGAGCTGCAGCAGGCTGTTCCGGTTGCCTTCAATCTTGATCTTACGTCGCAAAACCGCGGTCGGCATGGACATTTGGCCCATCGCAATCGCTTGCAAGTCCTCAATCGCGCATATCAGCGTGCAATCTATAATCCCACAAGAATCAAGCACAACATAGGAGTGAGACTTTGAGTCCAACCAGCACGACAGCATGGAGGGGGACGTGATCAGGTCAAGCCGGTTGAGGGTTGTCGACAAGCGCACCCCTCCGTGCCTGGCTGAAGTGTGTGTGTGTCTGCATTGAGTGTGTGTGTTGCTCTCTGTACTACCTGGCGCGGATGCAGTGCCCAGCCAGACTGGCGGAGTCGCAGCGAGATCAACGACAAACTGCATGTCGGGATTGCTGACGCGGAACTGGAAGACGCCTCGCAGCATCGCAGTATCCCTGCTGCTGCTGCTATGAGTAGCGGATGGCGATGACGATGATGAAGAGGGTGTCTGGGCTGCGTCTGCGCTCGGATCGGTCGACCGAATGCTCTGCACGGCGTCGCTCAGCGCGGCAATGAACGCGTTCGCTGCTTCACGAGGACCAGCCATCGCCATTGTATGGCTCTGTATTGCTATTTGGGGGGGAGGGCGGAGCGAGTTTTCGAATTTCAGGTGCAATAAAGACCAAGTCTGAGAAAAGCCAAATAAAGCAAGACTGAGCCAAATGGAGAGACAGTCTTTTTTTTATTTTGGTGTTTACTGCGAATGGCGAACGTGCAGAATTTGCTGAGCGACTTGGCTCGCGTTGAAGCGCTGGCTGAGGAAGTGCTTGACGGGAAGCAGGAGGTGAGACTGGATGCAGAGGGGGAACATGGGGGAACAGGGGGGGGGACAACAAGGGAGGAATGAGTGAGACGAATGACGAGTCTCAACAAAAGCTCACAATCTCACAATCTCAATCTCACTTGAACTGTTGCACGACGGATGACTGATGACTGATGACTGGCGGGGGTTGGCGGGAACGGTGGCACACACAGATGGTCGAACTCGACAGGAAACGACAGAGTTGTCGCGAGGCCGTCAACGGCATCAAGGCAATCCCGCCCAGCGAAGGTAAGCAACTGGAGTGCATGTGCATGTTTATGTGTGTGTAGCTGGCATGGATTGGGTCGCCGTGGTGGGGGACTGAAGCAGTGACACAGGCCAGAGGGGTTCACATGGGAACTTCCTTCGCCCACTCATACTCACTCATGCCCAGACTCACTTTTGGCCTACATATGTGCATGCTCTTTATTCTGCAGGATCAAAGCTGTGGATGGCCATCGGGCCGCTCTTCCTGCGCGTGCAGAAGGACAAAGCCATTGGGATGATTCAGAAAGGTTTGTTTCGAGTGCAAGCAGATTTGGTTTCGAGGTCGACCCCCGCTTATACAACCTCGAAACTGCACATGGACCATGCTTTGTAGATCGCGATAATATTGACAAGCAATTGGAGCTGACACGGCAAGACGTGAAATTCAAGACAGCTCAGCTCTACGAGCTTCAAAGTAAGGGATTTTGGTTTGCGTTGGTCAATGATGCATCGTGTTAACTGACGCTGAACTCCCACGCAGACAAACCACACCTTGCTAGCGGGTATTTGCTCAACAGTCTAAGTAGTGAGGATGCTAATGTTCTGCGAGGTCGCGCATAATAGTGAAAAATGTTGGTATTATTTTTTTGTTTGACACTTTTTTGATTTGTAACAACTATCATACAAGCATGAAAGACAATCCGTCGTGGATTCCAAAGTTCGTGTCAAAGTCTCTCGTGAGTCTCGCGATTACTCTTGAAGCGTAACGAGCAGAGTTTTGACCTCAAAAGCATGGAATGTCAACGTCACCCCTGTCGCCTGATTCCAGTCGAGAGGACTGCCCGAATCAACCTCGATAATGTTGGAGAGCTGAACACTGGCAATCGGGAGCGTGCTGGCAAGCGTGACTGTCGACGTGAAACGATGAGAAAACGCTGAATCCAGCAGGTACGCACAAAATCAACTATTGTCTAGTTACCGCGAGCCTGCCCTCCATACGACTCGAACAGGCGTAGTACAAGCTTCTTGGGGGCGGATTCGGCTGGCTTGATTGCCTCAATCACCACGCTCGTCGATGCGGGCAGCAACGAAAAGAACGAGCCTTGTGTTTTCGAAGGAAAGCACAGTGAGCTGTGTCCATAAAAATCAAACTCTCTAGCAACTCGACTAGACGCCAACTTACGACTCTGAGCATGACCTGGAACCACCAAGAGCGGCGAGTTGAGCTCCGCAGCAGCTCGCACAACACCGCCCTCCTGGAATGACCCTTGGTGAGGCATGATGGCGTACGTAAACGTGTGCAGACCCATGTCGCATTCCGCATCGGGTGCCTTGGGCGCGCGGAGCAGAGACAGGCGCATGACATTGCCTCGAGCCGAGTATCCGTACTTGCAATCATTCAGAAGCGCAATGCCAAATCCGTGCTCGGAGAGATCGCCGTAACGGTGGCCACAGACTTCAAACTTGGCTGTCGAGCGGGAAGAATGGAAGGAAACAGATGAGCATTTGCAACTCCCTCCGGCAAGCTGCTAGAGAACACGACAATGATTGGAGCTTTGTCATACCCATATCCCAGGACGTGTTGGTGTGGGTCGGACGCTGAACAAAGCCAAACTGGATGTCATATGTCGCAAGGCTGGTGCGAACGTTCATCGGGAATTCGACCTTGAGACATTTGCGCGCCTCGTGCCAGTCGACCTGATGGAAACCAGACGAAACCAGAGTAGAGACAGCCCACCCAGATTTTTACGGAGAATACTTGTGAGTCTGTGCATGAACAGTACCAACAATCTTTGCATATGGGAGTCGCACCTGCGTCGCAAACTCGACAAAGCGCTGGCCGTGCGTCAACCGAACGGTTTGCCTGATGGTTGAGCGGGCAGAAATCGGAATGGTGAACTCGAGCTCGCCAACCAGAGGAGACACAGTCGGTCGAACAACAACGCCGGCGTCGCTGTGAACAAGGTGGCTAAGGAGGCAATGAAAGTCAACCGTCGACAAAAAAAAAACAAGTGAGAGTGAGCGAAAAACACAATATTGCGCGAGATCCACCACAAATAGAGTGTCCGCCAACCCTAACCTTTTCTCGAGATGGTACTCTTGCATATCCCAAGCGTCCCAGAAGAGAGGAATGTCATCGAACAGCACAAACCGATTGCCGCCATCGCCACCGCGAGCGATGGCTTCGCGACCCGTTTCAGACTGAATCAGGCTGATGAGGGCGCCTTGTGCGTTGAACTCGGCGCGCAAAACATTGTTCTCAAGGATCCAAGTCTGCGCAGCAATGTTGTGAATTTGGACACCTGCACCGCAAACACAAAACCACTTGAGATAACTCACATTGGAATCGGTCTTCTGAGCTACGACGGGCGCGCTGATGTCTTGGATGCTCTCGGACGGGACGAGGGAAGTACCAATCGCAGGAACCGTGACCAAACCTGCAAACCGAAAAGACGGCGTTGAGCAAAAGCGTGCACTGCGACGAACAACGAAACGCAGATCGTTACCGAATCCTCCGTCGGCAGTCTGCACTACACTCGTCCGCTCCCAGCTCAGGGTGTTCATGACGACGAGAGATTCGTTGGACGTCTTCTCATGCACAAAAACAAACAGAGGGTGAGTGGTTCATCCAACCGCAAGTCCAAACCACAAAGACGACGCGTGACATACCTTCGAGCTCGACGACAGAGTGGACAGTGCAGTCTGGAGCAGCGAATTACCGGAAGCGGTAATATCTGGAGCGGGGGGAAAAAAACCATGAAATCAGTCATCTGCCGATTCCTGCCACAAGCCAACAACAAACACAACCAGGGAAACAGGTACCGGCATAATGGCGGTCCGAATCGCGATAAACCATAGCGATAGAGCTGCCAGGAAGCACGTCGTGGAACTGGTTGAGCAAGAGCAGCTTCCAAAGACGGTCAAGCTCGGATTTGGCCTCGGCAGGTCCCGGAAGGTTGAGAGCTTGCACAATTGACACGAGCATCTCGACGTTGCGCAGCAGCAGCTCTCCCTTGCGATTTCCTTTCTTGTTGTTGGCCTGCGATGTGTACGTGCCACGGTGCAGCTCGAGGTAGAGCTCACCGACCCACGTCAGCAGCTGGTCTTCCTGGGCCATTTCGGCCTCGACGCGGGTGAAGAATTCGTCGGGCGAGCGGACATTGATTCTTTGAAACAAAAAAAAAAAAAAAAGGACAGCCGCAATTGAAACGATCAGTTCAAAGCAAAACAAACATGTCAAGAGCACAAACACGTACTTGGGCACGCCGTCGCAATCTTGCATGCGACGCATCCGCTCAAGCATGACCATTTGCGGGCCGCCTCCACCATCACCGTGGCCAAAGAGCATCATGGACTCGCGTGATCGGCCATGGTCTTTGAAGTTTGTAATGGACTTCATCACCTGTCAAAGAAAACGCAACCGAAAGGTGAAATGTAACAAACGACCAAAAAACCAAAAAAAAAACAATATTCCCACAAACCAGCAGGTACCTCGTCAGGCAAGACTTGAGAGTTGTAGGTATCGGCTGGCGGGAAATGAGTCAGCACGCGGGAGCCATCGATGCCTTCCCAGTGAAAGGTGTTGTGCTAAAGAGCGAGCAGGGTCAGAACGGGTTCAGCAACAAGTGAGAAGGCAAGCACTACCATCGTCAGACGTGTGTGATTGACGGGTCTCACCGGAAACTTGTTGATCAGGTTCCAGCTTAACTTCTGAGTCACAAAGCGCGAAATGCCTGACAAAACGACCAAACACGAGGTCAGACAACCAAATCATACGCCAGCAAACCCAGTCGCCATGATTTTGCTCGTACCGGCTTGGCGCATCAATTGAGGCAACTGTGCCGAGTAGCCGAACGTGTCGGGCAACCAAAACTGCAAAGGGAGGGCAAAGTCAGCAGTTGCGGCAACCGTTTGCGCTCGTACACTCACAATGCAATGCAATGCAGTGCACTCTACCTCTTTGCAGGTAATTCCAAATTCGCGTTGGAAGAACGTTTGGCCATAAAGGAACTGGCGGGCCATGGCTTCTCCGCTCGGAATGTTGCCATCCTGCTCGATCAAAACGTCAATCATGGCATATTGAGCAGAACTGCGTGACTGTCTGTGCATGAACGGTGAATGTAACTTGCCATCTCAACCCAGGCTCCACCGACTGGAATGAAGCGCCCTTGCTTGACTCGCTCGCGAAGGCGAGAGAAGAGTCCAGGGTAGTAGAGACGAATCCAGTCCAGTTGCTGGGCTTGTGAGCAAGCAAACTTGAGCTCGGGATAGTCATCCATGTACCGATCCACCGTGGCAAAGCTGCGCGCGCATTTGCGAATCGTTTCGTCGTACGGCCACAACCACGCTGCACAACGATTTGGGCAAGTGAGCGCGAGTGCGACAACCTCGTAGGGCAACTCCGCTGCTGTTACACACTGACCAGTGTCGATATGGCAATGTCCAATAGCAGAAATCGAGTGCTGACTGTCGCCATTTCGCTGGGAAAAGAATGCGGCGGCGACTGTCCGCGCAGCCGGGTACGTCGAGCGATCACGGGGATCGATCAGGTTTGCAATCTTGTTAGCGGACAGCGCGGCCTGGAGCTTGCGCGGTGAGTTGTCGGCAAAAGTCTGTGGGGAAAGGTGCCAAACAAATAACATTGAGAACAACTTGCAAGCCAACATCAAGCACGGACTGGACATGTTGCTGTAGTACTTTGGAGAGATCGTATAGCGTCCTGACGTCTTGGATGAGGAGCCAAAGCTCGCGATCAAACACCGCAAGCTCGCACAAGGAAATGTCGAAAAAGCGGTTTTCGTTGGGGGGATTGATCAAGCCATTGTCGCCAACACCAAACATGCCGTTGGCAGCCATCTCAACATAGCTACGGTCGTGTGGTACAAGGTGGGAGTGAGTTTCAGAGCCGAAACATCGCTCAAACAATGTCGCCAATGAACACGTACATGCGTCGAGTTTCGCCTCCCTCGCGGGCCGATCGCGTGACAATGTACTCGGAGCGTACATCACAACCGTCGCCGCCTGTCAAGCCCTGAGAAGAGTCACAGATTTGTAACCAATCACGATGCATACTCGGTCAATTTGGAAACCAGAATCGCAACAAACTAAAACAAACTCAAACAAGGCGGAATTGCCATCCAAACCTGCCGCGGCTCGCCATGCTCGTCGTAGATGAGCGCTTCGCTGTTGGAATTCCAGCGAAAGTGGACCTCGCGACCAGCCCAGGCGGGCGGAATGACCAAATCGAACGCAAACCAGTGAGTGGTCCACCTGCCAGGCGCAACACGCCAGTCCGCCCATGAGATTGCCCCCCAAATCACGTCATGACAAGGCAATACAGTCACACGAGAGAGTTAGAATCAAAAGTCTCCGGAGTGATGATGCGAACCTCGTCGCAAGTTCTGAACTTCTTACGACGGCCCAAACGACTTGGTGCGCTCGACCCGGGTGAAGCCACCGTCACCGTCGGAGAGCACTTGTGCGAATGTGGGTCGCGAGGTCCCCGTGGCCGGCCGGTGGAGCAGGTGGGCGAAGGGCTGGCGGGTGGCGCACGGCAAATCACCGCCGTAGACGAGGTGCGGATGGCCCAAGTTGGCGTCGGTAAAGTAGATGCCAGAGAGCAGCTTTTCCACACGCTCGATCGTCACATTGGTGTGCTTTTGTGGCGGAGGCGGCTGTCGGGCAGTGGTCTGCGCCATCACGAGCGGGCGAGAGGGGCAAGATTGTTTTTGAAGAGTGAGTGGTCTTGCTCGTTCGCCGCCCAATCACCAAAAACTCACGGCGAAGCAAGACGATGGGCGCGGTTTTTTGTTGTGTGTTGTTTGTTGATGATGAATTTTGTCGGGGCGAATTTTGCGGCATGGACTTTACTTGGAACATTTGTTGTGGCAAAAACAAACAAACGCACATCCAAAGCCTGATCATTGCGGTTCAGACAGCGACGCGATCCGGGATACCAACCATGGCATACTTCCATCGTGCAGACCCTCACAAAGACCTTGTGCAACTGCCGTGCTCCACGACCGGTTTCGTAGGCGACTGGCGGTTTTGTTAGCATGGTAACAAGTTTGAAAAAGCGAACTTTCGCATCTCCGTCCATTGCTGTGCGTGGGTCAACTCGCAGCAGCCGACCGTGTGCACCGGCGCGCTCATCGGACACCCACAGGGTGTGTGTTGGATGCTGCATTTGTTGTTGGTGGTTGTACTGCAGTCGCGCTGCGCTGCTCGAGCGACAGAGCGAAGTGCGCGATTGGACCTTGGTGTTTTTCGTAATTGATTTGACAAGTTCGGTGTTTTGGGGTTATTTTTGTTCGTTCGCTGGCCCGATTGTTTCTGCCCGTCGGAGTGTCGCAGTGGGAGGGGGGCTTTGTCTCCGACAAAGGCTCTTGTATTCTGTGCTTGGCTGGGGCTGCTCGTGGCGAACCTGCGGGGGAGGTGATTTGGTTTTAGTTTTGGTTTTTTGGTTTTTGGTTTTTTTGTTGTTTTTCGGTTTCCGTTCGCCGAATCGGGAATAGTCAGTCTTCATCTTTTTTTTTCTTCTTTTTCCTTCTAATGCGTGCTTCTATTCTTTTGCTCGCTGTTGCCCTCATCGGCTTCGCTTCTGGTATGCAGCAAGATCTATCACGCTTTTTCCCCCTTGCCATCCCATGCTTTCCTCTTTGCTCTTTGTTCTCTTTCTCTTTCTCTCCTCTTCCTCTCTGCCGATCTCTTTCTGTTTTTGTTGCTGGTGACCCCTTTTCCATGACCTTTTCAATGTGTCGCTGGTGACTTTTCAGCTTCTTTTCAAGGTGTTTTTGTTTCCAGGAAACTTGATGAGTTTGACAAAAAATTAAAAGGCGCGCTCTTTTTTTCTCCTTTTTTTTCTGTTCTTTCTCTCGCGCTCTCTTGTTGCCAATCGGCGTCTCCTGCCAGCAGGATCAGGGAGCGGTCGCGTGTGTGTGGCTGCTCCATGCACCGCCTCTGCCCCAAAAGCCGTCAGCTGCTCGGGTGACGAGGCGATGATGAAAATTACACTTTTTTTTTTTGAAAAATGACAAGAAGCAGCAAAATGAGCGTGCGAATCCTTGCTTTTAGATCTCGCTGTTGCGCTCGCCATCCGCCTCTGCAGCCCCGTGCAGAAGTGTTGCAAACACGCGTCGCAGCAACCCTCCGTGCAGTCTGGATCTCAGCGAGAATGCGAACGTGAGCACGACACAAAAACAAAAAACAAAAAGGCTCGGCAGGACCCTCGTGGCTCTTTTCTTTTTTTTTTTCTTTTCTTTTTGTTGTGTGCTTTTCTTTTTTCTTTTTTTCCCCTTCATGAATCATTCACTCAGCTGAGCGCACAATCATGCACAAGGAGAGGGTGTCGGATGGGTGTATGGCACTCCAGCGTCTCTTTTCCTGCTTTCTTTTTTTTTTTCCCAGCTGCTTCACCTCGTCTGGAATGAAGTGCTGATAAAGCGTCGAGGTGGGTGGAAGATCTTGCTTTCCCTTTTTGAGCCAAAATGAAAAGTCGAGAAAATACAAAAAGAAAAAAGAAAAAAAAAAGGAAACCGTCCAACCCTCCAAAAAGTTTGACAGGTCCTGTCGCCCCTTTTTTGGTAAATGTCATAATGTGGTTCGGCGCTTTCTTTCTTTTTTCTTTTTCGGATTGTTGTTGTAACCGAGCAGAGCGCCTCTTCTTCTTTCCATCCCTCTTTGCCTGACACTGACTTTGTACCACCGTGTGCCTTGACAGCCGACTCTGCTGGCTTTGCTGGCGCCGGTCAGTATGCCCAATTCCCCCAGGTGGTCCTCGGCGACGAGGTTGCTGCCTTCTCGCTCGACTTTAGCACAACCGACGCAAACGGCCTGCTCTACTACCAGGGCGGCCTCGGCAACGACTTTTTCGGCGCTGAGCTTGTCGGCGGCGCGATTGCCTTCAAGTTTAACACTGGCGGCCTCGGCGGTCCCACTGTCTTCTCCACCTCCGCCTCCACGTACGCTGACGGCAACTGGCACACTCTCCGCGTCCAGCTGCTCTACCGCGACGCCAGCATCTTTGTCGACGGCGCCCTTGCTGGCACCATCACCAGCGCTCAGGCCACCCTTGCCACCAACACCTCTGGCCCCTTCTTTGTCGGCGGTGCGCCCTCCGTCTCGCCCAACTCGGTCGGAATCACCACCTTTGTTGGCTGCATTCGCCGCGTCTTTGTCCCCTTCGCCATGACCAGCCGCCACTTTGCCGACGCCTCTGGCACCTTCACCCTTGGCGCCTGCGGTGACACTGGCTCGAGCACGATTGCCTATTTCGACACGAACGCTGTCGCCCGCCTCCCCACCATCCAGGTCTACAAGAACGACCTTTCGTACTTTGGCTTCTCGTTCCGCACTGTCAGCGGTGACAGCCTGCTCGCCTTCCAGGGCAGCTCGCGCACCGACTTTCTCTCGTTTGAGCTCGTCTCGGGTGTCTTCACCACCCGCGCCAACTGCGGCTCTGGCATTGGCTCTGTCGCGACCGGCACTTCCCTGAACGACGGCAAGTGGCACTCTGTTCAGGTTTGGATCACTGGCAAGAACATTGCCGTCCAAGTCGACGACACCAGCGTCGCCTACCTGACCACCCCCGGCGCCCTGAGCATGCTCAACTTTGACCGCCCCCTGATTCTTGGTGTCGTCATCCCTGCCGACGTTGCTGGCCTCCCCGGCTCGCTCATCTCGCTCACCTTTGACGGCTGCATTCGTGACGTCTACATTTCCGGCTACTCGAAGGCCATCGACTTTGTCAACGACTTGTACTCTGGTGCTCCCGCCAGCCTCGAGTGCGTCGACAACAAGGTTGCCCACTTTGGCGTCAACTCGTACGCCCAGTTCACCGTCCCGCTCTACGACGATGCCGTTCAGACCAACACGATCTCGTTCGAGTTCCGCACCTCCGCCTACAATGGCTTCCTCCTCTACCAATCTGGCCTCCAGACCGACTACGTCAGCATCCAAATCCTCAACGGCTTTGTTCAGGCCAAGTTCAACCCCGGCTCTGGCGCTGCCACGCTGACCTCGGGTGTCGCGAGCGTTGACGACAACCAGTGGCACACTGTCACGCTCTCCTGGTTGCAAAAGTCTGGCAGCCTCACCGTCGATGGCCAAACCGTCACTGGCACGTCCTCTGGCTCGACCATCTCTGTCAACACCACCAGCTACACCCCTCTCTTTGTCGGCGGCGTGCCCACCCCCTCCATCGTCACCGCTGGTGCCCTCGACTTCTATGCCAACCCCGACCTGTGCATTCGTGAGCTCTCCGTCTCCCCCCTCGCCTACACTCGTGACTTTGTCTACGACACTGGCGCTGCCCCCAACGTCGCTCTTTCGTGCCCTGGCACCCCCGCCGCCCCCGAGCACACTGCCTGGTTTGGCCCCAAGTCGTTCGTCCGCATTCCCAACATTGATCCCCAGAACGTCGGCAACGCTGTCCAGTTTGTCTTCCGCGCTGCCTCTGCTAACGGCCCGCTCTTCTACCAGCCCGGCATTTCCGTCGACCACGTTGCCGTCCAGCTCGTTCACGGCGCTGTCAAGCTGACCTGGAACGCTGGCTCTGGCAACGGCACCCTCGTCCAGGGCTTTGGCCTCGCCGATGGCGCTGCTCACACTGTCCAGTTTGGCTGGATCGGCAAGGTTGCTTGGCTCTCGGTTGATGGCGCTGGCCCGATCTCTGGCTCCTCCCTGGGCGCCCTTGTCGCTGTCAACACCACCGGCGACGCCATCATTGGCAACTTCCCCGCTGGCTTCACTGTCCAGGCTGGCATTTTCGACGGCAGCAAGTTTGAGGGCTGCGTCTCGGCGTTCAAGCTCGTCAGCGACATCTACCACCGCGCCGTTGACTTTAACACTGCCGTTGCCAAGAGCGTCCGTGGCTTTGTTTGCGGCACCGCCCCCGCTGCCCGCTTTGACGCTACCTCGTACGCCAAGTTTGCCACCTTCACCCCCATCGAGGCTGCTGCCAACACCATCTCGCTCAAGTTCTCCACCACTGCCCGCGATGCCGTCCTTCTGTACCAAGGCGGCATTGCCACCGACTTTATCTCGATCGAGCTTGCCAACGGCCACATTGTCTTCAAGTGGAACCCCGGCTCGGGCGCTGGTGTCCTGACCTCCACCCAGGCTGCCCTCAACGACAACACCCAGCACACTGTCGTCGCCACCTTCAACGGCCAGTCTGGCAGCCTCGTTGTCGACTCTGCCGCCGCCGTGGTTGGCTCGTCTGTCGGCGCCCTCGTTGCCGTCAACACCACTGGCCCCCTGTACATTGGTGGCTTTGATGCCGCCGTGCCCTCGGCTGTCGTCTCGCACACCTACTCTGGCTGCATCTCGCACATTTCCCTCGACGGCACTGACGGCATCCTCGACTATGTCCAGTCGGCCCTTTCCACTCGCGTCGTTGCCTTCACTTGCGCCGCCTCCGTCTTCAACTTTGACAACGCCGGCACCTCTGGCCAGTCCCGCGCTGTGTTCGACCCCCTCGTGCCCAGCGATTCGTCTCTGAACGTGCTCAACGTTGACTTCAAGACCACCGCCGCCGGTCTCATCCTGTACCAGGAGGGCATCTCGACCGACTTCATTTCCCTCGAGACCACCGCCGCTGGCAACGTTGTCTTCAAGTTCAACCCCGGCTCTGGCGCTGCTGTCATCACCAGCTCTGGCAACACGTACCTTGACGGCCAGTGGCACACTCTGACTGCCACGTGGTTTGAAAAGTCTGGCTCGCTCAGCGTCGACGGCGGCGCAGCTGTCACTGGCAACTCGATCGGCTCGACCATTGCCGTCAACACGACCAACCACCTCGCCCTCGGCCAGTACACTTTTGGCGACCCCAACGGCTTCAACGGCTGCATTGGCAACGTTGTCTTCAACGGCTTCTTGTACACTGCTGCTTCCGTCTACTCGTCGGTCAACGTTGCTCTTGGCTGCAGCGCTCCTACCCGCCGCGCCGTCGGCTTTGCCCAGGTGGTTGAAGCCGTCACCAGCTCGAGCAACGGCTTTGTTGGCGTGTTTGCCATTGCCGGCGTTGCCTTTGTCGCTGTCGGCGTTGTTGTCGTCGTCAAGCGTCGCCAGAACCGCGCCGTCGCTACCGACCGCGTCTAAAGCGCTCCCGCTTCCGGGTTAGAAACCTTTCTTTCTTTTTTTCCCCATTATTTCTTTTTCTCTTTTTTTTTTTTCATGTCGTTTTAACCAAACCAGTTTCTGTGCTTCTTCCTTTGCTTGATGGTTGGTGTTTGTAGTGATGTTGATGTGGCTGTCGTCCTCCGACAGCCGCTTGTCACCTCCTAGTTGTTGTTGGAGTGATTGTTTGATACAAGATCTATTACACGAGCCATTTAATATGACATTTGTCGCCTTTTTCAATGTATCACGATACTGTTCAATACCAGGCACACACACACACGCACACACCTCGTTTAGCGAGATGACAACGTCCGTTGACTGCGTCTTGCACCGAGTGGCGTCGGCGTGGTGCTGGAGGTGGAAGGGACGGGCGCTTCTTCGCGCAGCTTGGCTTGTTGCTTGTCAGTCAAGCTCGCGTTGGAAGGAGAAACCGCCATCTGAATCACCATGAAGCCGGCCGAGGCGAGCAGAATCGTCCAGAGCACCTCGAGTTGAAATTGGACAGTGTCGGAGACCTGGGCGCGGGGCAACCAGAAAAAGGCGTGTGTGTCGCGTCCCAAGTAGCCGCGGATTGCAGTGTCGAGCACGAGCACGGAAAGGATGCGGCCGAGCTCAAGCCCGTTGGCCATCGGCTTGTGGTCGAGCAGCGCGCCAAACGAGCTGAGCGTCGTGAGCATGTACAGCGCGAGCAACACCATCACTGGGTATGCGAGGAGGTTTGAGGTCAGGAGCTGCAACGCGACCACCAGCAACAGGAAGTGGACAAACACATAGCCTGCCATGACTGCCGAGAGCGATCGATCGTACTTTGGCCACGGAGCCCGCACGTCAGGAATGTCGTTCAAGTCTCCGGTTCTCGCCTTGCCGATGTCCCATCCCGGGCCGTAGAAGAAGACGGCGAGTTTGTTGCGCCATCCTTGAATCGCCCACGCCTTGCGGAAGATGTGCCGTATGTGAGCAAACTGTGTGTACACTGGATCCCATGTCGACAACGGATGCGTCACGCCAAACACAATCGGGTCTGCCTCAGCCTGGAACGTGCCAAAGAGGCGATCCCAGATGATCAAGGTGCCTCCTGTGCAAGAGGTGAGCGGTGAGCGATGAGCGGCAGGAAGTGCGAAAGCACGCAACGAACGCAAAATCCAAACGTTAGTTGGGAGAGCGTGCCAAGTTCAAACACTTTACCATAGTTTTTGTCAATGCAGTAGCGGTTACGGCCGTGATGGACTGCGTGATGGGAAGGTGTGTTCAAGATCCATTCCAGGGGGCCGAGACTCTTGATCATCTGTGCAACATTGGCACGACATGAAGCGAGAGGGGAGCGGTGATGGTCAAATTTGAGTCTATCGTGCTCGAATGGCCGTAGCAAAAGCTCAAAATGAGAAGCGAATTGATTCTCCCCTTACTTGCGTATGAATCCAGAACTGATACAAGGTCTGTTGAATCGGACGAGAGAATCGGCACACAAAACCAATCTCGTGAGAACGAACGAGAGCGAGAGCAAGCATGTGCAATAAAATCCCATCTCGTAGTCTCTAGCAGTGACAAATGGTTGACTCACGTTAAAGTGCTTATGCACTGCAAGAATAGGCGGTGGCAAGACCAACGCCAACGGAAGGTAGAAGCAAAACACGGTCGGACCTTGCAACACTCCTTGACGAAGAGCTGTGGTGAGGTTGTACTCGTGACCTGCCCACAGCAGGTTGATTTCTGGTTGCAATGCAATTTGAGACAAGTTTTTTATGTGAGCGTGTCGGCCACAAGTCCAAATCGGCCACAAGTCCAAAACCAACCGCGAAAGAATTGTCCGTTTCCAAGTTTTTTTTTTGTTTGTTTTGCTTGATTTTTTCTTTTGTTGTGTCCGGTGTGTGCCACCACGGCCCATGCAATTTGATTGCGAATTTCATCAACAACAACAAAACAAAAAAAAAACACACACACACACAGAGACTCACCATGAGCAGCGCGATGCAGCCAATAGTAGGCGAAATCCACGCCGAGCATGCCAAACCACCAGGTGTATGGCGAATCCCATGGCAGCTCGTAAACGCAGAAATTATTGTAGCACCAAATGTACGCAGCAATGTCGAAGGGGTAGAGGAGCGCCTTGGTGACTTGCGACCAGATTCCCGCCGAGAGCGAGCTGAGCGAGTCGTTGATGCGCAGCGACGATTTGCGATGCTTGGCAAAACTGACGATGAGCTCGATCAGAATGCTCGTGAGAAAGTACGGCGTGGCCATTGCAATGTAGTCTGGCACTTGCTCAATGTGGCTGAAGGACGCGTCGGCGGGCGGAACAATGTAGAACATCCAGCCCAATCCGACAAGCAGAGGCGGGGGATCGGTGACGCTGTACTGCAGCCCGATGCCGCTCGCATTGCGCACGAGTGTGTCGACGACGGATTCGGCCGATGCTGCAGTTGACGCAGCAGCAGCAGCAGCAGCAGCAGCAACAACAACAACAGCTTCTGCTGCCATTTTGTGTGCTGTCTTGTCGGAGATCAAGAAAAAGAACAAAAATCAAGTGAAAAACAATCAAAAAAAGAAAAAAAGAAAACAAAAACAAAAAGTGAATTTGACGCAAAACCCGGAAATGGCATCAATCACATTTTCAGGTCGATTGGATTGACGCTGTTGACGGCAGATGGACAACAGCTGGCAAGGTGCTCAACGTGAGGATTCGGAACATTCATTGGTCCGGAGGGTTTTTTTTTTCGTTTTCCTGTACGAAGCGGGGAACGTGCGGGTAAACAATTGTTCATCGCAATTCTGATACGCTGAACGACACATGCTTTATTTCATTTCAAAACTTGCAAACAACATGAGCAAAAAAAAACATTCGACCCCTCAACCAGAGGAGAGTGGCGAGAGGTGGGAGGGACAAACAAAATGGCCAAAAACAATAATTCTTTTTTGTCTTGTGTTTCGCCGATTCATTCATCTCGTTATTCAGTGCCATGGTAGAAGCGCTCAATCACCTCGGCATACTTGCTCACGACTTGTGGGCGCTTGAGCTTGAGAGTAGGACCAAGCTCGCCTCCGGGAATGCTAAAGTCGCCGGCGATCAGCTCCCACTTTTGAATGCGCTGAGCGGCCGAGACGGCCTTGTGGTTGGCCCGGTCAATGCCGCGCTGGATTTCAGCGCGAATGTTGGGATCCAGAATTGCCTCGGCCACAAGGGTGGAGTTGCAGCCAAGCTTGCGCGTGTCGTGCAGAGTGAGCTCGGACAGACGCTCGGTGGGCGCACCCTCGTCGTCAAGCTCGCAGCGGAGGGTCAGGAGCATGGTGAGGAACTTGCGCTTGTCGCCAATGAGAATGCAGTTGGAGATGAACGGCAGGTTCTCCTTGACGGTGTTTTCGATGGGGACGGGCGCAACGTTCTCGCCACCAGCGGTGATGAGCAGCTCCTTCAGGCGGCCAGTAATGTACAGAAGGCCCTGGCTGTCGACACGGCCAATGTCACCGGAGTGGAGCCAGCCGTCGTCGTCAATCGCCTCGCGGGTCTTGGCCTCGTCAAAGAGGTAGCCCATGAAGACGTGTCGGCCGCGGAAGCAAATCTCGCCGTTGCCGTCCTTGTCCGGGTTCATGATGCGCAGCTCCGTGCCGGGGACGGACGGGCCGCACGAGCCCGTGCGGTACGTCTCGGGCAAGGAGACCGTCTGGGGGCCCGAGCACTCGGACATGCCGTAAATCTCGTACACGGGAATGTTGAGCGACAAAAAGTACTCGAGGGTCTCGCGCGTGATGGGCGCGGCGGCGGTCGCCTGGATGCGGCAACGGTCGAGGCCAAGCGCCTCGCGGATCTTGGAGAAGACCAGGCCGTTGGCAATCGACCAGCCCCACGGCACGTCGCGGCCGTTCTGGAGCGAAAGATTGCCCTCCAGACCAATGCTCTTGGCCCAGGTGGCAATCGTCTTCTTCAGGCCAGTGGTCTGCTTGCCGATGGCCAGCATCTTCTCCTGCATCTTTTCCCAGACGCGCGGGACGCCGAGGAAGACGGTCGGGCGGACCTCGCGCAGCGTGTTGACCAGGCCTCCCTTGAGAGCGTCGGGCTGGGCAAACCAGACAGTGAGACCGGTGGCGAGCGGAGCATGGATGTCAATCATCTGGGCAGCAACGTGCGAGAGAGGCAGGTAGCTGATGAGCTCGTCCTCGGGCACAACCTTGAGAATGTTGATGCAGGTCTGCGCGGTCCAGGTCATGTTGTCGTGCGAGATCATGACGGCCTTGGGGTTGCCGGTGGTGCCAGACGTGTAGATCAGCGTGGCGCACTGGTTGGGCTTGAGCGCCTGGATGCGCCACTGGACCTCAAAGTCTGGAATGTCGCGGCCGAGCTGCATAAAGTCGGCCCACTCGTACACGTTCTTCTTCTTGAGGTCGCTCGACACCGTGCCAGTGTACTGGACGATGGCCTTGAGGTTGGGGAGACGGTCGCGCACGGCGAGAATCTTCTGCAGCTGACGGTCGTCCTCGACCACGATGATGTTGGCGCGCGAGTGCTCGGCAACATAGTGGCACGCCTCGGGCGAGTTTGTCGTGTAGATGCCGGCAGCAAAGCCGCCTGCAATGATGGCAGCCAGATCGGCAATAAACCACTCGGGCGAGTTGAAGCCAAGAATGCCCACGGCATGGTAGGGCTGCAGACCCAGAACAATCATCGACTTGGCGGCAGCGCACACGTCCGCATAGTACATGTGCCACGTCCAAGTCTTCCAGCCGCCACCGCGCTGGACCTTGAGCGCGTCCTTCTTGGGGTACTTGTCGACAGTGCGTTTGAAGACCTGCGAGAAATCCAAAAGCACAAAAGCAAAAGAAATGAGCGACGAGATCCACAATTGTGGTACTTGTTGGGGCGGTCTTCTTGAGTCTTTGAGACCCAGAAACAGTCCAAAAACGACAAACAGCCATCGGGTTGACGGAAGGGGATCACGTTGCTGCCCGATTTGTCGAAACGTTTTTCGGTGTGCAAAGTACGAAACGGCATTTCAACAACAAAAACACGGCACATCTGCACACAAATCCAGCCACTGCTGCTGAAACGTGGCTGGCTTAATTTGGGGGTGGTGGTGGTGGTGGTGCAGGGGGCATGGGTGAACGAACTGTGCAAGCCATTGAGCGAAACGGAAAACAACGGTATTGGCAACGATTCACTCCCTCTCCCTCCCCCATTTCCTCTTCAACACCCCCTCCCCACTTGTCTACCAAATGTAAACCAAGCGACTTGTTGTAAATAATCTTCGTGGAGTTTGTCATCTCCGAGTTGGACGTCAATACTGCTGCTTCCACTTGTGTTCGTTGACAGTTTGCTTTTGAGAACGGCGCATTTTCGCCTTGTCATTCACTGCCTCTGCTCCATCCGTCTGCCGTATTTCCTCTTTTTCAAATATGCACTTTGCAGTTAGTCTCTCAGTTCCCCCAACCCCACTCCACTCCCCCTGTCTTTGACCCTCAGCAACCAAACAGGATGTATGGAAAAAACCAGTTCAAATCATCAGTAAAAAAAAAAAAAAAAAATACATCAAATTAAAAAAGGCGAATCAATGCATCGGACTTCGACGCTCGGCTGCGCGGGCTTCGCTGCAGTCTGGCACGACGAGCATGCGCGTGATGAAAGAAAGTGCAATGAAAATCAACAAGTGATGTCGCGTTGAAATCGACGGAGGAGCGAAGAAAAGCGCAAAGAAAAGCAAAATAATACTAAATAATAAATAATAATAATAATAAAATGGACCATCTCTCTCTCTCGCTTGGGTCACACTGACAACAGCTGACAGAAGCACACAAACGGACTGACCTCGAACACGGTGAGCGGGGCCGTGGAGCCCATGCCCTCGAGGGTCTGCTTCAGACGCACTTCGCCGTCTGCTGCGACGGTCCAGTGCTTGGACGAAGTCGTGCTGCCCGATGCCATGGTAAAGTTGAGCGAAAGGATGGGAAACTGAAGAAAAAAAAAAAAAAAGACTACTTTGATGCAAAATTCAAAGCAAAAAAAAGGGATGGATTGGATTTCAATGTAGATGAATGAAATCGCCTTCTTCTTCTTCTTGCCAGCTCTTTTTCATAAAAGTAATCGAGGAAAAGCAAGGAACTTGACATTGAAAATTGAAAACTCAGTCTCCAAACAACAAAACCAAACACAAATGTCTGCAGATCTTGCCAACCTCGTCACCCGCCTTGAGAAGGCCGTCACTCGTCTTGAGGGCTTTGGCGGCGCCGCTGCTGCTTCCGGCTCTGCCCCCGCTGCTGCTGCCGGTGGCGCTGGTAGCTCCAAGTTCGTCGAGGCGTACGATGAGGAGGTAAAAACCAAAAAACAAAACGTTTCTCTTTTTTTTTTTTTTTTTTTCTGCTTGTGGTTTTCGTGTGTGCATGAGGGTGGATTGCGTCGTCGTGCCACACGCTTTTTTGCTTGCTTTGAAGCGTGTGTGTTTCTATGTGTGTGTGTATGTGTGTGCATCCTCGCGATGGTCAAAGCGGGGTCAAACCATTGGGGGTCAAATTGAAACAACCAGCTTTTTGCTTGGTTGTTTGCGTTTTTTGTACATTTTCCTTTCCCCTCTTTCTTTCCCTGCTCCATCTTTGGCTGAAACGTCTTCTTCGTACTGTTCGTATGCTCTCAAGCATACTCTTGCCTGGGTCTGCTTTTTTCTCATCCTCGACCTCTGTTCGATCGACTCGAGCTTCGGTCATGGTATTTTTTTTATGTTATTTTGCGTACGATCTGTGCTTTTTTTTTTTTTTTTTCGTATTGCTTCCTTCGTTTGCTTCTCTTTGATGGCCAACGATTTGCATCTGCCGTCGTCGTCTTCGTCTTCGTCTTCCTCCTGCCTTTGTGTGCTCGGCGTCGTCGCTGCTCCCGCCTGCCTCCTCGTTCATCTTTCACGCTCGGCTTCTTCAATCTTTGCCGTTCCTTTTTTTTTTTTTTTTTTCCTTCCTTTTTCAGCGACAAACAAAATGCCAATTTTTCGGAATTCTTTTTTATTTTTTTTTTTTTATTTATTTTTTTTTCAAACAAATTTTCAATTCAATTCAAAGTCATCATCACTCTCACCCTGACCCTGACCCTCTCCCTCGCCCAAACTTAGGTCGCCTCGGCCAACCTCAAGACCTTCTTCGCCCTCTCGGCCGAGATCGGCGGCGAGGTCAAGACCCAGGCTGACAAGGCGCAGGTTGCGTTCAACGAGCTCCGCGCTGTGCTCCAGGTGGCCGCGTCGTCCAAGAAGCCCAGCGACCTCGCTGCCATCTTCAAGAACATTTCTGGCGCCATCGCGTCGGCTTCCGAGTACCGCGAGGCCAACCGCAAGAGCAAGGACTTCAACCAGCTCTCGGCCATCTCGGAGGGTCTGCCCGCTGTCGGCTGGGTCGCCGTCGAGCCCAAGCCCGTCCCGTACATTGAGGAGATGATCAACGCTGCGCAGTTCTACACCAACCGCGTTCTCAAGGACTTCAAGGAGACCCAGCCCAAGCAGGTCGAGTGGGCCCGCGCATGGGTTGCCGCCCTCAAGGATCTCCAGGCCTACGTCAAGAAGGCGCACACCACCGGCCTGACCTGGAATGCCAACGGTGGCACTGCTGCCGCTCCCGCTGCCGCCGCTGCCCCTGCTGCCGCCCCCGCCGCTGCCAAGCCCGCCGCCGCCCCTGCTGCTGCTGCTGCTGCTGCTGCTGCCCCTGCCAAGCCTGCCCTCGGTGGCGGCCTGTTCAGCGAGCTGAACAAGGGTGGTGACATCACCTCGGGCCTCAAGAAGGTCGACAAGTCGCAGATGACCCACAAGAACCCCGAGCTGCGCGCATCGTCGGTCGTCCCCGCCGCCGAGGCCAAGGCCCCCGCTGCTTCTTCTGCCAAGGCTGCTTCTGGCGCCCCCACCGGCCCGCCCAAGACCGAGCTCGAGGCCAAGAAGTGGGTTGTTGAGAACCACGTCAACAACAAGGACATTGTCCTCTCGGACACAAACACCAAGCAGACCGTGTACGTGTACAAGTGCGTCGGCTCCACCATCCAGATCAAGGGCAAGGTCAACGCCATCACCGTCGACTCGTGCAAGAAGTGCGCCTTTGTCTTTGACTCGTGCCTCGCCTCGTTCGAGCTGGTCAACTGCCAGTCGATCCAGGTCCAGGTCCTCGGCGCTGTCCACACCATCCTCGTCGACAAGACCGACGGTGCCCAGATCTACCTGTCCAAGGACTCGCTCGAGGCCGAGATTGTCTCGTCCAAGAGCTCTGAGATGAACGTCCTCGCCCCCGTTGACGCTGGCGGTGAGTTCCGCGAGTTTGCCCTTCCCGAGCAGCTCAAGTCCGTCTGGGACCCCAAGGCCAACCGAATGATCACCACCGTCGTCGAGCACAAGGGCTAAGCGCAGTGTCTGGTCTTGAGTGTTTGTCGCACTGTGGTTTTTTGTTTCTTCCTTTTATTCCTTTGCGTGTCGTTGTCTGGTGCTGTCTGGTTGTTTCTAAGTTTCACCTTGCTTTTCTGCAACAATACAAGCAACTGCGAGACGTCGTCAGCTGACGCACGCTTCTTGTACAAACCCAAACATTTGAGCCCTGTCGTTTCCAACAAAAGAGAGAGAAAGAGCTGCCTGCTTTTGGGGGGGGGGGTTCTGACATTGCAATCACTCTCACCTTCAAAACACGCATAGAATGCTGGGTTTTGAAAACAATTTATTTGTATAGATAAAAACTTAACGCCAACAAAACGAAAAAAACTATTGTGTGGCTTCCCACTTTGGTACAAATCGATTCTGAGTAGTCGACCACACGACCTCTTGCATTCGCCCAAAGTCGCGGGCGCTGTGTGTGGGCACGGCTTGAGCCGGCTTTTTGAACGAGCTGGTCGGCGAAGCCCAGGGCGTGATTGGGGCGGAATACGAGCCCACGACCGGCGCGACCGACGGAAGAGGCATGGCCGGCGCGGTAAAGACTTGCGATGAAGTCAGCGAAGGTGGGCCGGAGGAGGTGACTGAATGAGACTGGGGGGACGTGATGGTCGACGGGGCCAAGCTCGTCTCGATGCGGGACGCCGCAGCTTCCTTTGCAGCCAGGATGGTGGCATTGACAACCGGCATGTCGAAGGCATACATGCCCGCTTCCTTGAAGCCGATGGTGGGGGAGCTGTGCTTGACGAGGCCAAGATCAAGCAGCTTTTGTCCGTAGCGCCGGCTCTCGTCGACATCGAGGTTGAGGCGGCAGATAAACCAGTCGATCGCCTCCTTGCCCACAAAGCAGCTGCGCAGCGTGAAGAGCAACCACGGGCGATCGCGGATTTCGAGGCCACCGGCGCGGGGGTCAATCAGGGCGGCGAGAACGCTGGGAATGTCGTCGGGCATCAAGGTCAGACTCGCCATGGGATTCGGCCGGTCGTGGCGGTGAGGGACCATCGTGGCGGCAGCAGAAGCAGGGCTGACTGGGGCACGGGGCGGAGTCGCGATGGCCGATGGCGTTGCTATTGGTGAGGTAACATTGCTATAGTAAACTAAGGTGTTTGTTGGAGACGTCGGTTCGGAGAGTGTGGACACTGCCGAGACCGATATTGCCGAAGCTTTTCTCGCCCCTTGCGCGGCGATTGGGAGGAACGCGTCGGCAGGTAAGACTTGGTTGGAGGAGGCTGTGGCGGCGGCAATGGTCGCACTGGACAGCTCCAGCGACGACCGCGCAGTGGTTGAGGAAGCCATTGACAAGGCCGAAGGCGACGGGCACGGCGACCCAGAGCCTTCGGACAGCCGTCGTAGTTGACCAAGCTCGCCATTGAGGGCAGAGGGGATTGAGTCGCATGATTCACTTCGCAGCGAGCGCGGTGTCGAGAGGCCGGTTGGGTGATGGTGTTGCTGATGGTAGTGGTGGTGAAGTTGTTGTTGGTGGTGTTGTTGCTGATGCTGCTGGTGTTGCTGGTGCTGCTGTTGCTGCTGCTTGTGTGCCATGATGTGTGCAGAGCGCGAAGAGCTGTCGCTGTTCGTCCGACTTGACGGCATGGACGACGGGGGCGAGTCGTGGAAGGGCTCCAATTGGAGGTGGGAAGACTCAAAGGCAAGGTGATGCTGTCCCATCAGGCTGGCGCTGTGGTGGTTTTGCAGAGAGCTGTACGATGGGGAAGCGCGCATGTGTGTTGGGGATGTAGGTTGCTTGGGAAAACCGTTGGACGACGCGAAGGCGGCAGCGAGCGAGTCTGACGACAAGGTCGAAAGAGACAACGAGCCCTGCGTGGAAGTCATGGAGGTGGAAAGCGACAGAGAGACAGGGGTTGCGGAGTGTAGCGCCGGTGAAGGGATGCTGACCGACGGAACGGGAGCCGCAAACGCCAGCGGAGGCAGGTTGGGACTCACGTAGGGGATGGCGGCAGTCGATGGACGGATGGACGTGGTGTAGTACTCGCCAGCAGACCCGCTGCCAGCTTCTACTGCGCGGAGGAGGTCGGAGAACGAGGTGCCGCCCGTTCTGCTGAGGACAACGGCTGCAGAGGCAGCGGCACGACGGGCATTTTCGCGTGAGGCCGCTGCCGCTGCTGCGGCTGCTGCGGTTGTGGTTATTGTTGCTGCTGCTGCTACTGCTTGTGCTGTCGCTGAGGGGGTGGCAGTCGCTGCAGCAAGGGCAATGAGATGGTCAGAGTGGGTTGAAGCAAGGTCCGCGTGCAGTTTGTCGAGTCCTGGCGACTCTCCTGCACCCGGCGCTGCTGCTGTTGCTGCTGCTGCGAGCTCTGCGGTGATGGGTGAAGCGAGCATTGCACTGCGTATTGGCGGGAGGGTGCTGCTCTCCTGCAACTGCAAGTGGTCCACGCTAGCTGCAAAAGTAGCGTCCGCGCTCTGCCCTTGTTGCTCCCGCTGCTCCTGTTGCTCCTGACGCGCTGCTGCAGCAAGCGCAGGGCTCGTTGCTGATGGCATGGAGTGAGTAGCAGCAGTGGTGGTGGTCAGCCTCGGATGCTGGTGAGCGTGGTGGTAAGACGGCAAGGAAGAAAGCCCGGCTGCCGTTAGACTGTCGGCGTTGGGATTCTCGTCGTTGTCATCGTCGCGGTCGTCGTCGCGGAATGCGCCCCCGTGTGCGGCGATCGGCAGCAGCATGTCCATCTGCACCCGCGGCGAAGTCCCCAGCCGCTGCGCCATGGGTTGAGACGGTGATTTTGGAGGAGGCAGGAACCGCGGCGCGGGAAAGACGAGAGAGAGACAGAGTGGGCGAGAACAAAAAAAAAAAAAAAAAAAAAAAAAAAAAAAACCTTGTGCGCTCTGAGGTCTGTCTGGCTTTGTGTGTTTGACCCCGGTTTGAGACTGAGCTTTTGGCGGATGTACAAGTCTGTGGTGTTGCAGACAGATGCAAGGTGAGCGAGTGAGTGAACAAAGGCGGAGACAGAAGGGGGGAGGGAGAAGGAAAAGCGCGATGGGAAGCGGTGGTCAGCTGGCACATTCAATCACCAATGAGAAACCAATGAGAAAGTTGTGCGGTGACACGAAAACAGGCGTTTTTTTGGCGCTTGGCGTTTTGAGGGAGCAACAAGCACACGTTCAATGCGAGGCTTAAGAGAGACTTTTTCGTCAAGCGTGCTGGGAAAGCAACGAGATGAGCTCCTGGAAGCAAAAAAAAAAAAACTCACCGAGAAAAATGGAGAATGAACGAGAATGGATGGAAGAAAAAGGAAGGTCACCTGGCGATGCAAATTAATAAGACCATGCGACTCTGGCGGCGAGTGCGTGCTGCTCGTGGTGGCGATGGGATGGCAGGAGTGACAAGAAGCAAGCAAAACCCAAAAAGAGAGACACACACGCGCAGAAGAGAGAGAGAGTGGCAATACAGCGAAAAAAAAAAAAAAATGCCCCAAATCGTGACTGTCGGGGAAAAACAAGTCGCGTCATGCAACAAGCTGCGCAACCCGATTCCCCCATCATCGTCCCGAAGTCTCATTCATTCAAGAGAGGATTACTGCCAAAGGATGGTCGTTTGAAAGTGCTCGAGCAAAAAGCCATGACAAGGACAGTGAGATCGTGCATTGAAATCCGGTCGGCAAACATGAACGCCAGCACTCAGAGTGGGGCGTTTTGGCGTCGTCTCAGCGTCGATGGACGAGGCGAGTTGATTGCAGAGCTCTAAAGTGATTGAGCAGATTTTGAATCGTGAGGCACAGCTGGTCAACAGACGGTCGTCGAGCAAGTGCTCGAGTGCGATTGAACAGCGCCTTATGTTGGTCATCGCCTTGTGCGCACTACCCATCTCCCACAGCTCCTCATATGCTGCTGATGCGGGGGCACCTTGGCATTGATGCACGACTCTCCTGAACGCGATTCAAAGGACGATCTGCGGCAGCATCGCTCATGTCTTGGCCAAAGCCCAAAATGAGTGTTTTTCGATTCAGTCTTTCTTCCGGTTTGTGTTTTTTTTTTCCTCCGCTTCCTCCGCTTCCTTCTGCTTGTTCTTCTTCCTCTTCCTCTTCCTCCTCCTCCCGACTTGTCATTTCGCTTCCTCGCTTGCCCCCTCTCTAAACTCTTGCTCTGCACAGCGTCTCCCATCGAGCAACACTGCAAATCATAATCTCCGCGCCCGTTTCACTTGAATGTTCTCCTTTTTCCCGCACTTTGGCCAATCTCCGTTTCCGTTCTTTTCATTCGATCGCCGTGCTCCGAGTGCGGAGACGAAACGCGATTTGATTTGATTTTGTTGGGGGAGGGGGGGTGCGTGTGGAATGGCAAGAACCCGGCTCGTGGCTGTCATTTCTGCTGCGCTTTCTTCCTCTGTGCACACGCAGCCAATGCGCAGTACTCTGAATGCCAACTCAGCAAATCGCGCGGAAGGCTGAGCAAAGTTGGGCGTATTTTTGGCACCTTTTTTTTTTTTTTTTTTTTTTTTTTTTTTGGTGTGTTTTTTGCTGCTTCTCTTTCGCTTCCTGATCTCCCCTTCCAACCGAGTTTGCTTGACCACCGCATCGCTCTTGCCTGTGTCCACTGTCCAGCTTGCCCATCGTTGCCTCTGTGACTTTTCTCTCCCGTCACTCTGCTTGACAAGTCCGTTCAAATACGCTTTTTTTTTTTTTTGCTTTTTTTTTTTTTTTTTTCCGCAGACAGAGTCTGACGTTGGTTTTTCTGGAAACTCGCTCGTCATCGCTGCTGCTGTTTCTCTGCTCTGCTTTCGCTCGTCTCGCTCGTCTCGCTCGTCCCTTTCTTTTCTCGCGCCTCTCGTCTTCTTCCGTCCTTTTTGAACTGCCAACATCAAACGCCAAAACGACGCCTTCAAAAACAAGCCGTCCTTCGCGCTGCCCTTTTTTTTTTCAAAAGTGTTTCACTTCCCGCCTTTCTTCTTCTTTCCTCACTTCCTTCCAAGTCTCCGCTCTTCGTCCAACCACCACCACCACCACCACCACCTGTTTGATGCTTGTTATTCACTTCTCTTTGTGTCCGTTTTTTTGTATTTTGGTTTCCGTTTTTGCAGTGATCCCCCTTCTTTTTGCAAACAAGCCAATCGTCAATCGTCGTCTGCTGACACGTCTTCCTTGGCATCGTTCGCTTTTGATTTTTGTTATCCTTTTGATCGCACCTTCAAGCCGTGTTGACATTCCATCTCGATCTGCCTGATCTCGATCTTTGCCCACCTTTGAGTGCCAGTCCAGCAACGTCTCAAAGCCTCCTCCTTCTTCCCAACCAGCCAACAAAGCACGCTGTTTCACGACAACACCGTTACGCAACGTCGTCTTGCCGTTGTTGAGCCTTCTGTTCTCGTAGCCGCCACAGCTTCCAAGCACTCTCGCACTCTCGCACTCACAGACACTCTATCACACAAACCATGTCGAACGAAGGCTCCAAGCCCGTCCCTGGCTTCCTCGCCAAGCTGTTCAAGTGAGTTTGCAAGCGTTTTGCTGGGCCAACATGCTGCTTTCTTGCTCTTTTTTTTTTTGCTTTTTTGCCGCCTTTTCTTTTCTTTTTTTGCTGGCTCTAAACTGTGTTTCCAAACCCCCTTCTCAAACACACACACACACACACACACTCTTTCAATAGAATGGTCGACGACACAAAAAACAGCTTTTGCATTGGCTGGACGAACGCTGGTCTGAACTTCCTCGTGTCCAACCCTGAGCTGTTTGCACGCCAAGTCCTGCCCGTCTACTTTAAGCACAACAACTTTGCCAGCTTTGTGCGCCAGCTCAACATGTACGGTTTCCGCAAAATCTCCAACACCAAGCGAGGCGTGGTGGTCGCCGGCACGTCGCACGCATGGGAGTTTTCGCATCCCCACTTTGCCCAGGGTCGTGCGAACGAGCTGTCGCTCATTGTGCGCAAGCCCAAGCCCAGCGACCTGCGCAAGGCTGCTGCCGCTGCCGCTGCTGCGGCGACCGCGTACGGCCACGGCGGCAGCAGTGTGGACGACGACGCCATGTCGACCGTCTCCTCTGGCCACGCCTCCTCGTCCGTGTCAGCCTCAGACCACGCCGCCCTGGTCCAGTCGTTTGAAGAGCTGCAGCTCAGAAACACGGAGCTCGAGATTGCATGTGAGGAGCTCGAGCAGCAAAAGGGCCGGCTCCAGCGTCAGTTCCAATCGCAAAATGCCGTCATCCAACAGCTCCTCGTCGTCATGCACCAGTCCTGCGATCCTGCGCTCATTCCCACCGAGCGCGAGCTCCGCGAGATTGCCGGCGCCGCTTCGCTTGCCACTCCCCTGTGCGGCTCGCCAACGCTGCCGTTGCAGCAGCTCGAGTTTGCTTCGACCGCAGACCACCAGCAGCAGCTTCTCGACGAGCAGCAGCGCCAGCTTGCTCAGATTGCCGAGGATGTCAAGATGAACAATGGTGGCGAGTTTGCTGCCATCTTTGAGGCGCCCGTCACTCCCACAACCGCCTTCCTCAACCAGCTCGACATGTTTGAGCAGAAGGCCCACGCCAAGCTGCGCGAGTCTCGCAAGCGGCCGCTGTCGCACGACGTTTCTGGTGACAGCACACCCGTCATCAGCGATCCTGACGACGACGAAGAGTACGAGGAACTCGGCTCTCGTCCCGTCACTCGGGCCAGCAGGAGTGCTCGTCGCCGGCCACGACTCTCTTCTGTTGTCATCCAGGAGATTACTGAGGCTGCCCCCAACATGGATGCTGTGGAAGCAATGTCGCTTGATGCTCTCTCTGCGTCCGCGTCCGCGCCGACCGTCAGCAGCTCGATTGTTGCCCCTTCGTCTTTTGCCCCCAGCTCGTTCAGCCGGTCGAATAGCGCAGCTGATCTCGCCACCAATGACAAGTTTGTTAAGGATGTTGCCGTGTCTGTTGCCCACCTGTGGGCCACGTCTCTGCAGCAGCAGCAGCAGCAGCAGCAGCAACAACAACAGCAACATCAACAACAGCAACAGCAGCGACAACCGGCCTCCTTGGCGCCGCTGTCCGTTGGTGCCGCCCGACAACATCAGCAGCTGCAATTGAGCGCGGCATTTGCCAAGCCCACTTCGCCACCACTTTCGCCGCTCTTTGGCGTGCGTAGCTTGAGCACTTCCGCGACCTCTGCATCAAACCTCCTTGACCTGCTTGAATCCGAACCGCTGTTGACAGACCTTCCCGACACTACCAACTTGGATTGGCTTGAGCACGAGTTCCGACAAAGTTCAACGTGCAAGAACCTGGGCGACCGCCAATGCGCGCCTGTGCGTCAGCTCGTGCCCACCGTCGTGTAAACCCAGCATTTTATCCTATTGTTGATTCTTCCCTCAGCTCCCTCCGCTCCAGCAAAGACATGGTCGTGTAACCAAAACAAGAAAAAGCGGGATTCTTCTTTTTCTCGTTGTCGTGGCAAATCCGCCTCGACTGCATATTGTTTTGCCTGTGCATTGTTAGTCAAAAAAATTCTTGTTTCATGTTTTAAAAATACAACCAAAATCCTCAACACTGCATGTATCGTTCCTTGCGACTTTCGACACACTGTTTTTCGGTTTGTGTTGATTTTTGTTTTTTCTGTTTTGTAGTTGATCGTCTATGCAGCGCGCATGCATCGTGCATACAGTACTTTGATATCTTCATGTTCCTCGCGTGCCAATGTTGAGTGCGTCCGAGACGCGATCCACAACGCCTGCAACAGGGTTGAGAACCCGGGCGGCCCGCGAGTGGCCTTTCGACGCGGCAGTCCATGAATGGGTATGCGTCGGAGCGAGCTTCTTGGCCCAGAGCAGGTTGGTTTCAAGCGTCGATCTCTCCTGCGGCTTGAGCAATTGTTCGAGCGGACGAATCACTCGGTCTTCTTCCGACCGGAGATGCTCGAGGGTGAGCGTCAAGAGCTTCTCGGCGCTCTCGTTGAAGATGCGCTCCCGCTCATGCGGCTGCAGCGCTCCAGGCTTGTTCTTGTCGGATGCGTCGGTATACTGCGCACTCGAAATGTACATGTTCGAGATGTGTGCTTCGAGGAACTCGAGCAGCTGCTTGCACAGACTGTCTTCGAGCACGGTACGGTCGAGCAGAATTTCAGCGCCCGGGATTTTCGTACGAATGAGCGGGTACAGGTACTGTCCAAAGGGGCAGGGGAGGAGCCGTGTGTGAGTTGCGTTGACGAAAACCAACAACAAAAAATATCAAAAAATCAAAAACATCGAAAACACATCAACGCCGCAAAGAAAAACGCCAACCAGGCTCACTGCGACCTTGCGCGGCGCTTACCTGCTCCTCGGCACTTTCGTGAATGGTCAGGTGTCGCATAAAGTCAGTGAGTGCAGTATTGCGCTCGCCTTGGCTGGACGCGGCGTGGTACTGGTCGGCGAACGCACGCAGTTGAGCGTGATCCCACAGCAGCAACTGAAGCCCGTCGCCCGTGTTGGTGTAGGGCCTGAGCGCAGTGTGAGTCGGGTACTGGTGCGGCTGTTGGTACTGCGGGTAATACTGTCCCTGCTGTTGCACCACCGGCGATGAGGGGTAGGAAGGCGGTCCGACATACGGCGGCGCTTGAGTGTACGGTTGCGGCGGAGCTTGAGTGTACGGCTGGGTCGGCGCTTGTGCATACTGCTGAGGTTGCATCGGCGGCTGCGGAATGCTTGCTGGCTGAGCATCCGGAGCCGGATACTGGCTGGTTGGAGTTGGCTCAGGTTTTTGGTCCATGACTTTTGGTTCGTTCGGGCGTTTTTCCAAAGAAGACTAATTTTTAGCAAGGTCGAAACAATTCAGAAAAAAGGGGCGTGTATTGAGCGTACATCATAACAATAATGCATCATTGAGGCTTTTTGGCAACGGCGCTAGAGGCATTTTGAGATGCCAAGAAGGATTTGAACGACTCAAACTGCAATCGCTCCTTTTCAGCTTCCTCAGCAGTGCTATACTCGTCGCCTTCGGCCTCGTCGTCGTCGGCATCATCCTCGTCCTCTTCGTTTTCGTTCATGTACGAAAGACCGTCGCGAGGAGTGTACGCGCTGTCCGAGTCGTCCGAATCGTACTCTTCGTGCGAGCCCTTGCCGTAGTTGATCTTGGAGAGCTTGACCTGGGCCTTGCGCGAGCCGGACGCGCCGGCAGCGGCAGAAACAGCAGTTGCGGCGTCCGAGAGATTCATGGCGACCTTCATACCGGCATTCTTGTCGGCGGCAAACTTGTTCAGCTGCGCCTGTTGCCGCGCAGCCTCTTCGGCCTCCTTTTCTTTGCGGAGTTGCTCGAGCTTGGGTCGATAGTCGCGCTCAAACTCGGCAGAAGCCTCGTTGATGGCCTCGACGAGATCGTTCATGCCATCGCCGCGAGCCGCAGAGATACCCACGACACGAAGGTTGGAATAAAACTCGTCCAAGACGAGCGAGAGCGATCGGGCCAGCCCGGACGTGTACGAGCTCTCGCGCGAGACAGCTTCTTCGAACGCCTCAAAGTCACGCATCCACTCGACGGCAAAGTCGTGCTTGACAATGTCGGTCTTGTTAAACACAACCACAAATGGCAGCTGCGTCTTGTACAGAATCGAGCAAGTGTACAGCATGTTGGACATGAAAGTGACTGGATTCTGGCAGCGCACCGTGTCCACCACATACACGACGCAGGTGGGCAGGCGGGATGCCAGTGCGTCGCAGATGATTGCGCCGCCTGCAGACCAGGTGAAAATTTCAATCTGGCCAGGCGTGTCGATGAGGACAAAGTCGTTCTCGAGTGCTCGCTGTGCGAGGAGATTGGAGAGCTGTATGTTTGTAGAGGAAGTGTGAGTGATGAGTTTTCCACGTCAAAGGTGCGTGTGTGCGTGTGTGTGTGTGTGAGTGGGTCGTCACAACGTCGTTACCTGATCGAACTGGGTGGTGAACAGGTTGAGCGACAACACGATGGCTCCGTTCGGTCCAAGATTGTGCTCTTCCATCAGCTTCTTGTAGTGGATGGTGTCGCGGATGTCAATGTTTGCAGGGAATGACAGGTCGCCAACGACGGCCGGGTCGAGGTTGATGCCGTATGTCTTGAGGCGGTTTTCCGACAAGTGTGACGACAAGCGCTGGGAGAGGTTCAAACACAGCAACAGGCGGTGAGTCAAGCATGCAAACGTTGGGGTCATCGATGAGAGTCACGTCTGGGTCTGGGTCTGGGTCTGGGTCTGCGTCTGGGTCGTGGCTGGTAAAAAGGGAGCAGTGGAAGACAAAGGCGACACATGGCGACGCATGACGGACGACGCTCATCAGTGCATTGTGCACACACACGCGCGGTGCTCATGCTGCAGTGTCATGAGCAAATGCACTAGCTTATGCTTGCCAATTGTCGCGGTAATTGGTTGGTTGGTTGGTTGGTTGGTTGGGTGGAGCGCGGTGGTCGTTTGGTTTTACCTGCATCACCATTGACTTGCCAGCGCCGGCCATGCCAATGACAAGCACAGCAGGAGCGACCTTGGACGGCTGCTGCTGTGATGACTGGCCTGCTGCTGCTGCTGTTGCTGTGACTGGTTCGGCTGCAGGAGCTGGAGCTGCGGCGTCGGACATTGTATTGAGTTTGGTATAAAGTAAAGCGGACTGAGCTCCCGCTTCGATGTTTTAGGGATGCGTTCAATCATTGTTATCTTGTTGCTGTTAGTATTGAATTGTGCTGGGGCTGCTTTGTTGGCAAATCAACAGCAAAGAAGCAACGTAGAATAGTTTTGTTTGTCGATTTCCAAATGGTCGCCGTTCGTCGAGTGGCGCTCGAGTCAAACAGTCCAGCGCGAGCCCGCTTGTTTGGAATAGTGTGTATAAATTGTTTTATTGATTGATTGTTACAGGTATGCGGTGTTAACTGGAACCGACAGTGCGGGAGCGTCGCTTGATCCTGACCGCGATACTCGGCACGGTCGTTTCCTGGCTAGCTCGCGACTTTTGAGCGGTCTGCCTTTGCAGGAAATGTTGCACAGGGTGACTGATTGTAATAATATTAGTTCTGTGTCGTCTAGACGGGCGGAACTTGACAATATGACAACTTGGCAAAAGCCGCCAAAATCACTCAAAACCTGAAAAATAAAAACCAGCAACTAAAAAACGGCAAACGACATTGGAAAAATTCACGAGTACCAGAAAATGACACCACTGCGATTGAATCATACACAACATGATGTCCACTTGATTTGCTGAAAGTTTGGCGACATTCCGCCGACTACGGGCCGCGCGGGAGCTCAAAGAAGACAATTTCCAGCAAAATCGGCTCACTGCAGGCGCCATAAACCGGAGCATGGAAGCATCTGAGCGAAGTATCATCTGTGATTATTATCATCATTATGAATAGTTACTATTACCACTGTACTCACTCCCCGTTGCTATTCCACACACTCGCTCAATGAGCAATCTCAATGAGGGCGCCGTCGCTCCTCAGCTCGAGCACCAGGCAACCGCCGAGATCCCGTTCGCAGACCTGTCCAGCCAGCAGCGCAGGGCAGCGAACGAAGCCAACGACATTCGACAAGAGCAAGAGCAACTGCGGCTGCAGATGATGGAGGAAGAGCGACTGCGCCGCCTGCGCCGAGATGTCATCGATGTCGGCAGCGTAAGTCTCCATTCGCCAAACCAGCGCACACAAGCGCACAAACCAACAGTCGATGACTCGAGAGAGGCCGTGTTTTGTTGCCTTCCAGGGCGATCTGACAGTCGCAGTCAGGCGATAAAAAGACCAGCGTTAGCGGGGGTGTGGACGGCTCAAACCCTCATGGTCCATGGTCCTCTGCTGAAGCATAAGCATCGACGACATACTCACCTTGGACTATTCTGAATATCGTGATTCTTGTGATTTTGGATGCAGGTCTCGGACGCCATCCCGCCTGCGTCGCGATTCTCATCGCTTGTCGGCGACTCGCAGAACTTGCTCAGGTCTCCGTCGAGATACGCGCTGCTAGTGCGTGCTCTACGCGCTGTGCCAAGCACAGATGCGCTCATTCAGCCCTCAAGGTGAGCATGAAAGACATTGGCAATCATTATGTGGTGCCGACACTCAATCCAACTCGTTTGTTTTTTTCAGTATGACTCTTGCACAACGAGGAATACTCGACTCAATCAGGTCTCTCATACAAACATCAATGCATGTCTGGACTGCCACTTCAAGCACGGATCAAATGTTTGTGGTTGGATGCCGCACTCTGGAGGTACAGCGGCCCCTTTTTCGATGTCGGCCAATGCCTGCTACAGCTCACCAGCTTGATCTCACCTGCTTTTGCTAACCATTGATTTCTCTTTGGTCGATAGCGCGCGGCGGAAAGCTTTCGGCATGTTTTTGGTGAGCACCGGTGGAATCCGTCCTTGTTGTCTTGGCTGACGAGCGCCCTTGTGGACACGTCCGACTCGCCCACCTTCAGCTGCTACGTTGACATTCTTCGAGTACTGCGTACACGGGTAAGTCCATTAAACCAAAACCCCAACAACTGCAAGAGCATTGGTTTGGGTTTGCCGTCAAAAATGTTGCTTAAAGGGTTGTTTTTTTCCCGCAACCATTGTTGTTGAATTTTTGCTGCCCAGGTGCACAAGCTTGTCGAAAGTCAACAACTCTGCTCATTCGCCCACAGTGTGCGGTTCCCGGAAAACAACCCGGCAGTGTCGTCCGAGTTTGCTCGTGCCGCACTCGAGCGAGCTTTGGTGACGTTTGTCTCAACGCCGTTGCCCAGCGCGCCTCCCGGCACCATCCCAGCACCGGTCCCTGAACACAAGGTTTGGACCCCAAATTATTCGTTTTGTTTTTATGAGCAGGCTGTTTGATTTTACCAACCTTTTCCCCACTGACCCGATTTTTCGTTTGATGGACAGTTTGAGTTTAATTCATCGCCGCTACTCGTGCTTTGTCCTGGCGAAACTGATTGGAACCACTCGCAACTGGCATACTGGCGATCGCGGTTTGCCATCCTTGGAGACGCCCAGCTCGTCGTGATGACGATGGGTGATTCTCGTCACGGCAAGTACCAGCTGAAGGTAACTAGTTTTGATCGCCTCTCTGGTTGATTCTGGAGTGCTTCAAATCACTCAAATCACTGACTCTGTGCTTCCTCGTGTCGCTGCGTGCAGCACAACCCAACGGCGCACATTGTCAATCGTCTGGCGAGCAAGATCACCAAACTCTCGGAAGAGCACTCCCATCGGCCGATTGTGCTCATCGGCAAGGGCGTCGGAGGTCGCATTGCGTGCGAGGTGTCTGCGACAACACCCGTGGCCGGAGTGGTCTGCTTGGGATTTCCTCTGCTCGGCTTGCACGGGATTTCACTGGAAGATTCTCTGCTCCAAACCAAAATCCCAGTGTTGTTTGTGATAGGGTCGCGTGCATCGGCTACTCCGTTGCCCTTGATGGAAAAGGTATGGATTATTTACATTCGTGTCTCGAATACCGTGGATCAAGTAACGACAAGCTCGTTTGATTGACTAACTTTGGCCTTTTTGATTAGGTGCGCCGCCAAATGCGAGCCCGCAATGTCGTTGCGATTATTGACGGTGCCGCAGATTCGCTGCGCGTCACGCCGTTCTCGTTGCGTTCTGGCAGCACCAACCAACCACCATTCACGGCCACCCCCGTTCAAGAAGCTGTCGATGATCGTATCATTCAAGCAATCGGTGGCTTTATCCAGAGCGTCGTCAACCGCCCTAAACAGCGCGTCCTTGCGTTCTCTACGCCGCAGGCATCTCAACAGCAACAGCAGCAGGGCATTCAGCAGCAACAGCAGCAGGGCATTCAGCAGCAACAGCAGCAGCCTCAGCCGCCGCCGCCCCAGGCACAGCAGCTGCAGCACCAACAACTGCAGCAGCCCCAACAACGACAATCTGACGAAGCACAAGCCTCAGCATTGCCACCGTCGATCGCAGTACCAACTCCCAGCTATGTGATGCGATCTCCGGTCGCTACTGTTGCTGCAGCGGCTTCAGCATCCATCCCGAATCTCCATTCCCCAGTCTCGCACAGTGCTAAACACGCGTCTGGTCTCGGCAATGGGCTGCCTGTGGACTCTAGCGTCGCAGCAGACTTGTCGACGCACACCAACCAAAACCACAACGAGTCGGGTGTGGCCCGTCACCATTCGCATCATCCTCATGTTCCAGACGCTTCTCCAGCGGCGCTGGCATCAGCCATGGATACTGCTGATGGCATCCGGCCCGCTCGAAGCGAGGCGCACTCCTCAGCGGAAGGGCTACATCAACACGCTGGGAGCATTCGGTCTGCTAGCAGCCCCTTTTCCACTCCAGTGAAGCTGTCTGACCAAATGTCTGGTACATCCCTTGCAACCGGTGAAAAAACGAGTCCAAGCTCCACCCTCGCTGCCGGTGCCTTGCACATGGGCCTTCGTCCAGCCGACTCACCGACGAGCGGAAGTCAAAAGCTTCTGTCTTCATCTGTTTTGGCGACCTCTTTGCTTCGCGGCGCAAGTTCTCCGTCCACGTCGCGCAGTCACTCACCCGAGCCACGAACTTCAAACCGCACGAGTCTGTTCTCCAATGTATCATCGTCGGAGCCGGAGACAAAGTCTTCCGACGGCACTTCTGCGCCAATGGACATGTCATAGCCTCAGAAAAAGCCTCGATGAGTTTGTGTCTCAGAGTTTTCGCGTACTCGGTGTTTTGCAAGACTAATGTAAAAATATTTGTCGCTTTTGCAGAGAGCAGTTTCTTTCAAATTAAATGGAATTGTTTTTGGGATTCGTTCGTGATCAAATCAAGCAGAGCGTTCCAGCAGAATGACAACACCAGCAACCCTTCTGCAAAGCACCCAAAGAACCAACCCGGCGTTTCCGAAAAATTCAGATTAAGACCAAGTGTGCCGTTGATCTTCCTGCAGCAGCGGGCTCTTCTCGCTTGCAGTGTTACCCCCTTGGACGGATCCAACACTGGTGGAGGTTGATGGAACAGGCACGGCAACTTCCGAGCGGCGAGGGCCACCGACGAGACGACTAAATGTCTGATCGAGCGGCGGGAGATCATCCACGAGTTCAAACTTTTTCTCGCGGTAGTAGTCCTTCTTGGCAAAGAAATGCGTCATGAAAAAGTCGCACAGCAAGGTCGCCAGACCAAGCAGAGCCAAGCCCGAGCCGAGACTCATGGTGAGCGCCGCAACATCAAACTTGCCTCCTTCGCCAGACACGACAAAGATGAGGCGAATGCCGTACGCCTTGATTAAATCACGATGCGGGACGCTGATCGATGGATCGGTTGGCGACGGGAGTGTGTAATAGTCGGCATAGCGGAAGTTGTATCCAGGACTCGTGGACGTTGGATCGTCGATTCTACAGCGCCACAAACACGCAGAACATTAGGCATGGGATCCCAAATGCCAGCAAGAAAAACAAATCCACTCACAAGAGCATGCAACTCGTGGCCTTACCGACTGATGGAGAAGACTGGGCGGCATTCGCTCTCATCGTTGTCGAAATTGCAAGTCCAATCGAGGTTGACTCCAAGCACTCCTCCCAGCACCAACATGTCTTCAATCTTCCAGCCGGAAGCTTCAACCAAGTCACCCAGCTTGAAGATGGGACAATAGTAGTCGGTCTAGAGGAGCACAACCCAAAGGAAAACGTTCAGCAAGTAGTAGCACATCAGGCCACAGCAACAACGAAACACGGAAACTCACCTCCTTGTTCCAGCGGCAATTGGCGAGATAGGCAGCACTCGTGTTTCCAATGTCTACATTGGTGCGGGAGATGCCAAACTTGGCAAAGCGAACGTTGTTTTTGATAAACACGGTGAAGTTTCCGGCTTGCTCAATCACAGAGCCCGACTGCGGGCTGAGCGAGTCCAGTTCAAGCGGAGCCCAGGCGTAAATCTCGCACGTGCTGTTCACGCACCGGCCAGTCATGATTCCTGTCACACGCACAAGTCCGCACAAGCCGGAATGGTTAGATACCGTTCACAACCCGACACACTGCTTGGACAACCGACTCTTACCATTTCGAGTACTAGAATACTTGGTACATTCCGAATCGTCCGTGCACGCTTGTGCATATTGAGGATCCTGCCATCAACCAGGACTCTCTGTGAGAGGTCCGCCAAGATTGAAAAGGAAAACTCACTCAAACTAACTCGCAGCGGCATACCTCGGCGCAAGTCGTTTGCTTTTGCTCTGGAGTCACAATCGAGTTGGTTAAAATGAACAAGGCATCGTGCTCCTGCGAGACGAAACAGAGTTGGATGGCGGCTCATGAGTTGCCGACGGCAGGATTATTCCAATTGCGCCAACAGCACACCAACAAACAAATCGTCCACCTCACATTTGCAGGAATCACGTAGTCTGTCGAGTCCCACAGGCTGAGCTCGGTGTTCCCAGGCGGATCCACTCCTGGAATGGGACATGTGGTAACTCCGATTGCGGCACCGCCCCGCCCGCCGTACCGACCGCCAGCAGAGTCCGTGCTCTGGCAGGCAAAGCCCACGTTCTTGACCTTGGTAGTGAGCGTGCTCTGGAGCGGCGCTTGTGTCTGGTAGCCCTTCTGGTACACGATGGTATAACCAATCACGTAGCCCAGAATGGCGAGCTGGACGAAGCGATTGAAAAAGCCCAGCTTGAGCGAGCGCACCTCGACCACCTTGGCCGTCTCGTACGCCACAACAGCTCGGAAGCCTTCGCCCAGGGTGGTCGCAACTCGACTCCGCAGCGTCGGCTTTGATTCTGACATGGCCCAATCAATCGGCAGATTGCAAAAAGTAAAAAGTTAAAACAAAAATTGGAGTGAGTGGTCGAGCAACACGTCACTGGTTTTGGATTTACAAGATGTAAGGAATTGAATGAGGATGTGCTCTCAATCATTCAATCATTGAATGCTGGTAGAAAGCAGTGCTGCAAAGTGTACGCTGTCAATTCAGATCTGTGCAAACATCCATCCACGTTGGCCGAGTTCTTCCTTGTCTGACTTTTGTGTTTTTTTGGTTGGTTTTCCAATACGATGTGCACTTTTGCTGAGCTTCAGTTTTTTTTTTTCTTCTTTTTCTTTTTACGCGGGTAAAGTTGTTGAATAATCAGAATAATTCGAAAAAAAAAAAAAAGCCATGCGTTTCCAAAGAAAAAAAAAAAAAAAAAAAGCAGATATGGCTGGCTTTTTGCAGATTTTTGGCCTTCCTTTGGCCACAACCCAGCAACCAGCTGCATTCGACGCTTCCAGCGTTGCACGAAAATGAACTTGAGAGTCTTAAAGTTCGATCTTGAAAGAGATGGCACAGCTTGGGCTGGCAGAGCGAGAAGGAAGCAGAAGAGGGGGAAAAAAAAAAGGCGCTCGAGTGCCCAAATTCGGATATTTGGAAGGGAGCAGGATTGAAATTTTTCGCGCCAAACGGTGCAACGCTGATCTTGGTGCTCCAGCGCGGCGTTCCTCACCCCGTTCAACATGGATGTGCACTAAAGTGTGATAGAAGGGGTCTGGGAGAGCGCCGAGGCGCTAGCACTGCGCCATCAGTGCCAGATCAGTTTGCCTTGGATTTGAATTACCCGCCAAGATTGTTGGCGCGCTTTGGCGGTGCTTTTTTTTTTCTCTTTTTTTTTTTTTTGATTTCTTTTTCGCTTTCTCGCTCTAGTTGTTCGTTCTCCTGGCATGGTGGGTGGCACATGGGTGCAGACAGAGCTGAGCAATGAATCTACTCTGCGTGTCTGTCGCTGCAGCAGCCCAGAGCCCAGGGGCAGCGCAGAGAAGCAGCGAGATGAGGAAGCAATGGAGTGTGTTGTTTCACTTTTTTTTTTTCCCGTCGATCACCGCAGTCCTTTGCGACCATTGCGACCGCTGTGACGGAGTTTACGCCGTCTTTCTTTGGCGAAAGCGACAAAGACACTTGATTCTCACGCTTAGTCCCTTTCTGGACAGGCTTGTGAGTGAGAAGGACCGGAAAAGTCGCCTTCTCAAGACGAGACAAAAAAGAACCCAAAAGACGGGAAAAAAAAAACCTTGTCGCGCTCTCGTTTGCTTCCCACTTCCTCCGTTCGTGCCTCTCAGCCACAGCACTTCCTCCGCTCATCTCACCGTTCGTCATCTGTATTGTTTCTGCCTCTGACCTGCTGCATCCCACCTCGTCACATCTCATCCAGGTTTCACAAAACCCAAGCGTTTGGTCCCTCTTTTTTATTTTTATTTTTTATTTTTTATTTTTTATTATTTTATTTTTATTTTTTATTCTTTTTCTTCGTTCTCTGTTTCGCGCGTGCTGCATTTTGGCGCCAATTCCCCAGTCCAAGCTCCGGTCTCGCTCGTCAACGCGCCGCTTCGCACTGCCCGGCACTCTGCTCCAGATAGGTACTCAATCTCACTCAAAAGCAAACCAACCATGGAGACAGCCTCGCCGCCGCACCGAAGCCCGAGAGGCAAGTCCGCCGCCAATCACGCCAGCGTTCAGCCGTTGACCCCGAGCGACTCGCCTTCAACGCAGTCGAATCTGAGTGGCGCAGGCTCGCAACAGTCGCGCCACGAGGAGTCTCCCACCACCCAGGGCACTCGCATGGTGGTCCCTCCGACGCCTACTTCCACCTCCCCGACCCGGAGCAAGCGCGCCATGGCTCAGCGCCCTGCACAGTTGAGCGAGCGCCTTGATGGCTCGGCTGCACCAGATTTCTCGTTTACATCGCCTGCTCGTGCAACAGGCCCTTCCAGTCGCGGACACGTTTTGGCGTCCCTCCGTCTGAGCGGCGAGGAACCGCGCGAAGTTGCGCTCGAAATGGAGCACACCACACCCGCGCGTCCGAGCACGACGCTAGGACACCACACTGCCTCCTCCTCGTCAACCGTCACGCCCAAAACCATGCTGGCGTCCCACACAATGATGGAACTCGCTGCTGCGTCGCGGCAGGCCGAGTCGCCAGTGACCCGGCATTCACGACGCACTCCGAGTCGCGCGGCCAAATTGGGGCATCTCCCCCAGCCGGATGACACGGATCTTGAAACCGACCTTGCCGAGGACATGGATGTTTCGGCCGAGAGTGCGCGTGCTGCGCGAAGGTACACCGCCATCAAAGTTGGCTCGACTCGCCTGCGGCGCTCGATGCCCCAGCCCGAGCTGGCTGCAGCCAGCGACTGCCCGTCTTCGGATGACGCGCATGTCGAAAGCGCAGCTTGTCAGCCGGCGACACCCACCTCAAAGTTAAAGGCGCTTTGTCTCCTGGCCAGCCCCATCCTGAAGTATGAGGAGGCCCAACAGCGCCAAGCAGAACAAATGCCCGAGCTGTCCAAGCCGGTCCCGCCGTATGTTGCTGCTGTTCACGCAGCCTCTGCGGCCGCTGCAGCGCACGTCGCCACCAGCGTCCGTCCTCCTGTTGTCCGCAAGTTGTCCGCCGTCTCCGTCGGGAATCCCGCCGTTGACCGTATCATGCCTGCAAAGGCCGCGACAGCACGTGCAAGCCGCCAAGCCGAGTCCCCACAAGCACTCGCGTCACAAGCAGACGAAGACGTCGATGAGAACGAAGCCGAGGCGCGCAAAAACCGATCTCTTGGCCTGCTTTGCGAGAGGTAAGGACAAACCAGGCTAAAATCGAGGAGGAGGAGGCAGAGGACGGCGACAACACCAACTCAGCTCGTTGTGATGTATTTTTCGGGTTTTGCATTGCTGTTTGTTCGAATTGCAACTCACTGGTCCAACAACAACGAGCAGGTTCCTGAAGTCGTATTGGGATGCCCAGCCTGGCACCTCGATTCACCTGGACCAAACTGCTGGCCTTTTGGGTACGGTAGCTTGCCTGAAGTTTGTTTAAATGAAAAACTGCAACAGACCCAAATTGGACTAACATTGATGAATTGTTGAACTGGCAACAGCTGTGAACCGTCGACGCTTGTATGATATCATCAATGTTTTGGAGAGCGTTGAAATTCTTCGACGTGTGGCCAAAAATCAGTACGAGTGGGTCGGCATGGAAGGGCTGCCCGAGCGGCTCCGTCGGCTGAAAGAAGCCCATGTATGTCGGATTGGTAGAGAGCATGAGATGGTGCGACGTTGATGATGAGAGTGCTGATTCTTTTTTGTGACAACAGACGAGCCCCAATGGTCAACTGCTGCTTGATGACGATGAGCTTGGAAGCGATGATGACAGCGATACCGAGCAGGTGCGTGTGCAAATGCGAATTGCTTCAAAACCAGCGAGTTGCTCTTAGCACCGCTCACTAATTTACAATCGCCCGTTGTAGCCCGTGGCTCTGCGCGCGCGCGATACCAACTTGCAGGCCTCCTCTGACGTCGCCAAAAAGAACGGTGCGCCAACAGCACCATTTATGTCCAGTTCCATCATCAAGTTTTGAGGCTCAAGCTCATTTTCTAACTTGACGTTTTTTGTTTCTCCAACAACAGCATCGCGAAAAGAAAAGAGCCTGTGCAACCTGAGCAGATTATTCCTGGTCCTCATGATTTCCTCACCGGTAAGCCGCGCCTCATTTTGCATTGATTCCGCTTGCAAGTGAGCGAACAGCGACTTACCGTGCTTGGTCGTTGCGCTTCAGTCTCGGCTACTGACGATGGACGACGCTGCGGCGCAGCTTGCTGGTACCGGCGGTGGTTCAATTGACTGGATGGACTCGAAGCTGAAGAGTACGTACCAATCGTTTGGTTTTTTTGAGCAGTGGCAAATCTACGATTTTCGCCACAAAGCTTGATGTTGACAATTTGTCCTCTTGCCTTTCCACCCAACCTCCCTGCATCACCCTCCTTCCAGCCAAAATTCGCCGCTTGTACGACATTGCGAATGTGCTCGCCAGCATCGGGTTGATCGCGAAGGATCGCATGAACTCGGTTTGTTCGCGCAAACCCGCCTTCCGTTGGATTTACCCCCACTATCCTGCTATTCCAGTGCCACCATCCCAAACACTATCCATGTCCAATTACGAAGGTATGCTCTGCCTGACATTTATTTGAAGGCTGCTTGATGTGTTAATAATGGCTTGACTGACACATTGACACCTTCAGCAGCACATTCAAGTCCCGTGGCAGCTGTAGCAAAGCCAACAAAGCGCAAGCCCGCACCACTTGGTACACGATTGGATGTTTTGTCTGGATTGCTGTTGTCTGCGACTCAGCATTCCCTGACTGTTTGATGGCTGGTTTTGTTGTCGTGCCCTTGTAGAAGCACCTCCAGCCTCAAAAGCCGTCCGTCGCTCGTTGCAGCAAACCAGTGCACGCAAGTCCAGCGAATCTGACACCCCAGCCCGCCAAGGCGTAAGTAGCGCAATACCTCGTCGTCTTGCCACCGCCATTCCTCCTTTGTCCGCCAACACGAAGCTCATTCCATCGGGGTCTGATTGTGCATTCTCGGGAATGCGTCACCACAGCGAGCCACGGTTGCAGCTGCCAAGTCGCAATTGGACCCGACTGCCATTGCAAGCGAGGCCATTGCCGAAGCAATCAAATCTCTTCCTTGTACGTCGTGCTTGTCTGCCGAAAACGCAAATGTCGGGCCTTTCCAAACTGACCTGTTGGTTTTCTTTTGGTGCATTGCAGCTGCTGCTGATGGCGTCGATGTCGCAGGCTTCAAGTCCAGCTTGGCCAGCGCCTTGCAAACCCAGCTGCAGCGAACGTTCTCCAACTCCAACTAAACACGGCTGCAGACTGTTGTATCCTACAGTAGATGTGGTCCAATGGAGCTGCGCAAGCTGTGCCACGGGGGATGCTGGGGTCAATCATCCGGCAATGTTGATGTTTTCTTTGTGTATTTGGTCTGTGCGCGTGTTTTTTTTTTTTTTTTCGTCTAACTGTCTTTGTCATTCATGTGTATCGTATCAGTCGGATTTCTGATGCTTAACTCTGTTAAACTTCTGGAGCCGATTGCTTTTGTGTCCAAATACTATCCCGATCATTAAATTTCGACCCCCCCTCTTTTTTTCACTTTTTCGCCCTCCCTGGGACCTGTGTTGCTTTCCGTCTCGCCCGCGGAATGTTCATTCATGGTACGGTGTACCGAACGTCTGATGAACACCGGGAGCGGGGGTTGTGAGTCATATCAGAGCAGCAGCGAGCAAAATAAAAAATATAAGGAAACTCAAAAAATTCACTTTTCCCGCCCAAATTTTGGTTTGGGTTCAGTCTTTTTGTGCGCATGACTCGCACACGCAGTCAGTCCACGTCCCGCGTGGCTCGCAGACAGCTCCCGGTATGGCTGCGTCCAACTTCACCCAAAAGACCGCTGCCCGTGCTGGACAAGATGCCCAGGGAGGTCGCCCGCGGTCAAGTGCTCGCGTTGCGAAATGCTGAGCTCTCCTACAACAAGATCGCCACCCAGCTTCACCTCCCACGTCTCTACAGTGATCAGCATCACCCTACGTGTCTCGGGAAGGGCGACAAAGAGCGACAGCCCCGCCCCGGGCGCCCCAGCAGGTTCGAGTCATTTCACCGCAACAACAT